GTCTTCCAAGCCGTCAAGCCACACGTGGTCTGGACGTATGTCTCTTCTCGCTCCTTGTGCCCGCATATACTCAGGGGCTTCAGTGACATTTCGATGCCTCGGTGGGTCTCGTGTATACTTCATGGAACGTCTGACTGATGTTCTGTTCATTCGAACAGAATGGACGGTGTTGTGCGCAGTATCTGCTCTTGTTCTTTCGATTGTTTGACTTTTATAACAGACCGCTGCGAAGGAGATGCGTAAGGTGGAACGGGCGCGAGGCTGGCCTCCTTGCTACAGTAAGTTGATCTCCTCAGGCCAATCCAGCATCTGACGTGCACAAGTCGTGGCTATAACTGGCCTGGGACTGTCAGACGTGGGCGCTTGTCTTTGTCTTCTTGATACCCGTGGCTCACTCGTTGCTCTTCCTGCCTCAAGGAACAAATTCGACGCGAAGCACTGCACGGTCCCGCTGCATTAGATGCTTGGCTGGTGCGTGTCCCTAAATCTCGAGAGCTCGGTGCTCATGCCTCTCAGATCAAAGGACAAACGAACATCAAGTCTTTGAAAGATAGTTTAGACGTTGTCAGACAACGTATGAGGGCTAATCTCGGGGAATCATTGTAGTATTCGGCGTTTACACACGAACACGCTTATTTTGTATCATCTGAATGTCTTATCTCTATTTCTCTGGGCTATAGCTTGCAGTCTGTTGGATTCTCTTAGTTTGATCTCTTACATGGCTGGCCAAGGCTTGGATCTGGACATCATATTCAGAACTTTGATCATCGACCTTCCGTTGTGCCAGTCGTCCACTTGCGCGATTGGCATTTCATAACAAGAGGAGCTCTCTGTCGACTCGTTCATTCGTTCATTCACCGTTCAGCAAATCTCCGTGGGGCACATGTCCCTATTTCGGGCCAGCTCCGAGTCGTGCTTTTGTATCCATTAGCATAGACCCGAGAGTTCAAGTGGCGGATTTGGATGCTGAGATGATGCATGCAGTCGCTTGAGTCGCTATCTTCTGGTATTAGGAAGAGCTTCGAGGCAAACCATGGTACATTTGACTGTCCATGGTAACCGTAAGAACAAGCAGTGCTACCCGCCTCGAGCGACCGTTTGTGGCGACCACGCTTGTGTTTCCTCTGGAGGGGGAGATGGTCGCGTATCTTCCATATCCCGGGACTTGCGCCCGGAGGGCGCAGAGGCCGTCTCAGAGGTCAAGACGAGCGGTTCCGAGTGGTCCGGATGTTCTGCAAGAGGCGGGGCATTGCGCGGGGAGGGTATTTGTTGTTGCAGAGAAGCTATTTCGGCCAGACGTAGCTGGTCTTCGGCCTTGTCTCGAGCTTCTATCATTGCGACATTTCTCCTCAAGCGCTCTCGCCGAATAAGATCGGCTTGCAGTTCCTGAGTAGGCCTTGAGAAGGGAGCACGGGGGAGCGCAGTTTGGATGTGAAATTACCTCTGGTGTCGGGGGGTCTGGTCGTGTATGCGTTAGCCAAGCTGACCATTGCACTTGATCACAGTGTGAGAACATTTAACGATGATAAAGAGGTGTAATACCTGAAAGTTTCCTCTGTCCGCCGATGTATTTCCAGACGTCTTCGGATTCTCGGTATTTCACAGTTCGTCGCGGACGGGGGTCTTGAAGAAGTTAAGTCGGAGGAGTCTGATTGGGGCAGTGCGTACCGTCCAGCAGACTCGGATACTCATAGAAACGATTGCCTAAACGTAAGCTGGGCTCGAGGGTCAAGATGCAGGGGGTTTACCGTCAAAGTCTTGGCCAACGTAATAAGACTTGAGAGTATAGAGTTCAGCATGATTCTAGAGAGACCGCTGAAACTTTACTGGGCGGCGCAAGCGCATAACCAATCGACGCCATAGAGAGATTCCCGCCGAAGACATGATGGAACGCGTGAAGGCAAAGTGTACACGTGACCCGACGCGTCACCCCCACTTGTTTCTGCCTCACTCATCCACCATGCCTGACGTCGAGATGCAGTCTGCTGAAAAGAAAGAGGAGAAGAAAGAGGAAGAGAAGAAGGAGGAGACACCCAAATTTCCCCCGACCCCATTACAAGAGATCAAGAATAACGTCCTTCTCATCGAGCGGGCAGTAGCAACACTCGAACCGCGCTTTTCGAACCGCATCCTCCGAACTCTCGCTGGTCTACGGAAACGGGTCGATGCGTTGGTAATCCGCAATGCTGTCGATGAGCTCTTCGTCAAAGGTGCGCAGATCGGCTGCTGCCGCGTCTCTTTTGCGCTAATTCGAGAGAATAGACTCTCCTGCTAAACAGTCTTTGTTATCTTGGCTGCCAGATGCGCCTGTTGCAGCGAAAACTCAAGACATGGAAGTCGATGCGACCCCGTCGACGACACCTGCTGCACCCGCCGCTGAACCAGCTCCCGAAGTCGACATGTATCTGCGTCTGCTACTCATCCACCACTTTGACACGTCCCCTTCCACCTATACCAAGGCTATCGAACTTGCAAACGAGACTGTGGAGAAGGTGCAATTGTTGAATCGTCGAAGCATGGACCCGATCGCGGCGAAGATCTGGTACGCGTTGGAACGTGCATATGAACTAGGCGATCAACTTGCCGATGCGCGCCCGTGAGCACTCTTCCCTCATTGACCGACTCAAACTTAACTGTTCCTCCAGATTGTTTCTTGCCGCTCAACGCACAGCGTCACTTCGACACGATGACGAAACGCAAGCTTCGCTCATCAACCGTCTGTTGCGGAGTTACCTCCAGTACTCTCTATACGACCAAGCCGACAAGCTCGTCTCTAAAACCACTTTCCCAGCATCTGCTGGGAACACTCAGCTTGCGCGTTACCACTATTATATCGGCCGTATCAAGGCCGTGCAGCTAAACTACAGTGCTGCACACTCGAATCTCCAGCAGGCCATCCGTCGAGCGCCGGCTGCAACTCGTGCTCCCGGGTTCTGGCAAGCTGTGCACAAGCTCTTCGTCGTAGTGGAGCTCCTTATGGGGGATATCCCAGATCGCAGCTTGTTCCGGCAGCCTGTCCTTGAGAGGGCATTGACCGCGTACTTTGATATCGTGAAAGGTATGCATTACTCGAGCTCACAGCACATGAAACTGACAGTACAAAAGCTGTCCGCACTGGATCCCTGTCCCAATTCCAGACCACGCTCGCGAAGCACGCTACTCAGTTCGAGGCCGATCGAACTCTCACTCTCATCATTCGGCTGCGTCAGAATGTGATCAAGACTGGGATCCGCCGCTTATCGCTGTCTTACGCCCGGATATCTCTACGCGACATATGTGTCAAGCTTCACCTGGATTCAGAGGAAGATGCCGAATACATTGTCGGCAAGGCCGTGCGAGACGGTGTGATCGACGCTCGGATCGTGCATTCCAAGGGCTGGATCGAGTGCGGTGACCCTGCGAAGGGTGCCTATGGGCCAGAGGTTGCCGACGTTTACTCGCGGCGCATCGGCTACTGCTTGGAGCTGCATAACCAGAGCGTCAAGGCGATGCGATACCCGTTGAATGCCCACCGGAAGGAGTTGGCTGCTGCAGAAGGTGCTCGAGAGCGGGAGAGAGAGCTGGTCAAAGAAATCCAGGAGGGCGATCTCGATGACGATGACATGGGTGACTTTTAAGTACATACTGAGTGGCAATTTGACTCGTTTTCTGGAATCACTCGATCTCCGTTTCTCAGAGGTGGCAATCGGATCATTCGCATGCTGGTACAGCACTACTATCTCTTCACAGTAGAGTGCTGAGTCTGCTTGACTGAAGCCTTGACTGAAGTGCTGACTGAAGTCTGCTCGACTGATCTTGTCTTTAGTCTTGCCAGAGGCCTCGTGGCGGCCTCGGCGCCTTCCTTCCACGGCTCACGTCTCTGGAATCGCTTTGAGATACAGCCTGTGACTATGCATGAACGCCAACTGACTGTGGGGGCTGTGGAGGGCGCATGTATTCCACTTCTTGTCTCGTCGTCTTCGTCGTCGTCGTCGTTGAAGTCCCAGACGGTCGGCGATGGATCGGCGATGGGTTTGGCTTGGGAGCCTTCTCATGCCCATTATCTGTTCCAGTCTCGGCCTTCTTAGGATTGTTTGGGAATGCCTGACGACGCGGATGTCAACGAAGAGCAATGATCGTCTTGCAGTCAGAGTGCTCACATTCGCGTTGTGGATCTCGGTGTGAGTGGTTGAATTGCAGAGTTCGAGTCACTCAGCGTCACTTTATATGTGCCAGTCGGCTGTGCTTCGCTTCCTCAGCGAGTCCCAACAGAACGTAAGTCGGTGCCGTTCCACAGCCTGTACTACAGCAGTTTCACGAGCGCTGTTGCAAGTTCGATTGGAAAGCGTAGATGCAATGCCTGTCCCGCTGTGAGCACTTTCTAATGGAACCTGTATCAGATTCTTACCAGGCACCGAAGTAGTATCGATGTCAAAAGAATACAGAAGTCCTTATGTCCAGGACGCTAGCTGGCGCCACAGGCCGTGTACTTGCATCTCGCAGAAATCTGTTATTCTCCAGTCACGGGCAGTCTATAAGCAGGACTTCCAGAGGTGTGTATGTAAGATCTAGTGTTCGATAGGATGCCTGACTTGATGGACTCTTGGCAGTTCTGCGCTTCCGACAGAGACGCGCATCTCTGATTCGACAGAGAAAAGATCACAGAGCACTTCTGCGCCAGCTCTATATATACTTGATTTACACTCGAAAAGCTGTGCAAGATAATTATCATATAGCTGCTGGAGCTGTTACGGTGCAATTAGACGCTGATGATGACATAGCTATAGCGCTCTCAGTGAGCTGGTGAGGCTCTGCGAAAAAAACTGGAGGTGCACAGTATCGATTTCGGATGTCGGGCCGGATCTAGTAGCCTTATTTCAATTTATGATGCACCTGCCCATCATTTCAGTGTCCGCTGATGTTCAATCCTCCGGCCGGCGAGCGCTTTGCTTGTATGCACTTGTGCATCCGACCCAAATCGCAGTCTGCGTGCCCATGGTTGCGCTTTGCTCTGGTCTCAGTGTCGCCCAGCTCTCGACATCATTAAACTGGTTACACACAAGCCCACTACTGATTATAATTTCTGAGAAAGTCCGGCAAAGAGCCCAAGTCCAAGTATGAAATTCGGATTTCAGAGACCGAATTTAAGATTTCTTAACGCTTCCCTTCCCACCTGCGGTCGGTAGGTTCTGCTTGCCTTTGTCCTTGTATGCCGTCTGCGAACTTTGTTCTTCCGTCTTATCTTTGCCCTTCTCTTCCTTGGGCTTTCCCTGCCCCTTCGGAGGGTCTCGAGGCTCCTTTCTAGACCCAGTCATTGCGATCGACTTGGAGCGTTGCTTCTCGTTGAGCTTTCCTCGAGTCACATCTCTGAAACGACGGATTGAGTTCAAAGAATATTCGTACTGGGGAGAATATCACCGTGGTGCATCGTTGATAAGCTTGTAAAATTCGTAATCGATAGTGGCCCCTTCGTCATTGTTGTGTTCGGCTACACGACACTGCTGTTCCCCGTGTCGGATGACACTAGCCTGATCTCCGTCGACCTCTGGGTTCTCAGGGCCAACGTCTGCTACGGCTTCTGCTCCGTTGTCTTGTTGGTTGTATTGTGCCCTGTTAGGATAAGTTTCATGAGCTATCGTTTGATCGAACCTCACATTTGTGGAGGAGGGACTTTCTAGCTGGGTCAAGTTGGCGAGCCGTTGACTTTATAAGGGATGGCCTATTGAGATTTCCCTAGGAGATCGCTGGTCTTTTACAGCGGCACACCTATTGCTCTATGGTGGAACAGCATTTCGCATAGCTCTTGGGCGGCTGCACAGGGTTTGCTGTCCGGACATGCAGTTTGTCTCCGGGAAAGGCATGTGTGTCCAGGACAAGTATGTTGTTTCTGATAGTCCAGAAGAATTAAGTTGACACAAAGATCCCGACCAGATTGCTCCCATGAAAGAAGTAGGAAACTCTCCTGCAAGAATGACAATCAAGAGAATCCAGTCGAGGTCACGAAGGGCACCGGGCGCTCATCGAAGAAGCGTTACGTTCAAAGCATCACGCCATGTCAACGGAGAATCCGCATGGAATGAAGTGGCCCCGAAACACTAGGTTCGTCCAGAAAGACAGCTGTGAATGCTATACGAGCGTCTATTGGGTTGAACATTGAGCCAGCAGCCATCCATCCAGTGCATCTCTCCGATATTGCGTTTCTGAGCCGTAAGAGATGTTAGATCTGATCCCGTTCGCTCGGAGGTCTAAAAACGTCAGCTCTCGGTCATCACTGAGCTTTCAAGCGCCCGGGTACTCGAATGAAGTGTTGATCAACCTCAGCCAAAGTTTAAGGAATGATCTGATCTTATCTTATCTCTCTGACAACTCAATGGACACTGCCACTAAAATCGATAAGTATTCAGCGGGGCCAGTACTTATCTGAATGCACGCTCTTGAACATCGTTATTGTGTGTGCACTGACGAGCATCCGGAATCTTCGATAATCTCCTGCTTGACATTTCATCGCGATTTGAACTGTGCTGGCGATAAGCAGTCACCCATATCGACTTCTATGGACGATACAGTCCAACCCCACTAGGTGCCTCCTATCGAGTCGGCGATGACTCCGAGTCGACACCTGCTCCAGCCACGTTCGCCATGGCCCATGCATGATCGCTCTGTCGCCGGAAGGGATCCATTCGAAAGACGAACTTCTCGGACGATAGGTTCACGACACAGAAGCGAGGAGATAGAGGCTCGGAGGACGGCTGAGAGACGGCGTTGGGTCATGGTTCACTCGTGAATGAGATTGATGGTTTGGGATGGAAACCACAGGGAAGATGCGGTTGGCAGACTGTATCTAATCTCTTGGCAGCCCAGAATCCGACGACGAACATGTGCAGAAGACGCAAGAAGCTTGTGTCAAAGTGAACGGTGAATTCTGGTTTCGATTTCTTGGCTTTTGTAAGGGATGGGCCAGAGCAAGACCCGAGTCATTGCAGCTGTCTACGCGAAGGAAAATACTAGATCAGCAAGGAAAGGCTGCGAGCAGCGATCTAGTACTCGTCGGTTCTGACTAGATATCTGTTTCTGCGATTCGCACAGATCCATCGTCCACATGGACGGTAGATGTCTCGTCGCAACATCGGCGTAATACTTGAGTAATGATAGGCTTCTCCCAAGACGATGTTCGGAAGCCGGGTCATTTATGTAAAGACCCTGATACATAATTCCCTTGATTTTTGACGCCACCTTTCTTCCCACCTGTTCCCTGACCACCACCACCATCCACTGACCATGTCCATCACCAAGATCCACGCCCGCCAGGTACTTCTCATCCCCTCCCCTCCTCGCTCGCAGTGCTAATCGATGAGCGCGTAGATCTTTGACTCTCGCGGCAACCCCACCGTCGAGGTCGATCTTTACACCGCTAAAGGTGGGTATCTTTCTACGTCTTTTTCGTCCTCTCCCTGTTGCCATTCGGATCTGTCGATGGATGGTAGAAGATCGGACGGGGTGACGCGTCCAACTGCGAGACCGCAGCTAGGGGTACAGCGTTGCGGGGGTTTTACGTCCAAGAGACGTCGCCAATAGACCCACGAGTCCCCCAAACTACAGAGATGCAACTGTGCGGTGCTCTAGAAGAGTGAGGCGCTTGTGTTTCCTGGGTCGTGTCCGTGAACGCGATCGATCTCATTGGCAACTTTTTCTTTGGGGTAGCTCCGCCTCCCAATCGCGACTCCGTTTATATCCGATCTCCTCAGATATCGCGGTCATTGGCGGGCGGGCGGACGATTATCGGAGACTAATTATCTATTTCGAACAGGTCGCTTCCGCGCCGCTGTGCCGTCTGGTGCCTCGACCGGTATCCATGAGGCTGTCGAACTCCGTGATGGTGACAAGACCGCATACGTTGGCAAGGGTGAGCTTCCGACGCGTCGTCACTTTTTCTTTCGTTCTCATGTGGTTCAGGTGTCAGCAAGGCCGTCTCGAACGTCAACGACGTCATCGCACCTGAACTCATCAAGTCCGGACTCGCCGTGACCGCCCAGAAGGAAATTGATGACTTCCTGATCAAACTCGACGGTACTCCCAACAAGGGGAAGCTCGGGGCCAACGCCATCCTTGGTGTCTCCATCGCCGTCGCCGAGGCCGGTGCTGCTGAGAAGGGTGTTCCTCTCTACCAGCACTTTGCCGACCTCGCTGGCGTCAAGCCGCCCTTCGTGCTCCCCACCCCGGCATTCAACGTCATCAACGGAGGTTCGCATGCGGGCAACAAGCTTGCATTCCAGGAGTTCATGCTCCTTCCCACCGGGGCCACTTCTTTCACCGAGGCGATGAAGATTGGTACCGAGACTTACCACACCCTGAAGAAGGTCATCAGCGCGAAGTACGGAATTGACGGTGTGTCTCCCAAGACGTTCTTGTCCTGACATCCCACTGAGGCCCGTCAGCTGTCAACGTCGGTGACGAGGGTGGATTCGCTCCCAACGTGTCTGGTGCCGAGGAGTCGCTTGAGCTTCTGTCCGAAGCCATCAAGAAGGCCGGATACGAAGGCAAGATCAAGATCGCTCTGGATGTCGCCTCGTCGGAGTTCTACAAGGAGGGCAAATACGACCTCGACTTCAAGAACCCCAACTCGGACCCGAGCAAGTGGATCACCGGTGTCGAGCTCGCTGACTTGTACATGAGCTATGTGAAGAAGTACCCCATTGTGTCCATCGAAGACCCCTTCGACCAGGACGACTGGGAGGCCTGGACCCACATCACCAAGCTCAGTGGCATCCAGATTGTCGGTGATGACTTGACTGTGACCAACCCCCTCCGCATCAAGACTGCCATCGAGAAGAAGGCCTGCAACGGTCTGCTCCTCAAGGTCAACCAGATTGGAACGATCTCCGAGTCGATCCAGGCGTCAGTTTACTTTTCCTGCTTGTTGAGTCAGGACTCACTATTTGCAGTGCTCAGCTCGCCCAGTCTGACGGCTGGGGTGTGATGATCTCCCACCGATCCGGCGAGACGGAGAACACCATCATCGCCGACCTCGCTGTCGCCCTTGGTGTTGGACAGATCAAAACGGGTGCTCCGGCTCGTAGCGAGCGTGTTGCCAAGTACAACGCTCTTCTCCGCATCGAGTGAGTTCTGTGTGGGTTTATCACGTGTCGCTCATCCCGTCATCAGAGAGGAGATCTCGGCTTCCGGCGCCACCTTCGCAGGCGAGACTGGGCTGTCTGCTGGTCTTACGCCCCCTGCGCTGCTGAAGAAGTAGATACTCAATCAAAAGAAGAATACGATAATGTGCTTTTATCTGGTTACATAGACTTTTCATGTACAAAACTAAATGCAATCAGTGCTTGTAGTTCATCTTAGCCCGATTGCAGAGTCAGAAATATAATGTTAAATACAGTGTGAGTAGCTCAGTATGACTGGTGTGCAGCGGTTTATCGTGGTGAAGGGCGCGGTTTGGGCGGACGGATGAACGCAGATGTGCTGTTGCTGATCTTTCCGCGCGGCTGGTCTCTAAAATGACGGATGGTAACGCTTTCAAGCTTCAAAAAGACGTGTCTATCCACTCACTGAGGAGGCTTTGGTGGCTCCATCCACGCAATCTCATCGTCCGACTCGGCGACCGGGTTTGGCTTCGCCACAGGCTTACTGGGCGCTTCGGTCTGCGCCGTCTCTTCTTTATTCTTGACTTCTCTGTGTACGTGGGTTATCATCGCTGTTCTATGGAAGTACCCGTCGAGCAACGATCGCGACATACGGATTCATGATAGGGTGTCTGGGTGCGCTGCTGCGCGGAAGTGGATCGTGGTGATGGTGAAAATCAGGGCTGCAGTGCAGAGCTGTTATATATCACGGTTTGAAAGAAATCAACGGCCAACTTACTAGTTGCCTACCCGCGATTGGGGCTACTACAGATGGATGAATGGACCGAGAGATACAGAATCAAGATGAATCCTTGTGCTTCTATCGAGCGTTCTGCGAGTTGCTCGGTATCCGTCGGTAAGGTACTGCCCAAGGTGCGAGCGGAACTCGATTACGAGATGAGCCTGGCGATAAGATTATCATCATTGATGCAATCAAGAATTTCGGCCTCAGGACAGACGGGGCTTAAAGGATCTCTAGCTTTCCTCCTGCGCATATGCTCATTACCCTCCTTCCCTTTCGTAAAAAATCTTCTAGTCTCCACTGCTTTCTTGAATTGGTAGTATTCCTTCCGTAGTAAATGATTCATAGACGTCGGTATTGACATGAGCGGCTATGCGGGCAGTGCTAGTTTGCGGCGGTGTTAAATTCCCGACTGCTGACCTCCGCGACTCGAATCATGGAGGGTTCGGGGCTAAAAGAGGCGCGCACCAGCATCTGCCAATCTTCCGTGCCACTGTCCTGTGCTTACGTCAACGACCGTCACCGCCCTGGCCCGGCGGCACCTCTGGCGCGAGGATCTCACGATGGATTGGAGGTCCAATCATCGGCTGTATCTCACTATTGTCATTTCTCATCGATCCCACCGCGCCCCTAGGATAGTTTAACAGCTATTACGTCTGCCGGATTGTTTTTTCGGCCCGGCAGGTCTGGAAGGCAGGACGAGTGTAGACTGGCGCGAGCGTGCTGGGCCCAGCAGGGACTTCATTCATAGCCTTCAAGCGCTCTAGTCGTGTTCTCTGCTTCCTACTGGGAGTGCATAGCACTGGACGCATTGGCGTGTGCCTCAAGTTGAGCATACTGTGCCGTTGCTTCAAGTTTGCACAGCCCTCAGTGGATTGCTCATGGCGGTGCAACCTGAGTAAACCTACTTAAGTGGTGCTGTCAGTGGCTACTTACTGAACACGCAGCTCCAACTCCCCATTCAAGTCACAATGGCAGCAATCTTGGCATCGAAAACCGGCATGGAATTTGGAAGCCTTCGCCCCATCACATCAAACGAAACAGGTCGTTATGAACGAGGTGGATTGTGCGTTCTTTTCTTTCAGCTTCACGGTAAAATATCTGCTGTTCTTACACGGCAGCATTAGTGCCGACCCTGCCAATGTGACTATCCCCTCTGGAACGTTCTTCAGCTCGCGGAAACCCGAGTACGACGATTTGCCGCCTTTTCGCTGCTCTCCTCACGCAGTGTTCTTAGACCGGAATATCTCCCCGCACAGTGGTGTAATGCGATTCATCCAGAGGGCCAGCTCTACTTCTTCCGCCAAGGGACGCTCCGGGTCGTCACCGAGGCTCATCTGTACGACCAAGACAACATGGCGCGAGTCCTTGGCTGGGTTGAGCGGATTGAGAGGCTGGCTGCTCAGCGAGCCTTCCCGATTTCGGACGCCAACGAATTGTTCATCAAATTGGAAGGAGACGATTGCGAGTACTACCTAGTCGATCATGCCACTCGAGCTCTGGCATGGCTCGAGGATGTGCAGACGGAGGACTTGGGCTTGCCTCCAGTTGTGTCGACCTCGCAGCTCGGTATCCTTCTGGAGGAACTTTACTGGAGCCACGTCGAGCACTTCCCCATGCACCTGGGCGGTCTGCCTGAGCAGGTGATCGACTCTCTGACATGTGTTTTGACGCATGCGATCTGCGGTAGGATCTCTCCTGCTTGAAATCAGCGCCCGTCTCATGTTGCATAGATCAGATGACCTCCCGCGTATCCACGTTCCCGTATTCTAAACAGGACTGCGAAGCTTTTTTGCGCCTTCTGCAGAGCTGCAAGTCCCACAGCTTGGACGGCAGCATCGTCTGTATGATCGGTGAGCCTTGCCAAACTTTTGATCCGGACTGAGGCTAACTCGATCGATCCACAGCCCGCATCTGGAGCCTAGTTTGTGAGTAGTAGTGCACCGCTCTTTTCAAAGTGGGCCAGGAGCCTGATCTGTATTCCAGGTCGGAACAGATATCTTACGCAGTACGGCCAGGAACACTCCCGGTTGTCGCGCGACCAGGCGGTGCTCTTCGATCCCGAAACTCCGAACCAATGGCTGTCCATCATCACTGCCCGATGTTCATTCGGAGTATCCGATCGCTACCTCGCAAAGTTGGACGCGGTCTTCGTGGACCATGTTGTCTACACCGAACAGTGGAGTGAGACGGTGGCGGATTTCCTCAAGGGGTGGCGCGCGTCTGCGTTGGCCGCTTTCTTTGCATTGATGTCAGTTCTGCTCTGCTACGCAAATACAAGATCCAGGTGGCTGATCTGGAGCTGCAGGCTTCATTTGTTCTTCATCCCGGGCTCCCTGTCGCCCCTCATCGTGGTTTCGGCTGTTCTGTTTGGGGCCAGCTTGCTCACATCGGCCCTGCTCATTCATCGTTTCGATCAGCTGGAAGGCATCAGCGCCACCGAAGCTGTAAGGCATTGCGCTGTCTCGCAACACCCGGTGGCTGACCATCCATCAGATGAACTATCTCGAAAGCATCCTGTCGCCCACCTTTCATTTCCAGCTTGTGGCCTTGATGCTCGCCCTTCCCCAAACTCTTCTTGGCTGGGGCACTCTCTTTTTTCTCGCCCGGCTGTTGCTGGTTTTGCTCGAAGTCACCGGTGTCTGGGGAGCGGGTAGTGTGCTTTGTGGGAGCTGTCTCGGGTACCTTCTTTTCCAGAAGACGACCTCGCAGCGCTTCAATCAGCAGCTGTCCCAACTACGTGCTCGGTTCGCGAGTCTGGCAGGCCGAGAGGAATGTGCTGCGATGGTTTGACTGGCGGTGGTTATCGACATCGTCACAACTTGTAGTACGAGAGAGGAATTGGTTTCGTGGCAATGGTGGCATATCAGCGAACTGGATCGGCCAGAGCTCAGAGAGCCCTAACAGCTTCAGTCCCAGCGCTGTCACCGAAGCAAGGTTGCCGCGAGGAACCTGCATTGCTATGAGGCGATTGTCCTAGCAGACGATACATCTGCCCGTCTTGCAGAACAGGCGCCTCGCGGCTGATGCCCAGTTCCCAGCAATATTTTGCGGCCCCTCGACGATTCGACACTGTAGTCATCGGGTCGATTGGAGACAGACTGTTGTGCTTGTGGCATATCTAGAGAAGACAAACTCTTGTGTGGTTGTTTCGTATCTAGAAATACTAGTATTGATCGCGCAAGCTAGCTTCCAAATATCAGTTCTGCTGTACGTCTTCCGTTGGATCAGTGGCAGTGTCGCTTTTCTTTCTCCTCCCTATGGCCCATGGGAGTTTTGGGATTAACCCCTTTCCTCCAAAAGTCTTTGCAAGTCCAATCTTCCCGGTTCAAGTCTTTCGCTGAATTTTCTTCTCTAGTCCCGATGTCATAAAAAAGCTACCAGATCGACTGCGCGGGTTAGCTGGGAAGAAACTCGTTTTGTGCGTTCCGCCCTCAGCCACAGAAGGACCAATCTCAATTAGACAGTCAGCGACGGGACACTTATAACTCATCGGCTCTATTTTTCTCCCAACCCTCATGAGCGACGGCACATCATCGGCTGGTTTCGGCTGGTGAAGGAGCTCCGGGAGGCCGGCGTGGACGCGGTGTGTGTGTTCGATGGGGAAGGGAGGAGTACCGCCAAGGCAAAGGAGGTACGCGTCTTTTTCGTATGGGGAGGGGCTACCTGATGGCTCGACATTCACAGGCTGCGCGACGGCGCAAAGTGCAGAATTTGACAGTCGCGCGAGGTTCGATCGAGCTCGACCGCGTGCAACGGCTGAAACGGCTCGGAGACACGATGGCGCAGTTGAAACGAGTCGATCATCCTGAACGGCGACGCGTCGGTGACTTGTTGGAGAACTTAGCTGGTGCACTTCCGAATGTCGTGCCTTCTGGCAGGGGCGAAGTGAGTGGGCCGCCATTGCACGGAACCCTTGCGCCACCGGCTGAGAAGCGCGGTACGCTCCCTGCTCCCACTGTTCAATCAAATCAAGATTCTCTGCCGGTCCAAACGTCCATGCCCTCCCCCACACCAACGCCGACACCAGCCACACCGCCGACCACATCAAAGTCTGCCTTGGATCAATCATTCCCGCTTCCTCCTGTCCCTTCACCGCCGCACTCTCTGTCTACTGTCTCTGACATAAAACCGGCCCCCGTTGAGACGGCGCTGGACTCAGTCGCAGAAATGTACATTGAGTTTTTGGCAAGCGTCCAAAAGCTAGCTTCTCTAACGCCGACCATTTCTTCGGCAGCGGTGTCCGCGACCGATGAGGATGTTCGAGTGGAATATTCGATGTCGAAGACGCAGGTGGCGCTAGCGCAGCAGGAGGCAAACTTGTGGCGTGGCCTATCTGCTGCTGACTTTGATGCCGTAGGCGCGGAGGACTCGCCACTCTCGCACCTTTCGGCGAAGGCAGAAACTATGTCCAAATCCTATCAGCGGCGCACAGACGTTCCGACGACGCAAACGTACAATGAATGCAAGAGTTTGTTGCGGGCGATGGGCGTTGCATGTGTCTCAACGACCGGAAGCTATGAGGCTGAAGCGTTGGCTGCGTCGATGGTCATTCATAAGATGGCTGACTTTGTCGTCAGCGAGGACACTGTGCGTTGTAGTCCCTCATCCCTCGTTTATCGTGACGAGCGTTTGAACACAGGACGTGGTAATCTATGAAGCCCCCCTCCTACGCAACATTACCAACCGCAAATCTCCGCTGTTGCTGCTAAACGGAACAGAGGTCCGGACGGCGCTATCTCTCTCTCGCGCTTCTTTCATCGACTTCGCCCTCCTGCTGGGGACCGACTTCTCTCAGCGGATCAAAAACGTCGGGCCGGCCCGCGCACTGAAACTCATTCACGCACACGAGACCATCGAGCGTTTGGTCGCAGTAGAAGGCGCTAAATACCCGCCGCGCACTCCACCAGAAGAGTACCTCCAAGACGTCAGACGGGCCCGCAAGGTGTTCGGGACGCTGCCGCCCGTCCCCGCGGCCCACCTCATTCATCAGGAGCAAGACGACGGTGGCCTCGCCGTCCTTTTGCAACGTTTTGGGCTGGGCCGGCTATTGATGGCTGATGATATTGATGGAGAAGGCGAGTATTGGGATTATGAACAGGCCTTGACCGGTAACTATTTTGGAGACAACCCTACGGCAGAGTAGCTTCAAACAACTGTGTATACATAATATAGCACTCCAAAGAGGCCGTGGCTGAACGCTATGGTCATACGTGTGCGAGCGTGATGATGCACGGCGACATCGACAAAATCAGTACTCAAGCATAGCCACATCTAGGAGCCGCCACGTCTTGTCGTTCTTCCTTCGCGTCCCTAAAAGCGGGAGCACGCTCTCCGCTCTCCACTTGATACACAATATCGTATATAGCGCCCCATTGCGCCCGTATAACCGACAACTCCATCAGGACGATACCGATACCACGCGCCCACCATGTCTGTGATGCTCACCAAGTTCGAGTCGAAAAGCAATCGCGTCAAGGGTGTGTATATGCGTTCTCTTCTTGGAATTTCATCGTTCTCCTCCCTCGCATCATGACATAGGTCTTACCTATCCCTTTCCCCTCGTCATCATACCCTTTTCTGTCCTTGACGAAGCCTCTCTTCTGGGCTGCATAACCGCGTAACTAACTTGTTCCAGGCCTCTCCTTCCACCCGACACAACCCCTCCTCGCCGCAGGCTTGCACAATGGCAGTATCCAGCTCTGGAACTACCGCATGGGCGTGTTGGTGGATCGCTTCGATGAGCACGAAGGTAAGAGTTTATTGTCCTGTCCTGCATCCCCCGCTCCCCTGAGCCCTGCTTGAACCCGGAGCTCTCTCACGTTAGACTCCCTCATCACATTGGATTGGTCTACATGCGATCGATATATGTCTCCACATCCCATAAAAGAAGCTGACGCCCCACACAGGCCCTGTGCGTGGCCTCGACTTTCACCCCTCGCGAGCCCTGCTGGCATCAGGCGCTGACGACTACCGTATCAAAATCTGGGGTGCCGTTTCTCCGCTACCTTTCACGTATTCGCAACTAACGGGAGATATCAGATATCCGGCCCCAGAACCGACGCTGTTTATTCACCCTGAATGGGCACTTGGACTATGTGCGCAGTGTGCAGTTTCATCATGAGATGCCATGGATCGTGAGTTTCACCGGCTGTCGTATTACGAGCTCTTCTTCAACTCCTGGCGGTCCAGATTTCCTGCTCGGACGATCAAACAATCCGGATCTGGAACAGTACGTCGCGTAACTGCATCGCGATTCTGACGGGACACTCGCACTATGTGTTCACGGCGTTCTTCCACCCGAAAGACGATCTGGTCGTTTCTTCCTCGATGGATCAGACCGTGCGAGTGTGGGACATTTCCAGTCTTCGCCGCGGGACGCCGGGACACGCGTCGTCGGCCTCTTCTACGCCTGGAATCGGTGGAGCGCCGGGTCAGTTCGAGGCGTTTGATTCGTTCGCCACTGTCAAATACGTGCTCGAGGGTCACGACCGTGGTGTCAACTATGCTGCCTTCCACCCCACTCTTCCGTTGATCGTGTCCGCTGGTGACGACCGAGTCATCAAGATTTGGCGTATGTCGGAGACCAAGGCGTGGGAGGTCGATTCTTGCCGTGGGCATTTTAACAATGTCTCCACTGCGTTGTTCCACCCCAAACACGAGCTTATCGTCAGTTGTGGCGAGGACAAGACGATCCGTGTTTGGGACCTCGCCAAAAGGACGGCGATCCAGACATTCCGCAGGGAGAACGACCGCTTTTGGGTGCTCGCAAGCCATCCGAACCTCAACCTCTTCGCAGCTGGCCACGACAATGGATTGATCGTCTTCAAACTCGAACGCGAACGGCCAGCGTTTGCAGTGCACCAAGATACACTGTACTACGTCCGTGACAAATACGTGCGCTCCTACGACTACGCAACTGGATCAGATGTTGGCATGCTGAGCATCCGCAAATTCGGCAGCCCTTATGTCCCACCTCGGACGCTCAGCTTCAATCCGGCCGAAAGAGCGGTCGTTGTCACGGTTGGCTCGGATGGGGGCATGTACGAGCTCAGTTCGTTGGGCAGCGGTGCAAATGGTGGCGAGGTCAAAGATTCCAGCACAGATGGCAAGAAGGGCGCCGGGCAGAGTGCAATCTTTGTGGCAAGGAATCGGTTCGCTGTCTTGCAGAAGGCCACCCAGTTGATCGAGATCCGGGATCTTGCCAACGCGATCGTGAAGAGCATCAAGCCTCCCGTGCAGACGAACGAGATCTTCTATGGTGGCACAGCGAGCCTCATCTTGAGCTCGACCACCTCGGTCGTATTGTACGATATCCAGCAGCAGAAGACGCTAGCAGAAGTCAACTCGCCCCCAGTCAAGTACATCTCCTGGAGTGGTGATGGATCGCTGGTTGCATTGATGAGCAAGCACAGTACGTGGTTAAATTTTGTGCTTCCTCGAATAGAACGCTCACTGTCGCAGCCATTACGATTGCGAATCGGACATTCACACAGAGTAGCCTGATCCACGAGACGATTCGCATCAAGTCGGGCGCCTGGGATGATTCGGGCGTCTTCATCTACTCGACCCTGAACCATGTCAAATACTGTCTTCCCCAAGGGTCGGTGGTTCCCCTTGACTAGCTAAAATTCTTCGCTAAATCACTGCTTCCGCAGTGACCATGGTGTGATTTGCACGCTCGACAACCCAGTTTATCTCACACGCGTCAAGAACAAGACCGTGCATTGTCTCGATCGCTCCGGACGCCCTAGGACGATTACCTTCGATCCCACGGAGTACCGCTTCAAGCTCGCTTTGCTCAAAGGCAATCATGAGGAGATGTTATACATCATCAAAACATCAACCTTGTTGGGACAGAGCATCATCGGTTATTTGAAAGAGCGGGGCTGGCCTGAGATCGCTTTGCACTTTGTGCAAGACACAAACACCAGATTTGAGCTTGCTCTAGAATGCGGGAACCTTGATGTCGCGATGGAGACCGCCAAGGCAATTGACCGGGAAGACTGCTGGGAGCGATTGGCTGGACAGGCTCTGAAGCAGGGTAACCACAAGGTATGTTTCTCATGTCTAGTAATATGCTTCGACCGCTTATCCACTCCACGATAGGTTGTGGAAAAGGCCTACCAACAGATGAAAAACTTCGACAAACTGTCGTTCTTGTATCTGATCACTGGCGCGAGCGACAAGTTGGGCAAAATGCAGAAGATTGCAGACGCACGTGGAGATCCGATGTCGAGGTTTCACAACACGTTGTACGGAAATGACGTCGAAGGTAGAATTGCTGTTTTGAAGGACGTTGGGATGTGTGAGTGGTTTCTTGTAGTCCATTGCGTAGACTGACTGGGTTATCCGCAGATCCCCTAGCATATCTGACTGCCAAAACGAATGGCCTGCCTGATTTGGCTTTGGAAATTCTCGAGGCAGCCGGGCTCACGGAAGCGGATGTCGACGACGTGCCGGATTTCGGGCAGTCGACGTTGAGGACCCCTAGTATAGTGACTCAAACAGGGGAGATGAACTGGCCCGTTATTGCCGGGCCCGGCAGTGTGTTTGAAAAGGCGCTTCAAGAAGGATTTGAGGGTGGTGTAGGCGAGTATGCTAATGGTGATGCTGCCCTGGACACGTGGGCGAAGGACGCGCATCAGGAAGCGGAAGACTTGTTGGAGGAGAACGTCGATCCGGAGGAAGGGGGCTGGGAGCTTGATGGAGATGCGGCTGGATTCGAGGGTCCCGGTGCCGACGCTGAGGATGAGGATGACCAAGTCGAAGACGAAGAACTACCAGCTTCAGCACCAGGGGTCAGCGAGACAGAGCACTGGGTTCGGAACTCGCCATTGGCTCCGGATCATGTCGCTGCTGGTTCATTTGAGACTGCCATGCAGGTGAGATGCTTTGAATGTGTGTTGGAAATTTCTGAACACAACCAGCTACTCAATCGCCAACTGGGAATCGTTAACTTTGCACCACTGAAACCGATCTTTTTGTCGATCTACCGCTCTTCCCACACGTATCTCACCCCTGTTGCATCGCTGCCAGCTCTCCAGTTGCACGTCCGACGCAACCCAGGCGAGACGCAAATGAGCCGAGTGTTGCCGGTTGTCGTTCGTAGCCTGGCTGCGGTGCGATCCGAGCTGGGCGATGGATTCCGAGCTGTATCGGCGAACAAGCTGGCCGATGCCCAGATTGTATTCAAGAGTGTGCTGCTGCAGTTGTTGCTAGTCCCACTGAGCTCGGACGACCAGGCCCGCGAGTGGAGAGAGCTGGTGACTACCGCCCGCGAATACCTCCTCGGTGTGTCGATCGAGCTTGAGCGCCGACGAGTTGCGGAGAACGACCAAGAGGTGAAACGGAATCTGGAGCTGGCCGCGTATTTCACGCAGTGCAAGATGCAGCCTGCGCATATCCAGATCGCGTTGCGGAGCGCCGTGAGTGTTTTCACCAAAGCCGGCAATCAGGCAGATGCTGCGAGATTCGCCAAGAGGCTTCTCGACTTGAAGCCGGACGCAAAGATCGTTGCTCAGGTGCGTATTTTGTTTTGCGTATCGTTCTTTGTAACAAACATCGCGCAGGCTCGGCAACGCATCGCGGCTGGCGAGCGAAACCCTCGAAACGCGGTGGAGATCTCATACGACGAATTCACACCATTTGAGATCTGCGCAGCAAGCTATACGCCAGTATTCAAGGGCGGAAATGCTGTGTATTGTCCGTATACGAATGCCGCATACCAAGCAGAGTACAAGGGAACTTTGGACAGTCTTGTTGGGCTGGCGGAAGTCGGTGCTGTTGCAACTGGGGTGCCAGCACCATGGTCCTGATTAAATACATACTCAATTATTATATTCTCATGCCATCGGATTCAAAAATACCTTCAAGCCCAGTCACGATCACGTGTTGGTGACGATACGTGAGCCTCAGCCTGATTCTCTCTAATCCTCTTCTTCTATGAGTTCTGGTCCCTCCCCCGTCCGCGTCAACTCCTCCCTGCTTCCGCGCTTCGTCGGTAAAGATGTACGACTGATTTGCAAACCTATCAACGTGAATTCCTCCCTTTCATGCGGCAGCATGGTGTTGACTTTCACATCTAGTTCAGCGGTACTGGCGCCGTTGTAGCTGCGTCTGACGGAGGCCAGGTTTCCGTCACGCTTACTTCGGTTCGAATCGCCTGGTATTCCCATTCATCCGTCATTCATTCGACATAGGATTCCAATCTGGGGCCGAACGAGTACTATGAGGTGTTAGGCAAGGTCGTAGACAAGACGACGGTGCGAATGTTCCGGTATACGAGCATGGGGAACGATCTGGGTATGTTCCACTCGCGCGAATATCTGTTTCTCACTCGGGACTTTCCCGCTGGTAGATATGAAGCTCGTGAACGACACCATTGAGCTCATGCACGATCCGCGATTCTATTCGACCTTCTTCAGCCCTGAATAGCGAGCGGCACACGGAGTCTCCCCTCTGTACACCGATCATGTTATTTGTACCGAAACTGCTTTGCACGCATCGTCTCCCGTGCTCGAATGTACAACTGAAATGTCTGTTTTTCATCGCATTGCATCGTATCGCAGCTCGCGACAGGCAACGAGCCGACTTGATCGCGTTGTTTTCCAGAGATTACCTCCTGCCCTCGACCATGATGATATGGTACCCGAAGTTCGTCTTCACCAGAGAAGAGTAGATGGGCTTGTCCACCGTCGATGGTGTGAGAGCGAACGCGGCATCCTGGAATGCTCCCACCTGCACGATACGACGCGGATGAGAAGATTTGATGGGAGAGAAAAGGATGGCCAGCCGCGGATCAGCATGGAGGATCTGCTTCTCCAAAGTGGGGACGCACCATGCTGCCTCGCACCATCCATCCCAGGCTCCCGCCGGCTATAAAGAACAAAACTGAGCTACCCGGGGAATAATGTGAAACGCGCCACAGCACCTTTGGCCTTGTCCTCCGAATACTCTGTTGCGACTTCTGGCAGAGCAGATCATCGTAGAATCAGCGTCCGGTGTGCCCGGGGTGAGCAGATCCCAGGCTCAACTGTTGAAGGCCACTCCTTCTTGAAGCTTTCCGAGCGCCTCAGTCGCTTTGGCGTGTTTCTCGCAGAGGATGTGTCGCACGTTCACCGCTGTTGCTGCTTTGAGTTTGCCGGTGGATTTTCCGGCGTCGGTATCGGCATCTTGCGCCTTCCCGGATCCTTTCCCGGATCCTTTCTTGGTCGCAGAAGTCTCTTTCTTGTCTGCGGCTGTCTTCTTGGCCATTGTGAAACAGTGGGATTGGAGCGCTGGTCACGATCACAGGAACACTCAAGCTCCTGGACGGGAATCGATGTCACTCAATCTGATATGATGGCGTCAACCTCTACCAAACAGCTCTTACCGTTCGTTGTGTACCACGTCCCCATGTTCAACCTGGAACGACAGTTTGGAGAAACTTGAGACCGACTGTGCTCTTGACGTGAGGATGCTCCTTTCCGTACATAATCAACGATTCAGCCACCCCGACGTATTCTCTCTTACTGACACACCTGCTGTAAGAAGTCACAAGGCAGGCCCAACACCATCTTAGGCCATCTTAGGCCAATTTCGCCAAATTTCTACATCTCAACATCCTCGAGATCTGTGAACATTGCCTGTGTTAGCGTGGAATATAGAAGCTGGGATGCATGCATCGAATTGTGTGTATGGTAATCGACTAAACGACTAATTGTAAGATACAAGCAAGCAGCGGTCATTACGTGGATATCATCGCGCTCATTAGTCGTCAGAGAACCCAGCCCCAGGTGGGTCAGGATTAGTATGAACTATGTAACATCATGTCAGTCGTCTTTTTCTGTGACGGACGCGCCGTCGGTCGGAAGTTGGACAGCGTCGAAAACATCCACGGACGTCGATGCGAAATGACGCGCACTGACACCCTGTCCGAAGAGGATGTCGAGCTCTGCAAAGGTGCGTCCTTGCGGCTGGAAACACTCAACACAGCGACACAAGACGGCTCAGGAACGCTTACCTCGGGCACTCGGAAGTAGGTGTAGATAACACAGAAGAAGCAGATTCCGCCCCAGAAGAAACCAGTGTAGTTACTCCAGTTCCATGCTCCTGGGTTGAGCATATAGGGACTGAGAACAGCGCAGATGATCCCAACGATGTTGCTGTGGAATTCGATGAGTGCAGTTTGAAAGGTGGGACAGAACGAGACATACTAGAGATTGCGTCCGAGAACGATACTCTTGATCAACAGTCGCCTCGAGCTGATCTCACTGACAAGGGAGTAGGCAACAGTGCCGACAGTGCACTGATAGATCACAGCCCATACGAGCATCAAAGAGCCAGTGGCAAGTGCAGCCTGGATCAGCTCAGCTCCCGAAAAGAAACTGAACTAATCAACAACTCACCTGGTCCTTGTGCTTCTCCGGAACCAGACCAAGGAAGCCCAGACAGAACAGCACGATGCAGAGGCCGATGAGACCATAGAGATAGAGTGCCCGGCGACCGACTAGGGTCGGAGTCAGAACAAGAGGAGGTGCGAGGACACAGTGATTACGCACTACCACGACTCATGAGGAACCAAGCTCCGAATACGCCCGCCATATTGATGCCATACTGTCCAAGCACAAAGTCGTAGGATTTCGCTGGCGCCAACCCGGCTTGTTCAAGAAAGTAGCTGCGCCCAGTTGTTAGCCTGGGACTTGGACGAGCCCACGAAACGTACGTGGAATATCCAGTAAACGAGTTGCCCGCAAGGTTCTGCATCGCCCAGACCATGCAAACAATCTCCGTCCGACGCAACTCCACGCCTCGGAAGCAATCGAGGTAAGTCGACCCACGGGTGATCTTCTCTTCGAGCCTGGTCGTATGCTCCATCATGGCGATCGTTTCGTCGGCATCGAATTCTTCTCCGTGGTCACCAGCAATGCTCGCTTTGCTGGTTAAACGGAGAAGTGACTGCTTAGCCTCCTCATGACGGCCTTTCCTGACCAGCCACCAAGGACTTTCAGGTGCGAGAGCAACGCCGATGAACAGAGGGAGCGGCCACATCCATTGGAGCGCATAGGGGATCCGGTAAGCCCATTGGTCTGTGCGCCCGAGGAAAGACTTGATCACGCCGACTCCGATGACTTGTCCGAGTCCCCAGCAGAAGTTGACATAGGTCGTGAGATAGCCGCGCAGGGCGACAGGGCAGACTTCCGAAGCGTACGTGATCGTGACTGATTAGAGATGACGGTCAACAGGGAAAAAATGTGGTAGACATTGGAACAGACGCACGGGTTTGGAAAACACCCCAAGGAATACCGCACAAGATCTCTCCTACTTGCAGCGCAATGACGTTCTTTGCAGTGAAGAGGATAGCCGTAAAACCGATCATGCAAACCAAGCAGGCCATGACAGTTTTTCGGTAGCCGTACCGCTCACTCAGCCAGCCGTTAAGAAACAGGCCGAGAATCTCTCCACAGTTCGCGCCATTGCTCAATCCGGCCTGCCATCTCGCTGGGACCTGGTACGTTCCGTTCGGCAGCTGCACGCCGTACTTCTGATTGAACTGAGGAAAAGCATAGAAGTTCGAAAGCAAGCAGACGTCGTAGCCCTCCATGCAGATACAAGTGGAGATGAGGATGGACCACGCAATGGCCTTGGGATAGAGTCTGATACCCTGGAGCAAGGACATCTCGTGCTCTTTATTCGTGGCCAACTAGGTACATTTTGCGTCAAGTGGGGACTAGGAAGTACGTGAGGGACGTTTCGTACCTTCGCATTCCGTGTCAGAACGTCGTCCAATCCATCCAGCCGAGGATCTTCAGTGAGCGGGGCGTTCTTCTCGCGTGTGATGGCGGCCATGATTGCGCGCTGCGGGGGAGGGACGCAAGCGGTATCTCGGCGGCTCGGGCTCGGGCAGATATATCACGATCATATCGCTCGGCCCGATGATGCGGAGCGTAAGCCATGTGACATAGTATAACTTTTTATTCAGCTCATGTCAGTTGATTTGGACCCGCGAGAGTCAACGCGCCTGAACCTGGGACCCATTCCAGTGGAAAAATAATTCTATCTATGCCGCGATCATAAGCAGTTTTCCTCTCACACATTTTCATGCATCGCCGAATTGGCAAATGCATTCAGGGGTAGTGCTTGGCATTACATAAGGCAATCACTATTATTGAAACTCCGCTTTATCTGCCTTTCGTTTTGCCCTCATGTTCCCGTCTCTGCATTCGAATCATCTAGCCCATCTGAGGACGTAGGGTCTTTGGACTACGTCTAAGCTCATCTCAAACGGCCTGCTGCTCCCCCCTGTGTCCAGATCGACGTTATGGAGAAAATTCACCTATCACTGGCTGTGGCTTTCTATGCAGTCGGCGTCCTGTTACCTGCGATCTGGTGCCTACCGATGAAATTGGGTCGTGGCGGACGGAATCCGGGTGTCTCTTGTCGACGCCGGCTCCCTTCTGCTTCGGCAGTCAGGAGTACGATCGCACACCCCCTCCGGCCTGCCGTCGGCTTAAGACAAACGAGCAAACCAGCCAATGAGACAATCTGCAAACTGTGATCACAGGATGGCCAACTGCGACACACTGCCATTTACGATATCGGAAACTTGTGACTTGGGTCGGCGCGGACGAGACCTGGATCCCCGTCTACCGCAACGGCACCACGCTCTCACCGAGTGTGGAGCACGTGCGGTGATCCAGCTTGTACTGCCGTCGGCCCGACGATCGTCCCAAAAAGACAGAAACCGTTGTCCTAAAAGACTTCGAGAAACTCGATCCTTCGAGATTACTGCGTCCTTCGGGACTGATTACTTGGTCCTTCGAGACTTATGGCCTTCACCGGACTACAACCCAGATATGACGGACTCGTTGTGGACTCGGACGAGCGCAGGACCCTTGCATGCCGTGGCGGCTTTGTTCTGCTCGATTGCAAGCAGAGTGCGCCGGTGGTCTGTTCGGACTGATGCCACCTCAGGACCGCCCCAATCTTCAGCGTTCATCGCATCGTGCATCGTGCATCGTTCATCATTCATCGTTCATCGTTCAACGCATCGCGCATCATTCAATCGTGCATCGTCATGAAACATAATCACAAAGCAAACTGGGTCAGCACGGCTTTTCTCGGTCTTCACAAGTCGCTGTCGGGTCCGCCTCGCTTTGGCGACGAGGACTACGAGCGCAGACCCTGTCTGACTGCTGTCGGCTCGCAAAGCAAAGGCTCATCTCAAAGTAACCCCTATATGGGCTGTTCTACATGATCACAATGTGACACACAAAGTCCTATCTGGATTATGGTCGATGGCCTCACCAGCTTCGATCCAGACTTTTTGGCGAGTGGTTCTCGTCACCGGGGCCGGAATGTTCGCATTCTGTGCTCAAACTCGACCGACCTCCTGAGACACTTCGGTGTCTCGCTGCGGGAGATCGGCGAGTGAATTTTTGGGCTTTTTCGTTCTCTTCGTGAGAACTCGGCGACACATTCTTACGTCAAGGTTTTGGTGCGTGTCTTACTACCCTGATATCGGACTAGCTAATTCATTTATTCCAGTCTTCCGTATTGCGTACATATGTGTTTTAGCAAATGTCAAGGTTCATAGTTTTGTTCTGATTCCTGGGTTATTCCATTTCGGCGTCCGTTTCTCCCCGAACGCTTTCAAACCTTCCTGAAATGCAAGTCAGCAGTGCAGCGAAGCAGCGTGTGAGCCGCGTACCTTGATGTTGTCTCCATATAGCTGATCCAACGACTCGGCGCTTCGGACATGAGCTGCGACTGTCCCTTCGTTATCATGCTTGGTAGTCAATAGCATCGCCCTCTTTGTGCTCTGAACTCCGTCCGGCGAATTGTTCACAATCTGTTCTGCTAGCTGAAGAGCAGTTGGCAGAACGTCGGATGGGGGAACGACGACGTTGACGCTAAAGAACACCTTCAACCACGCCTTCACGATAGAACGAGGCGCTCACAAGCCGAATCTGTTTCTTGCATCCTCAGCAGAGATCGTACTGCCGAGAAGGAGCATTTCGGAGGCGAGCTGATGTATCGCGTGAGATTGCAGTACTGCGCAGAACCACGTCACTCACCTGCTGTCCTGCGAGCCGAACCAAACGTGGAATACCTAGCACATGTTCATATTTATCCCATCCTGCATGTATAAGGTCATAATGCGTACCTCCCTGAATTGCGACGACACCGCGCTTGACTTCAGGTAGACCGAACTTGGCGTCGTTGGAGGCAACCACGAGATCGCAATTGAGCACCATCTCGGTCCCTCCGCCATACGCACCGCCGTTCACAGCGGCAATGAACGGTTTCTTCGATTCACGGCGTGAGATTGACCCAAACCCGTTCAGCTGAGAGACGATGGTGTCGGGGTGTTGAGGCTTGCCGGATTGTTCGTTTTTGTTCCATCTGGTTCGAGCGAGCTAGCTTAGTTTACGCCTCCGTGTGAATGAGCTAGCTAGCACGTACGCTTTGAGATCTGCTCCAGCACAGAACAATCGACCGGCCCCAGTGATGACAACGACCCTACGATTGAACACATCTGCACTAGCCGCGGTAGGGAAATATGCGTGCGCCGCACCAAAGACTGGCCTCGTCTTCAAACCAGGCCATCACACGGGCCACATCTTCGCTCATTTGCGGGGTCATTGCATTCAGAGAACGCGGGCGGTTGAACGTAATGAGAAGCACATGTTCTTGAGGAATGGACACGACGATTTCTTCCGAAGTAGGAGGTACAGTGAGCTTCGCCATTAACATGTCCGGTCTCAAGTCGTTGTCGAAATGCGGGGAAGTGTGAAGCCGGTGCCGGCGGATCAGCAGGACAAACACGGCCACAGAAACGCCTCGCATCCGAAAAGGGATGTGCTGCCCAGGGTAGTGTATACAAAAGTCGGTCGTGTGTGCTACGTCTGCTCGGTAACGACAACTTTTCGGCGCTCGGCCTTGGGCTTGTCTTCTCCAGCCCGTGTGTGTTTTCGTCTCCTCTCTTCCTTGACCCGTTGAGCATCCAACATGGTGCGCTTGAGTTTGTTTGCCTGGTAGACTGCCTTGGGCATGTGTCGCTGGCTGTTTCATGTCAGATGAAGGGCAGGAATCAAAGTCGTGGGGGACGAACCGAGAGACCTTGCCCACTTGCTGATCCGCCTTCCACCGCTCTTTGAGACTTTCGCGATACTCAATGGCCGCACGCTCACGGCCGGTGACAATGCCAAGCCGTTCAGAGGCCTTCGCTTTCCATATTCGCACGTTCCCGTCGTCGGACCCAGATAGCACGAAGCGTGCATCGGAGGTGAACAGGGCGGAGGAGACGCTGGCCGAGGCATTAGACCCAGTGAGCAACTGCCACAAGCTGCGTACCGCTGCATCCGCTTGGTGTGATACACCTCCGGATTGTGCCCTCGTCCCTCTTTCCATATCCGCAATGTCCGGTCCCATCCACCGCTAACAAACTCCAGCCCCGTCGGCGCCCAGTCACAGGACATCACAGCTGCGACATGCCCTTTGTATATCTGCGATGGATTGGTGAGGTTGCGGATGTCGAACGTGTAGAGGTTGTGATCTTCCGATGCAAGAAGCACGGTCGTTGGAAAGGTAGGTGACCAAGAGAGGTCATTGCTGCTCATCTGTAACTGGTGTCAACCACGCATCGCAGCAGCAGAAACGGAAGTGAGACCTGCATGATAACTCTCCTCTCCGCTTTTCCCGTTCGAATGTCATACAAGGTGAATGTCCGATCGGTTCCAACGCTGGCGAGCACAGAGGTTTCGCTGAGATTGAAGCGCACAGCCTTGATGGTTTCGGCTGACGTTGGGAAAGAGAGGTTGGAGATGGCAGAGGTCCTGAAGATGGTCGATCAGATTGGGTGTGCAGAACGGCTCAGTACATACTTGGTTTCATCCCATATCTGTACAATATTTGAGGCGGTGGCAAACAGTGGATCAGAATTGTGGTGATCAATAGAACTGGGACAGATATAAGTGTTATGAGTTGCAATATCGCTGAACAACGTACTTGAAGGGTGTTTTCCCATTGTAAACAGACAGGGCATCGGGGTCCGTTGATTCGGTATTCCATGCCTTAACTGTCCGATCCACCCCGCAACTGAAAAGACGATCTTCTCTTGAGAAGCAGACCCCGGAAACTTTCCCTTTGTGAGCCTGAGCAGCATGAAAGAGTTGTGTTCGTCTGGCCAGATGATGCACAATGAGTCCTGTGGTCCTATCAAGCAGAGCACGCTGCAAGAGCCCAGTCTAACACACCTCCATCCCAACTGCCACTCGCCACAGTCGTCAAGCTCCCCGGTTGCTTGGCCATGACTTCCACTGCATCGACATGACCTTCGAGACTGGCAACGAATGGTTTGGCAAACATTCTATCCATCTTGGCAGCATTGAGCGCACGAGTACGCTCCCGTGCACGGGAGAAAGGGTGCATGAGGGGATCGAGATTTCTGGACACTGGTGTAGGGTCCCCTGGTCGCTGGGGGAGATGGACGGCGGGATCATGCTGCAGTACTTTGATTTTCTATGGAAGATGTGAGATCAGAGGGCGAAGCTGTATCCAATCGGCAACGTACCATTTCGTTGCGGATGTGCAAATACCTGTCCCAACCAAGGGCAGCCGCAAGAACACTATAAGGCCGCGAAATGCGCTGAGGGGAAGGCCAAAAAAACAGTGATCGGCAACTCACTGTGATTGCTGGTCACGAGGGCGCGTGACCTGTGGTGACCACACGCTTTCTTCCCGACATGCCTCCGCGCTCCAGCCTGTCTCCCAAGGTGGGATCGTATCCGCAAAATGACGTTGCGACGTATCGGGACCTTCTCCTATTCGAAGAGCGCCTGAAGTCTACAGCATCCAGTCTTCAGAAGCGGAAGTCACGATATCAGTGTGCGTTACCATCCTCGCTTGCTCTAAATTTCTCCCATCCTCTAACAGGACTACTCCGCGGAAACAGTGTTCCTCTTTCAACTCTTGCTTGCGATTGCTTTCCTGCTGGTGGAGGTTCTTCTTCCTCCGGATATCTCGTTGATTTCGATTCCGTGCACGCTTGCGCTGCGCCGCGTGCTGCCGAACATCTACACCGCCGAGACGAAGGTCGACGTACATCCGTACTTCTCAACTGGGCTGCTGTTTGTGAGCATCACAACGCTGGCACTTTTCTTTGCGAGTGGGACGTATGCAGACAAGATTGCTTATGCAAACAAGTACGTGAGCATTTGACTGCGACATACATCTGAAGCCGGATATTCAGATACGTGCCCCATGCTAATCGTGCTCTCCGCTCCTTCAATATGTATCTAAATGTCCGGAAACCACCCCTGCATTCCAAGTTTCAATTCAATCCTCTATCATTCCTCTTCGCCCGACCTGCAAGCGAGTCGACGACATCCACGTCTTCATCGTCATCTTCTTCCACAAGTGCTTCCCCACAATCTTCCTCGTCTCATTCTTCGGCTTCGACCGACCGCGTGCCCATTCCCATACCTACAATACCACCAACGAACAATCCACGCGGTGAACTCCGATTCTCCTCCCGCGTCGATCGTGCGTTCCGGGACGGTTACGAGCGCTACCGAGCGAACTTTGAGAGGCGAAGGGCTGTGCAAGAACAAGCGGATAGGGAGAAGAACAGATGGCTCCCTTGGCCGTGGCGGCGATCGGTCCAGACTCCGAGTCTCTCCGCCAGCCGTCCAGGGGACTCCGCTGGGACGGCATCGCCTGTGCGACAACGCGATAGCTCCAATGTTGGCTCTCTGAGACGGCAGCGGACGCCTTTGCACCTGACTCCAAGTATCGCTGAACGCAGGAAAACGCCGCCGTTGGGGTGGGACAGGGAAGCGATGTTCAGCGCTTCGAGTGGCTCAGTGACATCGGCTGGTGCAATGTAGTCACAGTGTACACTGTTATCGCTGTTCTGTTATAAGACGAACGACAATATGTAGCGTTGTTCGATAGCATGCGAACATAAGTACAGCGCAGACGATCTTACGTAACACGCATCACACCTCTGCGCGGCGCTAGCTTGGGCTCAATCTAGTCTCCACCGGGCGTTTACAGGTCAACATGCCTGCCGGCAGTTCGCCAAATGTAACAGACCCAGGCAACGAAATCTTCCTCTCTCCCACCATGTCTCAACTTGTTGGTGACACGCGCACCTCCCTCGACAGCGATCGAAGTGCGACTGCTTCCCCGCCAGTCAACGGTGTCAATGGCCACGCTAACCCTAACGGGAGGAACAACGAAGAAGACGAGGGAGAAGTTTCGTTGGACCCCATAGAGAGGCTGCAGCGGGAATTGGAGCGAACACGGGGGGAGAAGGAGAATCTGGAAATCCAGCACCGTACCTTGGTCGCAAAGTTGCAGAACATGCGCACGACCCTAGGTAACAAACTGAAACAGGATGCGGTGTGTTTGATTATATCCCTCGTCTGCCGAAATGTCGTTGTAATCGAGCAATGGGCTAGGAAGAGCTGGATCGACGCGAAACCCTGGTGCAGCAGTTGACCGCCCAAAACGATGACCTGACCTCTACGGTGGAAGTGCTCAAGGATGAGCTGCTGACAGCGACTGCGGACGCCGACCGTGCCTCCCAAGAACTGAGAACCATGCGCAGTCGCGCCTTCGAAGAGACCGCGTCCGAGAATCTGGCCCGAGAACGGGAGCTCCGGGAAACCCAGGCAGAACTCGAGCGATGTAGAATGGAGAAAGAGGAATGGGAGCGTCTGACTATGCAGGAAAAGGTCGTTGTGGACGAGGCCAAGTCGAATGCGGAGATGTATCGAAGGGACTTGGAGCTGGAGCGAGAGGCACGCGAGAGAGATGCGGTAGAGCTGGAATCCGAGCGGGAAAAGTCCCAGAATCTGCAGGCTGTCCTCCAAGACTTCCAAGCTGGTGCGCTCTACCTTGAGAATTGGTCCGGTTCGTGCTCACGAGTCCACTTCTACAGCTAAGGATCACGAACTGCGACAGGCCGTCAAGGATTATAACTCTCAGCTACTGCAAGCTACTCAGTCTCTTGCGGAATTCAAGCATCGTGCTCTGACTGCTGAGGTATGAGCATAACTTCGTTGGGCACCCCGTGGCTCAGATCTTCATCTACAGCTGCAATTGGAGGAAACTCAAACAGACACATCACGAACTCAGGTGTTGGAGAAAGAGGTCAAGGAGAAAACGCTGTTAATCGAGAAGCTTCGTCATGAAGGTACAGTCTATTTGACCGAGTATTGTTCCTGGTTCGCTGAGGCAGTTGCCAGCCATCATCATCAATGAGCACTTGATGGAGGCTCTGCGGAGATTGCGGAGAAATTCTTCTGACACAAATGTGGACAGGAGGCTGGTCACAAACGTTCTACTATCTTTTCTCACTACCCCTCGGGCTGACCCCAAACGGTTTGAAATGTTGACGCTGCTCTCCTCCATCCTGTCGTGGACCGATCCGGAACGGGAAAAAGCAGGTCTCCAACGAAGCCACACACTGGCGCCAACATCATCTTTTTGGAACCGAAGCCCAGTAAACAAACCAGCAGAGTTGGACAAGACAGACGAAACGGAGGTAATAGTGTTTTGCCAGGATTGTCAGGCACCCTTCTAACCGATTCCGAACTAGTCTTTCTCTCGTCTCTGGGTTGAATTCCTCTTGACAGAATCATCGGCAGGCGAATCCTCGCCGCCGTCGCAAACCCATTCAACTCCCAATACCCCCGTGGGGACCGCCTCATCTCTACCCAGCACACCCACGAGTCCGAACATGAAGCCAGGGACGCGCCGTCTAGCATCCTACGGCCAGCCGCCATCACCACTAATGGACTCGTCACACAAGGGCAAGGAGAAGGAATTGAGTCCTCTAGAGGATCCTTGAGACTTTCGGACATTCAATGCATGAAAAACTCGTGGGCCTCTTTCTCGTACCATACATACTGTAATATCTCAGACTCGTCCATTCCGGTCACCAACAACCCGTGTCGCTGACATAACTGTTCTGGATCAAAGCAGTGGTGAACCTGAGCTCATCAGTGTGCAAGCGTGTTACGCACCGTCTTGTCTTGCCTCCGGGCTTCGCAGTAAACGAACACGAGAATCAAAAACACTTCGTCCTCTGCTAGCGCGGTCTTGGTCAGGTGCAATAGCACAGGCGGTGTCTTGCTGAAAAGCCTGGGTCGCGAAGGGACACAGAATCGTCCGGCGATGCTCATATTATGGTCGAGTGTCGCCTGCGCACGATCAAAGCGTTGAAGGTAACGATGTCGATATCGCCCACCTTCCACTCCTCATCATCGTAGAGCAGTTCGTATTCCTTTCGCTCTTGGGACCATCGCCAGTATTTCGTCCTGCAGGAAATGGCTTGATGGCCACAGCCTATTAGACTCTCCTACAGGCACGCACCTATTGAAAAACCAACCCGTTTGTCGTTTCAGCTCCACACAATTCTTCCTGTGTCCAAAGACTTCGAGTGTCTTGTCGGACCAGTGTATTACACCGACTATCGATGAAGCTCCGGGCGCTGGGTTCTCGTCTCGCAGGATGGTGGCTTTCCGACCACGATAGCCGAAGGTGGTGCTCAGGGAATAGAGCACCGAGTTGTCGTGAGTGGCCCGAATCTGCGCATTGAGAACGTTGTTCTTGTTATCGAACACGGCTTCCATGAGGTGGTGGTGGAGAGACTCAGAGTGGAGTGCGGCATGGCCAGGTCGCAGTCAGAGCGGACGTAATGAGTGACTCGAGAAGCTTCAGAGCATAGGCTCTGACGCTGTCGAACAGGTGACAGTCCGCGCTCGAGACCGTGTCTGAGTCGTTCAGAAATTCGACCCGTGCCTCATTATTGCAGAATGTTCGTCCCAGAGTGTGTCGCTTTGTGAGAACAAATGCAGAGCCATATCGAACCTGCGGTCACGCAGACAACACATTATTCACAAGTACCGGTATCGGTCGAATGATACGTCCGCAAGATCCCGAAGCAGATTCCAGAACGGCTTCAGTGAAATCCGCACCCGACGGACGACCAAAGCGGTACACAATCTTCGGCAGGAAGAGATGAATGGGAGATGGTGAGGCTTGCTGCTCCAGCTGAATCTAAACGAGTTTGGAGGGGATCGTGGAGCGTGGCGGGGTTAGGGTTCGCATCTTGAACCAGCCTATACTCTCGGTGCTTACCATCCCTCATTCTCTGAACACTCATCGAGATGAAGAACCGTTTGTTACTGCTGTATAGTTTCGAAAGCACCAATTTTCTCAGCTGCTCACCTGAGTGGATCGCGCTGCCATGACGAGTCCTGATGCACAACTTATCCAAATCGAGTCGCTCATCCGCTTTCATTTGTGCTCTGGGCAATCGGAGCCAAGACGATTACAAAACAGTTCTCGAAGGCGGTAGATCTGCTCCCTTACTGAAGCTAAATGCGAATATACAGACCGTGTCATGTTGATCCTTGCAAGAGGTTGAACTGTGACTGGATAAATAAGCTCGGCTGCAACCCACCAAATCGGCGTAGGACCGGAAGAGCATCAACAGCTTGTAGCTTGCATATCGCTGGGTCTACGGCAGATCACGCCTCGGAGCCTTCAGTCTCCTATGTGACTCCCCTAAAATCCCGTTGGAGCCATTTCGATTATGCCGCGTCTGAGGCTCGCCTCAAACGTATAAACGCACTCTCCACTTAATCCGAACCACTGCCAACTGCTGCTCTGATGGATCTCGTCTCGCTCACGCCGCAGGAGAACAAACAGCTCATGATCCTCATCAGCGATGCTAAGTTGACAAATTACCTTGCCGGTGTGTCCCCGTTTAGAATCCGGTATGAAATCGTTGACGTCATGCCACTACAGTCGCTGCATTTGTGATTCTCCTGTGAGCCAACCTTTGCTGAGATTGCTCGCCTTTCACAGGCTCACGGATGACAGCTTTGAGCATTTCACAACTTTCCAGGAGGAGGTATGCACGAAGCGCAGATGATGGCCTTCTCTGCCTGACTGATCTATCCAGTGTGATTACGTTTGGCGCAGCCCGAACAGTCTATCCAGTGTGTTATATGTTGGTGGATCCATTATTCACTGTCCCATCACCAATGTATTGTCACAGATATGGGTCAGCTCCGGCCTTTCTCTCGAGAACCAAACGAACCAAACGAAACCTAGATCCGATACTTCAGCCTGTTTGCTACTACGTGAGTCCAAAGCTGTCTTGTCTCGCGGGTTGACATCTTTATCCTCTTAGCATCGCCATCTGGGGTGAGACCGATCTCTGTACCTGACCCTCGCTCATCCCAAGCAGCCATGTGCACCGTTCACGTCAAAAATCAAGTGAGGCCTTTCTTTTGCATGCTTTTGCCTTGTATTAACAAGTGACGGTAGACGTATGAACTAGAATGCACCTGCTTCCGATTTTTCTAACCGACAAGTTCCAGATGCACACTCCTTTTATACGTGAGGGAATGGCGCCCTAAGGTTGCCTTGTTGACTCGGCCCAGGGCCAAGTTGCCAGCTCCTCGATCATCGTTGTCACAGCAGACTGTGTTCTAGCGCTACGGTACACACAAATATGATATCAATCATTCAGGATGCTGATAAGTTTGGCAGGGTTTGGATATTGTACGGGCGACCGAAGACGATGCTGTACTTCTTTGGGTTTCTAATCTTGGGTATGTTACACCAATATATCACGGGCTATCACGCTGAAGTTTGGGTCGATGATCAGCAGAGGCGACGGGCTTGTGAGCACTCTGTTTCCTTTCCCAAAGAGTACCGAACCTGAACAAGTCACAGCATCTACGTCGGATATCGCACTGTCAGTCCATTGAGAGGTCAGTCTTCCGTTCCGGGCTCATTAAAAAATACTCAACACACCTCATAGATACTTTCATTCATCTTGGGTATACCAGATTCTTGCTTTTAGCTGTGGACTCGGCGACTCACCCTCTGCCAGATCGATTTTGCCTGGGTGTTATTCCCAAGGTCTGTTGTGCATCCCCACAATTTAGATCGTCTGCTCCCACATTTCAATCACAGCCGACCACAGGATCCTCGCATATTATGCATTACCCGAGATGTCTTTGGTCAGTTCAGTCCGGGCTGACCGCGCATCTCATTCAACTCATTTCTACAGTCGGTCATAATGTTTGCGATGACAGTGTACAAGTGCCGGGTCTCTTCTATCTTGTCCAGAGATAAAGGCATCGGCAGGACACCGATCGTGACCATTTTTCTCCGGGACGGACTCCTTTGGTTCGTGGCCGTGCTGGGTAAGACGGATCCTTAAGAGATCTAATCTCATCTGATGGTTTTCGGCAGCGATTTCCGTCGTCAAGCTCATTCTGTGGCACGGCGGACGGCCGACGTTAGTTGAAGTGCCCATTTTGTGAGGCTGATTCGAGCACTTCTTTTTTGGTCACTTATCCGTTGATTTACAGGCCTGCTACAGCGTAGGTTTCAACTTTCAAGAATAGTTTCCACTCTAATCAATCGGCTGACGGGATCATTCAATCAGATTGGTTGCTGTGATTGGAGCACGTGTACTGCTCAACATCAAACGTCTCGCAGCGCCTTCTAACGATGCGACTCTTCAAAGTACCTCCGCATCTATGAGCGGGGACGTAATCGTATTCGCTGCTGCACTCCGCCGGCATGACTCCGATTTTACTCAGGGCACTGCCTTACAAGACAATGCCTCGTTCTGAGGTGAGGTCGACCATTTACACATCACGGACGGCTTTTTGTAAAAGAGAGGACACACGACATGGACTCCGACTCTCGGATTCACTTGTAACTGTAATTGCCAATCATATCCATGCGCGTGAATAAAACAGCATCAGCGTTTCTAACAACGTATCGCGAGGTATTTTTTTTTTGCGATGTGCTGTTGGAGACAGTTGAATCCAAAAGCTATTCTTGAATCTTACATCACAACATCGGAAGCTGCCAGGCTCTGGAGCATTGCGCAGTCCCGTGCAACTCAGTTGAGTTGTCGCGTAAGACAGGTGAAACTTGATCGGATCACTACTAGAACTTGGCTGTCGCGCCCATCTTGTGCATTCGATGCCATGACCTCTGCGCCGACCAATCCCGTTGAAATCCCGCCATTCCAACTCCAAACACTAATCACCCAATGCGACGCACGATGCGCGCAAGCGTTGGGTTCCGAAATCTACATGGGGTGCCAGAACGGCGAGCTCTTGCGCTACGCTCTTCAAGCGGATGACCCGAGCACCTTGGAATCCTACAGCTTGCTTTCGCGTCAGTCAGTCCCCGGCGAGAAACCCATTGATGAAATCGTTCTATTGCCCAGCATATTGCGTGTTTTAGTGCGGTCCGACAGTCAGCTTTTCTTCTTCACACTCCCCTCTCTGGACCCCATCCCCGCGAATGTGATCAAACCACTGCGACATGTCTTCGCGCTGGCTGTCGATCAGAATCATCTGAAGAGGGCGCTGCCGCCACCCTCGGCTCCACCATCGAACGAGGGGGTGGACTTCTGCATCATAAAACGCAGCTCGATTGCGTTGTTCAATTTGCGAGATCGGCTGTACTACCAGAAGGTGCGTGAGTCGTGCGAAACCTGTTCCATGTGTCTTGACCGCGTTTAGGAGATTCCTCTGCCCAATGGTGCCATCTTGGCTCGACGGTCCGGCCAGTACTTGTGCATCGCAGACAAGGAACAATACAGCACCATCGACCTTGCGAACGCGAGCATGACTCCGCTGCTGCCGGTCTCACAAGCCTATGATGTTCCGTTCGAGGGCACGCCCATCATCTGTGTCACCAACGACGAGCCGACCGAGTTTCTCATCCTTTCCTGGACCGGAAACAGCACGCTAGGGTTGTTCGTCAGCGGTTCTGGTGATCCCGTCCGTGGAACGCTCGAGTGGCCAGCCTATCCGCGTGCTGTGGTGCTGGACTATCCCTACGTTGCTGCGCTGCTCCCCAACCGAACGGTGGAAATCCACAGCATCGAGACGCAGACGATTGCGCAGGTGCTGCCTGCACCCATCGATGGCACTGAAACACGCCTCTCGCTTTCCGCGGCGCTGAATGGATATCTTGTGCCGAGCACGCAAAAGTCGGACAAGATACGTCGGGTGTCGGTTCCTCTGTTGAGGTCGTAGCGAGTGATTCAAGACGGGATGCCTGGTTGATACTGAATTGATCTGGAGTGGTTCTCGAGTTTTGGATACATCCTCTGACATTATAAAACGCGTGTGCTATTGAATTCTGTGATGTCTTCAGTCCTTGACTAACTCGGCTGGATTCCAGTGCCAATTGATGATCGTTCGTGCGCTATTCCCGTGGATCTCTACTGTGGATATAAAACAAACCTTAAGAAAACGACATGCATCATTAAAATCTGCATGTCTCATTCTCAGTATTCGCCAAAGACGACAAATGCACCGAATCCTGGGCACCAGAGAAATCGCATTGCCTGCGTCAACTGTCGGAAACGCAAGCTGAAGGTGATACTCAAGACCTCTGTTATTTCTCGTGTTCTCATCTAGATCTAGTGTGCTCCTACGGATAAAGAGCTTCGCAAGCCCTGCGAGCGTTGTTCGAAGGAAGGGGTTACGTGCGATTTTGTGGCTCTCGCTACTCGAGACACAGCGGCGGCGGAATATGGTCGTCCAACTCAGCCGATTTGGACGCAGCCCCTCGATCAGCAATCTTTCTCCAGTCGCCCGCGGAACGCATCGCAAACACAGCAAAGCCGGGGTGATAATCAGTATCAGCAACATCAGCAGCATGCGCCGCCGCCCGACGTGACTCAGGAGCATCAGGCTTTGCCGTATCCCTGCCAATGGACCGCCAGCGGAGATGTTGCACAGACAGATCCTGCCTCGCTAGTTTTCCCCCAATCAGATGCGCGGCAAGTTCATTACGGGCCGTTCCCAGGACCGGCGAACACGATATACCCGTGGACACTGCATCAGCACTAGTGAGTCGCATGAATTTGGAGACTCCATCGAAGCTGAAAATATGGAAGTCAGAGCTGTGGGTGTCCTAGAAATAATTGCAGATGTGGTCGAGGAGAAGTCGGTGGCCGCTGATTGAAATAGAACGCGTTTCTGGTTCTGCACAAACTTGTTTCAATCCCCGTATAAAATCATTTGTTGTGAGAGGGATCAACGTTGAATGTGACAATCTATGGGCGTCGCGCGGCCTTGAAAAGTGAACATGCCACAAAGTGGTGACTTGGTGAGGTGGCCAAATGCCAGCGGCGCCATCAGTCACGCCACGTGATGGGTAACACTCCAGCGCATTTGTCGGCGCGAAACGACCGCTCAAAAATTGACTGCCGCTGAGACAGAGACAGCCTGTCCGAGTGCTCGGAATCGACTCATGCCTGGCAATTTTGACCAAAATCTACATGGTTACACAGCTGCGTCACTCTCAGTATTTGAGGGACGCGTCGGACTCGGAATACAACGAATGGGACTACCGAATTGATTGAGGAGGCAATTCGGTGCCCATTTATAGAGACATTCAGCCTGTCTTTCTGCGGCTTGAGAAAGGGTGGATGTCTACATTAATTGTTTTTTGGCGCTAATGGGCGTGGGATCCTTGATTTATGTAAGCCTTCAATGCAGTTGCTACCGCCTCTTGACGCGTAACTTCATCGGCCCTTGGTTCCGCGTGTCTGACTGAACATTTCAGACTACATTTCTAATTGCGAACTTGATCTGTCCTTGTGGGATGCCGTCTCCCACCCTCGCAGTCGACATGATCGTTCTAGCAGCTGGACAGGCGCGTTTGTCGGCATACATCCAACAGGTCAGTGGGTATCCGCGGTTTCGAGCTCCTGCTAAGACACCTGATTATAGACATTCTCAAAAGAGATTTGTGAGACTGGCACCTTCACAATCGCGAATGCCGTGGAATGGTTGGATGTGCATGATTTCACGCGTTGGCTTGGTCGCGGCGTGGGCGACGGCCAGAAACCGACGATCTCTACGGTCGTCTCTGTTCACCTCAAAAGTATTGACCGCACGAATCCCTTGGACCTGGCAAGCCGCGACGTAAAATCTGCGACAGATACCTCTCAGAGGAGGCGTCGTTGGTCAAAATTCACGGGCTCCAGATAATTTCCCGCTCACCGCTCACGTTCCCGATACCCAACATCTTGAACTATCCCTTGACTTCATAATCACAACTCGCTTCAGATATCCATGTGTGCCCTCTGGCCGGCCGTCGACACGAGTCGGCATCACCGAAGGTTGCTATATTCTGTTGAGCATGAGCATGTCGTGTACGATATATAGCGAAATAGTGTCTAATTCAAACTTATGTACATAGCAGTTTCATGCCCGCTGTTTACTGCGCTCCCTGGCCGGCTAAAAACCTTTCCACCGTTTCGACGATAATCTGATGGTCCCATTCCTGCTTCAGTCCACTCACGACTATGACGCCGACGACACCCTCGACACCTTTCACACGGATAGGGAATCCACCACCGTGGATGGCATATTCGCCCGCCGTCTCTCCCAGCATATACTTCTCGGCGAAAGCCTTCTCGTCTCCTTTCATTTTGTTGTGCATATACCAGGTCGACGACCCCCAGCGCAGGACGGTCTTGCGCTTCCGCGCGACCCACAGATCATTGTCCGGCTGCGTGCCCGGGCGCGTGGCAGTGTGAAACAGTAGCTGGTTCGAGTTGGCGAGGGTGATGTTGATAACGACTGGGGTGGGGAATTCGAGCAGGCGCGCTCGCAGGGCGCTCCCCAGCTCCCATGCTGTGTCCGCGGTGAAGGAGGGGAACACGAGCTTGGCCTCGATGGCCGCGATTGCAGTGATGTCTCTCGGTGGGTCCGGTAGCGACATGAACGCGGATGGGAGGTCGTGATTACCCGTTTTGGAAGGTCTATTGCCTGTTTAGTCCGATGACCGTGACCCTCTCTCATCGTTCTCCACACAGAACGAAGTTGAACCACTGGCAGCGACGCAACGGCTGTGTATACTTCATTGAATGTCTCATCTTGCTCTGTTCCTGATCCCGCGGGTCTCACATCCACCGTCTCTTATAAAAATGGTCTTGTTCCAGTGTTCCGCGATTCCTCTCTCTTCCCTTTGCCTTCATTCTTAGCGATGATTTCCCAATATTCTTTCACCAAAATTGCTCTTTTCTTCGGTCTTCTTGGCGCCGTGGCCGAGAGCAACCCACTAGACTTTACGGCCGACCCCGCCATCAGTCTCACCAACAATACCGTCAGGAATATGTATGTTGTTTGCCAAGATACTTCATTTGGCGGGACTAAGAATTTTACAGACGTTGTGGAACTGAAGTACTCGATCGGCTGAGATTGATGGCGGTCGAAGACCAGTTTCTCCTGGACCAGCAGGCGGCGCCGGATTTCCAAGACACCGGTGTATTGAACATCAACGTATGTACCAAAATGTCTCGGATGTTTCTCCAATAACATCTGTCAAGGTCTATTGGCATATCATCAGACAAGATAAGACAACTGCGGGAGGAAACCTGTCGTATGTACTTTCAAGCGGGCGCATCTCGTTCTTACGCGTTGCTTGCAGACCGGACCAGGTCCGAGCGCAAATGGACGTGCTCAATAGTGACTTCGGAGGCGCAATCAATTGGACCTTGGCAAGTGCCGAATGGGTAACTAATGCGGCCTGGTTCAACAACGCAGCACCGGGTACTTCTGAGCAATCGGAGATGAAGATGGCCTTGAAAAAGGGGGGCATGCGCGACCTGAACGTCTACACGGTCGGGTGAGATGATCCGCATCGTCACCGTATCCATGTTCACCGTGTGGTCAGATTCAACTCTGGGCAGGCGCAGTACTTGCTTGGCTATGCGTCATTCCCATACGCGTTCAAGTCGAACCCCACCGACGATGGAATTGTCATCCGGTTCACAACGCTTCCTGGTGGCAATGAGCCGTACGCCAACCTCGGTCGTGTTAGTGCTCTGGTTACATAAGGTCATATCATCCGACGCTCATCTATCGCTCAGACTGCAACCCACGAGGCTGGCCACTGGGCAGGACTGTACCATACTTTCCAGGGCGGCTGTTCTAGCCCTGGAGACTACGTCACCGACACTCCGCCAGAGGCTTCCGGTGCATCGGGGTGTCCCAAAGATCGGAAAAGTTGCCCAGGAAAAGATGCTAGTGTTGATCCCATCCGTGAGTGACCTGGCCTTGCTCTTCATGCTGTAATGCGGAGTTCATGCCGGCCCATCAGACAACTTCATGGACTATTCTGACGACAGTTGCATGACTCAGTTCACGCCGGAACAGGTCAAGCGCATGTTTGCACAACTGTCGACGTACCGCTCAATTCGGAGCACTGTCTAGTTTAAAGGATACCACATGTAATGGGCTGTCTATATACCCAGTTGCTGCTTGAAGGCGTCTGAACTTCTCAATCTTCTTGATGTATCAGCTGAACGTGTCTCAGCTATATGTCTAGCAATGGTCTTCCATCAATTCACTGACCCGATTCGCGCAAGGTCTAAGCGAGCTACCGGGATAGAGATTAGATTTCGAAACGGCAAGGGGATCCACTGTAGATTGGCTGTGCATTCCCGATCGCATCAAAACTTGACCACCGGATCACCGCAAAAATACATCACTCCGTTGCTAGCAATAGGTCCATGACCAGCATCGTTGGGCAGAGGATGAATGCACGGATAATTTTTTGCACAAATACACCAATAACTCACCTACCCACAAATGTCCGGACCATCTCTCCTTTCCAATTGAAATTCTCAATAATCCCGGGTTGATGGCAGATCACGGCGTCGTCGGGACAAGCACATGATCGCTTTGACATCTAATGACAATGTCATTCCACCAACTTCTTTCTTAAATAACCACTACCTTGTTTGTACCGACCACGCTCATTATATTCCCCTCTGAGTTTTCCTAGTACTGTCATGAAGCTCTCTATCCTCTCTTTTGCCCTCGCCAGCGCTGCTCTCGGTAAGTAGTCTTCTCCGCCAAGGGGATGACGCCGTACATTGATCCCCTGTTTCTGGCACAATTAGCGGTCAGCGCCAGCCCTCTCCGTGTTGTTGTCGTATCCAGCAGCATTGAGACCGTCAACAGCGGGTCTGTCGGCGGCTCTCACCATATTCAGTCCACGCACATCGAGTTCAAGGAGGGAGCGGCTGTCGTCAAGCACACCCCTTGCAGCGCTAGTCGATTCCGCCAAAAGGCCAAGAGCATGGTCGCCACTTTCCGTCTCGCGCTTGGATTCTCTTCCAAGTCCGGCGACAAGAAGCTTCACCATCACCATCACCACCACCATAAAGACGAGAAGAATTCGCACAAGCACAAAGAGTCCGCAGCACTTCCCCTCATTTCTCTGCTGTCTCCGTCCGGTCCGAAGCCGGACAGGGTGCTCGTCTTCCCCGTCGACGTCAAAATGACGTCTCATCATGCACACAAGGAGGAGTCGTTCCTCATGCGTGTGCACGTCGCCCTGATGTCGCTTGGGCCGTGGGAGGGCCGTGCCGTCGCCTTTGTTCTCGGTGAGCGTCACTCTGTGGCTCGTCTCTCTTTGTGTTCAGGTCTAATGTGAGATACGTCAGGCTGTGGCATCGGCGTCCTCCTGCGCATGGTCTGGGTGCTCCTCATCGTATCCTACCGCCTGATCAAGGGCCCCAGCCCCGAACAAGATGAGTACACCGTTTTCGACTTTGATGACGCAGAGGAGCTCTTTGTTGCCTCGCCTCAGTACAGTTACCCCGTCGAAAAGGTCGCGATGAGCGAACCTACTGAAGCAGAAGAAAGCAAGTGAATAGCCGTAGACTAATGTATCCCCTGCGATCCCATTTGTACCATCGGACTCTTTATCCTCCTGTTATGCAAAAATCTTTGCTCGCGAGTTGCCAACGAAATCATGCGACAAAGAATGCGATTAGTGTACAAGTTGCCTGCAAGGTACGGATACAACAAACAAAACAATAAAGATATATCATGAGAGAGGTTCAGCAGTGTTATATGCCGTTGTGACGGGAGTCGCAGGCCCGATCGCTGATGTATCCTCCTGCTCTTTGGCCCTGACACTGAATTGCGTTTTAAAATATGCAGAGACAGCATCCGTCGTCTGTTTTCATCAGAGGTCGTAGAAACAAGCCATAACGCACAAAAACACACCTTGCTCGGCATGCGGACTGCGATGCGCTTGAAATTCTCGCCGTGTTCCTGCAAGAGTTGGGCAAACAGCGCTGGTCACGTGAGTTTATAGCCAGATAACCGAGGTGGGAACGCACCGCGATCTTCGTCCGTCCATTCCGTCGTCTTACCAATTCCGGGCGGCCTGCCGCGCCGCCGCTTGACTTCGGGCTCGGGAGTCGCAACCACAGCGGGCGTGGCGGTGCCTCTTCGGGCAGGAGGCTTACGGCGGTCCGAAGGTGCGGCCGTAGTGGAGCGACTGGACGCGACATCGGCACGCTCCTCCGCAGCGATCTGTGCGTCGTGCTGCTGGATATCGGTCATGAGACCGTTGCTTTTGCCTTTGCGCCCGCCGTTGCGTTTCTTCCCTCCGCCTCGGACGACGACGCGCCGGAAGTCGATAAGCGACTTTTTGTGCAGATAGTAGTAGTCGACGCATTGGCGCGCAGACTTGTTCTCCATGAACGTAGCAATCAGACCGAACTGTTTCGGATATAGCGCATATTTGTCCAGGAACAGACTCTTCTCTGCGTCTGTCCAGTCTGTGATCCCGGTCTTGACAGCGTAATATTCGTGCGGATGGGTGACGAGATGGTTTGTGTCGTCGTAGAGATACCGCAGTCCGGACGAGGAGACAGACAGCATGTCCGGGATCTCGGCCAGGTTGCGAGTGCTGATCAGGTTAGCGTCCATTTGCTCGTCGTAGCCGAGACTCGCGATGATCTGCTCCATCTCCAGATCGGAGCGCACGGAGTCCCCAAGCGTCGCAGCAGACCGTCGGGTCGTCCGTCCCGTGGCCGGGACATCGTTGCTCGCAGGTGCGATGCTTGCGTTGGCGCTGCTCTGGTTGACTGGGACAAGAGAAGGAGCGCTAGCATATTCAGCGTGTCTCCTGCGCCAAGCATCGTGCAATTCCTGGTACTCCACCTTCATTCGTTCCACCCTCTCATTCAAATGCCGTGCCGACTGCTCCAGCTTGCTCTCAAGCCAGCCACGTTGTCCCGAGCGTGGCTTCAGACACGAGTCATTCACTCGCCCGGACTGCACGTCGTAGACGATCAGCTCCTGCTGCTTGTCTGTGTCCGATACTTTAGTTGGCTCGATGAGCGACAGATTTTCCATCAAAACTGTATTTGTGTGCTCGAGCCCGGATGCGCCTGCCTCTTGCCGCATCCGGATCGTCAGTCGGAGAGCCTCTGAGACGCTCGATCCAGACATAATCCGGGGGTACATTCGGGGCGTCGGCTGCACATCCCATGTAGGCATACTGTGCCTCGCGCTGATTGAGTCCCCGACGTCAATGCCCATCTCGGCATTCCCCACATCGGAATCCATACCAGCCTCTATGCCAGGATCCATTTCGGCATCCATTTCGGCATCCATGTCAACGCCCGCACTCGGGCGTGCGGACGGCGATATAATTCGAGGCGGAATTCCGTGGTCATCTGGAATGGAGACGGCGTCCCCAGCGGGATGAACAGGATCCGTCGGAACAACCGAGACAGAGGTGGTTGCTGACTGGAGTGGAATGAATGCAGCTAGAGGTTCAGCCGGAGGCTCGTGGGATGGTTCGAGAGATGGCTCAACCAATGACTCGCCCGATGGCTTGGTCCATGCTTCAGGCGACGGCTCGACCGGCAGCTCAAGTGACGGCTCCATCACGGGCTCAACATTCGGCCCCAACGATGGCTCGAGCAACGGCTCCACCGACGGCTCGAATAATGGCTCAACCGATGGCGCGACAGGTGGCGTGAGGGATGGCTCAGCTGGAGATTCGACCAATGGCTCGACTTCAGCAGGAGCGGCGAGCAAGAGAGAGTCGTCACGAATGGGAACAGGCTCCAGGAACTCCTCATTGTCGTCAACAGAAAGCCCCGCCACAGCAGGATCGGTCACAGGAGGATCAGTCACAGCAGGAGGATCAGTCGCAACAGGAGGATCAGTCACAGCGGTAGCAAGAGCAGTCCCATCCTCGGTGGTATCGGCCCGTGACACGGAGTGGACAGTAACAGACTCCACCACTGGTGCGGGTGAGGAAGGTCGAGTCGACGCAATCGAATCCACGCTTGGGCTTCTACTCCTGCTCTTCGTCCGGCTTCGTGTCCTCGAACGATTTGATCGTGATCGTGATCGTGACAGTGACCGAGACCTATCCTTATTCTGGACCGCACTCCTGGAACGCGAACTCCGTATGGAGTCCGAGTCCGATTCAGACCGGATCCGACGTCTTCGTCTGGAACGTGACCGTGATGTTGAACGGGAGTATGAGCGTGATCTGGTCCTGGAGCTATACGACGGGCGATAAGAGTCTCCGTTGACTTTTCGATATTTCCCGCGCTCTGATGGCCGGTACAAGTCAGCTTGCACTCGGATTCGCGTGGGCGACCTCGGCTTGGAGCCGGACGGCAATCCATATTCACGAAATGCCCTAGAGCGGTCCATAGGCTGCGATTTTGGAGGGCTAAGGGTGCATATATTCGTGAGATAAATGGACCCATGATGGGATGAACGCTGGATGCACTCGGGGGAAACTCACCTCGGTCGCATTGAAAGAGGCGAATCCAGCGTCTGCCTCCAATTTGCAGACGGCTCAAATTTCCGCGCGCTAGACCGTTTACGAGGATTTGAAGACGCTGACCGAGGAGCAGCCCTCCAGCCTGGCGCTGGAGTGAACCCCGGCGACGCGGACCACGGCGGTGGCGATGCTCCCGGACCGGGCCGAAACGGGTCATCGAACGAGGACGAGAAGGGCCGTGTGTCAGGTCGCGGCGGGCTCGGACGCTGAATGGAATTGCGTCAAAAGAGGATAAGAGAAATTCAGAAAATTATGGGAATGACAATATTCCATCCTTGATGGGCAAAAAATGCTGACCTCGTACGTCAAAGGGAACCCTGTTGAACTGGGAGACCCCGACCCCGATGCCCTCTGGAGATAAGGATTTTCTCTGGATGGAAATGGATTGTATCCTCCACCGGACATGACCTATTGTGCGATCCGATGGCGAGCAGAATCCAGAGTTAAACCGTCGCGTCGCTGAAATACGTGGTGCACCCCAAGCTAAATTGATGGCAGAGAGAGCTGGCCGTCAACAGGAGGAGACAGTTTCAGTGCTGAGATATTACGATATTACGGGAGTAGAAAATGAGGAAAGCAGAAAGCAGCAGCGAGGGCGTAGTTGAACAAACGAAGGAACAGATTCGTTACAGAGGTTGTCCTTGCTTGGCCCGTCTGATGGCATCAGCTCACCCATTCACTCGTTACAAAAGTATCGCAAGCAATTGAGTAACTCAATTACTTGCCAGCTATTAGCGCATGCCACACATTCACCCCTCCGCGACCCACCTCCGCGACCCTGCCCAGCTCTCTTTCCAGGCCACGTCAACGCGGCGCCTTATCATCGCGTCGTATTGGCTCCTAGTACTTGCTGCGCTACCGCTGTGGTGGCGGCTCACCAGCATCGAGCGTCTCGCGCTCCCCGTCGGGCGGGTTTCGCGTCTAGGGGCGGATGGGAAGGAGCTGAAGTTCGGCGTGCGAGTCTCTGTGGATGCGGAGTTGGGCCAGGGCCTCGATGCTCTCAAGGGTAGCATTCGTCCAATGCCAGGCGTGGATATGCACGTACAAATCGGCAACAGCGATGATCCTGTCGCTCCCACTTACAGAGTCAAGGCGCATGCAGATGCGCCCCAACTAAGCGGTCGTGACCTGCTTTATCCACCACATTCCTCGTGTAGGTATCACTTCCTGTGGCAACCCAGCCGTTATGGCTGACGCGAGCATTTCCATAGCCAGCTCGCTAGCTGGGACACTTTCGGAGCTCCTCGCAGCCTCCGTTGACTCTCATCGTGTGGTGCCATATTCGCCACGATACAGACTGGCGTTCTCGCTTCTTAATGAAGATGCTGCCGCCGGACAGATGATCTCGGGCTGGATATCTCGAGTGCAATTTCTCGTTCGTATTTTACTGGCCCTTATTTATGTAATGACTTGATTATCCGTCCAGGCCAGATGGCGCCTCTTCTCTCAACATTGTCCGTCTTGCACAATTTCACAATTGAGAGTCAAGTTCAGTTCTACGCCCCTCTTGCATTTACTCCGGCAGATCTGGGGAATGGTGACCATGGAATAACGCCAGAGGATCTCAGTGTGTTTGTCAACTCTGCAGATTGGACTCTCTGTACGTGAAACTTTTTTCTTTTTTTTCATCAAGACTCTTATTGCATACCAGCGTCAAGCGTTTCAAACGATCCTGTTCTACACTTCATCGTATTTGTCCCGTCTTCTTCCCGTCGGCCGCTCCGTATTCTTGACTCGAATGGCAAGCCCCATCAATCCTTCTCGAAATCTTTAACAAATATCAACAGGTTCTCCTTCGAGCTCGTCCGCATTCCTCCTTCCCCAATGGGGTGGAATTGTCATACACAATCCAGATGACAGATTGTCGCACAGCGCACCGTTCCCGTCGGATTCTCTGAATTCCGTGATGTCCACATTCGCGACACAATTACTGAGGCTTCTCGGTGTTCCATCATTGCCGGACAACGTGCACCCAGATCCTCATTCGCCGATTTTGTCTGCTTGGCAGATGGATGCCCTTCTCCGGCGTCGAGCGCTCGAAAATGCGCGCGGCGCGCAGGATACATTACAGAGCATTATCAAACTGGTTGATCAGATCGAGAACATGCCTGTTGGACAGGACGTCCGTGGGGATGTCGAGCACAGCCTCGACGCCTTGGATCAGGTTCGCACTCTGACGGTTTCTCTCTCGTTATTCATTGATGATAGATGCACCAATCTTCTCCAAATTCTCTTAACGAGACGTTGCATCAGTCTGCGGATGCGCTCGTGTTGTCGTCGCGCGCCTTCTTCAACCCAGGCATGTTGGCCTTACTGTATTTCCCGGCTGAGCACAAATATGCTGTGTACACGCCTTTGTTTGCCAGTGCATTCATTCCGTTGGTTGCTGCCACAATCAAGGAGTTCAAAGCCTGGAGAGCTCATAGACGCAGGTAGTCTTCTGTATGTAAATAGGATTTTAAGTACCGAGGGCACTGCCACTGATGAGTTATTTTTCCTTCCGCTCTTCCAGCAACCGATGAATTTCCTTCGCTTCCTCGCACAGCCTGCAACGCGCTGCACCCGATCACTGCCCCGTGGGAGGAGATGGATTTCCGCGCGCGCTATACTTGATGATGACACCATCCCCGTCGACCTGTCAGAAGATAACGACGTCGTTGACGGTCTGCGGAACCTAGACCGGAGGTCCACGCATCGACACGGCCCTGTGCAATCCCCTACGCCTACAGATTGGCGAAATCACCGTTTAACGCTCAAGGAGGCGTTTCCGGACGGATGGAATCCCCCGAAGAAGCTGTCACGCGACGCGATGGACGGGCTTCGGCAGCTACACCGTGTAGACCCGGAGACTTTCTCCACGGCGGAGCTGGCTGCGAGGTTTCGGGTGAGCCCTGAGGCTGTGCGGCGAATATTGAAGAGCCGCTGGGCGCCGTCGAATGCGCGGCGTGCACAGATCGTGCGCAAGGAGGCCGAGGTGCGAGTGGCACGGCGGTCGCTGAGTGCGGTGAAGGAGAGGCTGGAGACGGAGAGGGTGCTGGAGAGCAAGCGTGCGATGCGAGATGTGAGGAGGCGCTCGCAGGACGAGGATGTGGATAATGACGGATTTGGGACTGAGAAAGGCGATGGGCATCCTGTGAAAGGAATCCACTCGCGAGACAGATTCGCGTTCGAGTGATTGGTTGCACACCATGGCTCCCATTGACTTCTTCGAACTCGGTTGCACGTCGACTCCGCGGTGAGTACCACGCGCTGCAGAGTCGAGTGCAGAATTAATGTGAGATGTTTAGCTTTCATTGACGGACTACATATCCTACCGCCCTGCTTACATATCCCCGTCTTGTCTGGAGATGAACGAGGACGCATTTCTTCGCTTTCGACATGACCACCCCGTTTTGACGACTTGTCCAGGGCAGTGCGCCCATTCTGTACATGTATTATTGGTGCTGAGCAATGCCGATCATCGTTGACTAATCCCAGGTTCCAGTCTGACTAGATCTGACTCATCTCTATCGTTAACTTACATCTGCACGACGGTCACCACAATCGATGTCCACTGCGATTCGCGCCGCTCGCCCTGAGGACGTGGTATGTTATTTTCCCCAACAGCTTGACGCAAGTCGGTTCATATCAGGGCTTGGAAGGAGGACATTCTGCAGCTCATCGTCGATCTGGTGGGGTTCTTTCGCTTGAAGATCTCTCCAGGCTTGACACATTGCAAAGGCCACGTACGAGAAAGAACCCGAGTCCGTCAAGGCCACACCTGAGCTTGTACATACCCCTTCGTGAACTTTACTGGCCGAGAAGTCACTCCCCCGCCTCTGCAGCTCCGCAAGAATCTCTTCGAGACTCCGTATGCGCATGCTCTGCTCGCATTCGTAGGCGAGAATCCCAAGCCCGTCGGGTTAGCTCTTTACTTTTTCAACTATTCGACCTGGACCGGTCGGCCGGGTCTCTATGTACGTCGGGTCGAAGCGCGCGCCACCGAGATCGCTAACCTGGAAGTGCGTTTGACAGCTGGAGGATCTGTTCGTGAACGACGACTATAGAGGGAAAGGTGCGAGATTTCTTCTTCCTCGATAACAATACTGATCTGTGGTGGCGGGCTTCTTTCTTCTCTCTAGGACTTGGCAAGGCATTATTCGCTGAGTTGGGTCGCATCGCAGAGGAGAAGGTGAAGTTCCCGGCACGTCAGCGGCTCACTCTAAGCCAACTCGCCCCACAGAACTGCGGGCGTCTAGATTGGTCCGTCCTCAAGGTATGTCTGGTGTTCTTCCTCGCTCTTCACAGTTGTGGTTCCGGCGCCGGGATTCTCTCAGTGCATGTGGCATCATTCGAAACACGCATGTTCGTCGACAGAACAAAGAAACGGTTGACCAAGCTCAGTTATTGAGCCCTTGTCACTTCGAACTTCTTCGTGTTCTTCCAAAGCCACAACCTGACGCATACGATCTACAGTGGAATCAGCCCTCGATCGACTTCTACGAAAAGGTGCTCGGGGCAACGTCAATGACCGAGTGGATGGGCATGAGGCTCGAGGAAGCAGGAATCAAAAAATTGCGAAGCTTTGCATCCCGGGCGGAAGATCGTTAGCTTCTGAAACAAAGAATTCTAGGAAAATTGGAAGTACGAGTTGTATCCATCCCATTGACTTGTGATGCAGATTTAGAATCTTGCCAATGCTTTTGCACCAGGGTCCGCTGCGCTTCGTTGGTAAGCTTCAAAGCCAAAGTCCCGTTTCAGTTTCCAGTGCGTGGTCCCCACGACAAAAGTATATTTCCATTCCAAGAGATTGCGGTGGCGTGATCGCTACGTTGAGCCAAAATTGAATTGAATTTTCTCTTCCAAATATGTAAGACGCGTTTCTCAACAAAACCACGGAATTATTCAAACGCCATCGTAGCTGGCACCGCCGGCCTGTGTGCATCGCGTGCCGACAATTATGAGGTAATTTCCACATTGTCATGGCAAACAAAGAGACGGGGAGAGCCACGGGGCATGGGTTCCGGAAGAGAATTTGCGAAGAGCGTGAAAGCGAAGTCGCGGACGAGAGATCCCCCGAGTCGAAGGGCGGAACAATAAACGAGGCAAGTAGGAAGATCACCGACAGAAGGAGGGACGGAGGAGGAACCAGGTCAGAAAACATCCCAAACAGATGGCTGGATGAAGCACCTTCCGCAGTCGCACAACAATGGGCTCTTCGTTCAGATCGTCCTTCTCACGGGCAGCCACCTCGATCGAGAAGACTCGCAGCGTGCTCTTCACGTCTGCCGAATGGACGGATATCTGCCGCGCAAAGTCAGAACGATTGTTTCTCGGATGGAGCTTCCCTGCCTTGGCTTTCCGCATGACCTTGCATGATGGACCAATCCATACCTGCACGGTACTAAATGAGCAGCTTCAGGAGGAAGGCTGGTGACATACCACAAGAATGAACTTCTCCCGCTTTGACTCCTTGTCGTTGGAGTAGCTGACGCGAACGTACGCATACGACGCCTTGCCGTCATCGAGAGACTCTCGCAACTCGGCCAGACCGCCCGTCCCCGTCCCTGTAACAACCAATTTGTCCGAGCGATCGTTCTGAGCGGAAAGGCGATATGAGTGCAGTGTGACTGAGTGCGTTCCAGCTCATAACCACCTCGTAGTCGAGGAGAACCCAATTGGTGTCGGACTTGTCGGAACGGACATCTTGATAGGCTGCATCATGATTATGCCGCGTCGAAGAAGGAGGGATGGAGTCATAGGGCGCGATGTGAGTTTGGTTAAGTTAAGATTGTTGTGCGAAGATTCCGAGTCGAAGTTTGGAAGGGGTTGGAAGGGTTTGCGGCAAGGATTATGGAAATATGCGTGTAAGGGACAGTTCATAATTAGGAAAGCCGGCAGTGCGAGCATATGGTGTCAACGCACCGGCGTCGATGGCGGGATCGCTCACGTCAGCCATAGAGAAGAAGTGAAATGATAAGGAAAGGGAGGAGGGAGCAAGGAATTTGAGCTGGGGGGACCGGAAGCGGAAAGGAGGAGTGCAGACTGATGTGGCTGTGTCTGGCTAATTACTATCGATCGCGTGCTGGTGACCGGCAACTTTCGATGAGAGACATACTGGCGCGCAACCATTTACACATGAATGATTCGCAGACAAATATCCGCCACTATCTATAGACCTTCATTGAAGCCGGCGCATCGATCGGATAGCCAGCTCGAAGAAACAGTCAGATCGCCTACTTGAGAGGATAAGATGCCGGTGCACTCAGTTAGAGAAGGACTGTGACAGAAACTCGAAATTATCCTCGCAAAGTGAAAGAGGTCGCTGCCATTCTACCAGCGGTCGTTGTTCACGGTGGCAACTGTACATGTCCAAGTGCCAAATCGGTGGCGATGTTGTGTTGATGTGTTGATTTTCCAAGCCTTCAGATTTTTCAGATTTCTGCCGACGCGCGCCAGCTCGACCTACTCATCCTAATCCATCCCCGCCTCATCGGCTTCTCTTCCGAATCACGATCCGTACGATGCCCCCTGCCTTTGACCCCGCAAAGCTTGCCAAGCTGCAGGCGCTCTCAGCCAGCTCTCGGATCGGTGAGCTTACGCGTTGCCTATATGAGACTGCCTGGAACGCTAATTCGACGCGTAGGTGGCAAGGGAACCCCGCGCAGGAAGGTCGTGAGGAAGACCAAGGCCTCAAGCGCGCAGGACGACAAGAAACTGCAGGGCGCGCTCAAGAAGCTCAACGTGCAGCCTATCCCTGGTGTCGAGGAGGTTAACATGTTCCGGGAGGATGGAAACGTCCTGCACTTCAGTGCCCCCAAAGGCGAGCCTAAATTTCGTTCCATGTTCAATGCAGAAGAGCTCACTCCGCGATCTTCCCTAATCTCAGTTCATGCCGCCCTCCCAGCCAACACGCTCGCTATCTACGGTACTGGACAGGTCAAGGAACTCACCGAGCTCGTTCCCGGGATCCTCAACCAACTCGGCCCTGACTCCCTCGCGTCTCTCCGCAAATTGGCTGAGTCCTACCAGGCCATCCAGGGCCAGCAGCGACCTAGCGGCGCAGCGCCGGCTGCGGAGGAGGACGATGATGACGTCCCGGACTTGGTGGAGAACTTCGACGTCGAGGATGCTGCCAAGGCAAGCCTCGACTGAGTCAGTGCAGTCGAGGAGAGGGCGGACAGGTTCTCGAAGGAAGAATAAAAGGGTATCGTGGTGGCGGTGGCGGGACGAGGCTGCTGCTGTTTGAACCCACTCACTGATTGATTCTGAACGCACTCATCCATCGTATCGCTGTCTTCGTTTTCTCTTTCTCGCGCACTGCCATGATATATTGCCACATTACCTCGCGCATCCAATGTTTTGCTCATGTACAGTTAAAAACCTCCATCATCGTCTCATGTCACGTTTGTTGAAAGTGCAGTGCGTGGATGGATCCTGCGCCGAAGATCACATATAGGAATGATTGTGCGTCACGCGTCGCAACATGTCTATGAGGGTTAATAATAGTACATGAGTAATTAATTCTACTAGGGAGAGGAAATTACGTCGCCAGCGATGCCAGAGACTGGCAAATAGTGAGTAGAAATAACCATACAGAAAGCATATAGTGATGCTGAAGTACACTAGAATTTGGATTGGAATTGAAGTAGGTTGAGTCTTGAAGCTTCATTCAACAGGTGTCCTGCCTCCGCTGGTAGCTGACATGGCACGATTCCCCGGTGGGACGGCAAAAGAGTGTGTCGTTCCAGTCCGGGCGGGGAGATGTTTCGCGGACGGCGCCGGCGCCGTCGACGATGGTGTGATCGAAGGTGAGGAGGAAGAGGGAGGTGATGAGCTTGAGCTCGAGCTTTGCGAGGCGAGTGCCGAGACAGGTTGTTTTGCCTGAATGCCGGCAAATTAGCACACCAAATACGGCATCGCACGAGGCCACTGACCGACTCCCCAGCCCACATACGCGAGGTCGCCCCTGTCCTTCGAGATCTGCTGCCTGGCCGGGTCAAATCGCCATGGATCTGGGTAGACTTCGGGATCGAGATGGATATCGCTGAAAGGGTAGACGAGATATGCGCCGGCTGGTATACGCTTTCCGTCGATATATGTCTCGGGACCCAGATTCCGCCGCATCGCAACATGCGGCTGCGCTACTCGCAGAGTCTCGCGCGTGATGCTATCCAGGACAGGCGTCGAGGACTCCCAGGCCTCGAGCGGAATCGATGCGAGTCGAGCGGAAAGATCTGGGAGTGTAAGGTCCGCATGTGTCTCCATCAATGCCTCGGCTTCGGCGCGGGCACTTTTCGCCCACTCGGGGTGGGCGCCAAGGTAGGTGATAACCCAGCAAGCTGTCGGACAGTGTCAGGAGACGGCTCTCTGCCTGTGAAGAGAGATCGTACCAGTCGTTCCAGTGGCTCTCGCACCGGCTATCAGCAGGCCCATGATGAACTGCAGATCGGTTCGTCAGCAGAGCATGGATCAAGTCCAAGGATAGTACGCACACCGACGACCACGAGTTTGTCATCTCCCGAGTCAAGAAGCATCTGAAGCGTGTCGTCGCGCGCGATGCCGCTTTTCTCCCGGACGTCTATAGCGCGGACGACGATGTCGTAGATCTCCTTCGTCGCGCAAAGTTTCTTGAGCATGGCTGGGGTCGGCAGCCAAGGAAGGAGCACAGTGGCAGGCGTCGTGCCTGTTTCGAGGCGGTCGTACAGCAGTCTCAGCCGAGCGACGAGCTTGGCATCATCCGCGATATCGCTTGAAGAAAGGCACCGGACGGTCGTTTGGAACGTCAGCTAGGTTGGCCATGCGTAAGCAGGAACGGATTCACGTGAGGAGACAAGGACCCACCTCGTAGATTTTGTCGAATGGATCGAACGTGCCAGCGGTCCCCAAGTCACGGAGGATGACTTCCGAGTCTTTCAGGATCGCGGGGATTACTGGGGAAATCAATATGTGTGTTAAATCAGCGAGCTCCGCCGACTTACATTGCGAGAGCCGATCATTACGCTGGACAGCAGCGAGCCGCCGATGGATGGTGGTGATGCGCTGCATCTGGAGGCCAGAGGTGACACCAGGGACCATGGGGATCTTAGACTGTTTCAGCAGGTGTTCATGGCTGGAGATGAAAGGAAAGCTATTACCGCGCCCGACAGAATCTTGAACCCTTCGGTCAGGTCGAAACCCTTGGCGTAGAAGAAGGCTCGGCGTGCAGACGTTCCCGACAGGGCGATGACGGGGTGCTAGACGACGAGGAACTGATTAGCCCACTGCGACTGTAAGGCGAGCGGGAGTGACTTACGTTCATGAGTTGGAAACGGAAGATGTTCTGGCCAGTGACATGGAATCCCCAGTTGAGAAAGTCGTACCGGTGCCGGAAGAAGGGGACGATCGAGAAAAATGAAGGGCCAGGCAAAGCTTTAGGTTCTTCGAATCCGTCGTGCTGCACGGCCGAGGAGGCAGTGAGGATAATAATGAGGCAGATTACGACAGCAAGTGAGCACTGCACGACGAGTCCGGAGCCCAGGAGCGCATGGGCAGCGGTGACCAGGCCGCTCGTAATGTGAGGCATGGAGAAGATGAGTTAATCGAGGAGACGACAGAACAGCGAGTGGAGGACATCAATTTATAGTTGGCATGCCTCTGCGGTGCACCAAGAGGGGAAGCGGAAAATCTGGGGCCGAATCTGGGATAAAACACATCTCGTTCCATGCCGCTTGACGGTCGAAGCCAGTGCGTTGCTGCAATCGGGCGAAGGATCTCTCGTCGATATCCCTTCTCACTGGCTGTCAAACCTCTAGGGTTCGGGCCCGAATTTACTCGAATTAAAATTTCGGCCAGTTGCCGACACGTGCACTTGTGTGTGGTAATGGCATTTGATGGTTGTGGATTCCCGAAAGAAGGGCCGTCCGTCATCGATAAAAGGCGTGTGGCGTCATATCTGGTTTTGAATCCCCACCGCTTCCGAAGGCGCATTGGCTTTTTCCGGAATTCAGTTTTTTCCTCGAGTCTGTGACGGCAATGCCGAACAGTCTTCGAAAAAAGCGCCGGGGTCAGTCCAGACCACGCACCTCGAGTTTCCTGTTGCAACGAGCTGGCAACGAGCGTGTAACGATGGCATGCCCTGTCGGCTGCCCTGCTCTATTCCTGAATTCCAACCGTTCAAATTTCCTTTTTGGGGTTGCCGGAGTTGATTGTATCTAGGAAGTTTGGCTGCTGACATGATTGCACGTCATTCTGTGGGTGATCTGCCCCAGCGGGGCGGCGGAATGAAGGGTTGAACGATTGTCGGGGCGCTTGGAGATAATAATTCGAGCGCGATAGAGTAATCCACAGCCAGGGCCATCAGGATTTTTGGAGCGCCTGTGGTCCATCGTGTATGTTTTGAATGGACGGAAGCAGACGCTCGGGACCGTTGCAGACGCTGAGACGTCATTCGTTGCGATGGAATGTGTAGTCTGCACTGCACGGAGACAACGCCGTAACTCGTCAGCGCAAGATTCAGGCTCGCGAGACTCGACGAAAAGATGGAGTGAGTCAGTGAGATCATGGAAGCAACTGAATAGAACTAACATGGAAACGGAAATTGACGTGGATGTGTCAACGCAGAGGTTAATCCATAATGAAGTGGACCCTCTCTCGGATCTGTTGCGGAAATAGTGCCAGTTTAACGAACTGTGCTTCAATTGTCGATGAAACCCATGTCAAACGCAGCTAGGAATCGAAATCCATCACGTCCGATTGAAGTTAATCGATTGCATTTCCAGTGTGAGAATTAAAGAAGGTTACAGGAGTCCCGCGCGCGGAAACATCGACGGTACCGTGTAGAGATGGCAGACAAACGGCGTCGATAAGCACTGACACGGGATCAGTTGGGTTCTGGGCGAGATGGACAGACACAGACGATTATCAAGCGCAAACATTTGACTCGGAGTACGTGAATCGAAGCGCAGTCAGCACTCCCGCGTAATGGGCAGTGGCCGCGGCAACGACGCAGCAGTGGAATATCTGATGTGAAGCAAACAGATAGTCGAACTTTCCAGGTGCTAAGCGTTCGGGGATACGGTTGGCACTGGTCGGAGAGAAGACTCGGTGAGCACTTGCATAGGACCCGTGCACGGTGCCGTGCGTACTAGAGAAGCGCGCCGGCAATGTAAAGTGCAGCGGAGACCACAATCCAGCTGAAGCCCTGCTGAAAAAAGACCCTGTGAACTCCTGATGTCAGGGTGCAGTGCACGACGGGCACAATCCCGGACAGCCCCAGCCCGATGAAAACACCCGTCCGGGCCCCGCGATGGGTCGGTTTGGCATATTCGGGATCGAGGACAACGTAGGCCGCCCCTGTATCACCTAATACATCGGGTCCCGGCGCATGGGAATGGTTGCGACGCACCGATGCCGATGACAGTAAGGGATACGATATACAGCCCTTGCAATATAGGTTGACAGAAAAAACCAAAATGAAGAGCGGGATAGAATGAGCCTGCAGCCAATGTCAATCTTTTATTCTACGGCAAACTGCACAGTGAACCTCACCAACGGTAAGGATCACGATGCCCGAGTAATCCAGCGCATGGCACCTGCTGGCAACCTATCGAGTGTCGGAAACACACGGAGAGCTAAGCTTCAAGAAGGTTACCTCTTTCGAATGGCAGGTTGAGGTGTGGAAGAAGGCACTGGCCAACAAACAGAACACTGCCGAGATAAGGAAGACTGCAAGCACCGCGGAATCGACCCATGTAGAAGCCGCATATTGCTGCATGTGCACTTCACGGAATGTCGCCAAGAAATATATGAACAGTATTCCCCCCGCCAAGTGTGTATGAATGTTCACTGTGCGAGAAACGGGTTGTGAGCGGCGAAGAAGACGCATTGGCCTGCCTTACCACTCTCGTTATGAAAATCTAACTTTGGGTGAATAAGAGGGATCAAATGCACTTGGAAGGTCACAGACATGCATAAACAGATTGAATGCATCCCGGCCAGTGGTTCTGGATCCTAGAAAGAGGTCGTGGCCTTCAATGAGTCAATCTACAGACGCACTGGATCATACCGTCGATATCCAGTCAAAATGTACTCGTTGTCTCTCTGCCACTCCGGAAGCTCATCCCATGAAACCGTGGGGTGTCCTTTCACGATCTTGCCTCCGCCAGAGGTTCTCTTTCCGAGTCGGTTCCGCAACCTTGTCGACATGCAGTGGTTGATGGAATAAGCCCACGTGGCCTCTCACAGTACGGATCAAACAAGTTGAGATTCCGCCGGAGGTCGACTTATTTGCCGATCACTGAACGTGGACGATTGCTTGGAAGGTTGAGATTCGAACTGCAAGATTGGCCGCGTCGGCCAATATTTGCGGACTTTTATTTTGCTGGAGAATCGCCACTCATGCCCGCTTGTCCCAGTGGTAAGGAGTCTCACTCGTATCATTATGTGATGAGAAGATCAGTCGTTCGAATCGGCTAGTGGGCATTCATTAACTTTTTCGCTCTCCAACTCGCTCTCACTGATCCACGTATGTATGATTCTGCTTCTCTGGACGATACTTCACTGACCACATCAGACGTGACGTGACAATCAGATCCAAAACCTGGTCCATCGTCACGCGTCACGTCGCACTATAAATCGATGAATTGATGGATTCACACTTTTCCTTACACAGCAGACACAAGGCCGCGAAGCTCGTTCCATACAGAATCGCATGATTCTTCCTCACGAGCGGGCCAAGGTCTGAGTATTTAACCCCCCTCGAACGGTCCTAGCAGGGCCCGACGGTCATCGTCGAGCGACGTATCAGAAATCCATCCGACCTTTCATGATCTCGAAGATCTTCTTGCGAAGGGAGAGTCGTTGCGGGGAGCGGATTTAGAACTCGTCGCGGGGGTCGGGCGGTGCTCTCTTTTTTGCTCCTGCCGGGCGTCTTTTATCGGTGTCCAAGGTGCCTTCTTCGGAAGGTGCGGGGGGAGGGCTGGTTTGTGTGATGCTTTCCTGCCTCCCTTGCATCGCTCTCGGGCGATCTTGTGCTAGCATCGTCGCGCAACCCCCACAAAGTGCGCCGGAAGTGGCTGCAGCCTTCAAGCGGAATTCGAATACAGCAGGTCGCGTGCGCAGATCAAGTCATATGTGATCAGAAATGTCCCACAGAGGACGGCTAGCTATGCCTATATTTCAGAGAGGGTTGTTAGTAGCGCTGCTGCTTCCTTCAAGGCGACGGTCCCAAGACGAATATACTCAGAAGGATCCGGGCGGCATCGCGCGGCGGGCTCGGCGCACGAGAAAGCGCTCGGCGTTTGGACTGATCAAGGGCGTTCCGTCCTTGAGTGCACTTCGCGGCACACGCTGTCGAACCGTCTCGCGAACGGGGAGATACTGTGTAACTCGATTCAGACTACTCTGTGTCTGCTGTGTCAACAATTTTTTCCACATCGCTTCCTTTGGGAGCTGCTTGGCTCCAGGGTCGGTTCTGTGTTATCGGTGAGTTCTCTCTACTTTTGGCCGATAAATGTGCTGATTTCTCACTCTCTGCCACCCACAGGCCTTAGTGTCACTCAATGCCCTTGCCTTGCGTGATATGTGCCTGTGTAGTTGTTTGCTCCGTGAATGTATCATTGCACCGTGGAGTGATAGAATCCTGCCTAATCGGGAACCCTGAATGTATACTTGATCCTGACCGTCATGAATGCTAAGAACGTTGAGGGCATGCTCTTATTGGAGCAGTCTTTTGCCAGGGTGACGGCGCCTCTCACCCAGCAAGCACGTCTGTGAAGGCTAATTGCTTCAGCAGGTGCCTTACGAGAATTACCGGAAGGTCTTTCGGACGAGCCAACGATACATCGACCGGGATCTCTATAGAACACTATGCGACTCCGCCAAGTCTTTCGCAGACCAGGCTTCGAGCTCCTCTGCACCCACAGGGGGCGAAGTTGATTCTGAGAGGGCGATACAGTCTATCGACGCCATGATCACCAATGTAGAGAACCTCAAGCGCAAAGCCAGTAGCCTTGTTACGATCGTAAACCCTCGGCTCATACCACCCTTCTCTAGCTTAGCCAATTACACGCCACCTCTGGTGGACCTACTCAGGACGTCCTTCGCGAGCGACTACAGCACGTAGCCACAATAGAGCGGCCGTCGACCAATGAAGCGGAGCACGAACGCTGGGCAGACGCCAGATTGGATAGGTGGCTGGTCGACTGGGCTTTGAGAAATGGGAAGGAGAACACGGCGAGGATGATTGCAAAAGAGAAACACATCGAAGTGCGTGCAGCTTCGACTGCAGGCAAGTATGCTGACCACGGGCGAAAGAATCTGGTGGACATCGACCTCTTTAGCGACGTTAGGAGGATAGAGAAGGCCCTTGAGCAGCACAGCTGCGCTGAGGCGCTCGTGTGGTGCAGTGAGAATAAGAGTGCCTTGCGCAAGATGAAGGTAATTCTTTCTTGGCGCACTTCCGCGGATTAATGACCTTGTGCCAGAGTACTTTGGAGTTCGACCTTCGCCTCCAAGAGTTCATTGAACTTGCTCGCGCCCTCAAATACAAGGAAGCTATTGCTTATTCACACAAGTACCTTGTTCCATGGAAGGAGACGCATGCTGAGCAAATCATGCAAGTATCGGCACTTCTGTGTTTCCAGCCAAAGAACACGTCGCAGGGACGGTACAAGGTAAGCTCTTGTGGTGACCCGGAAACCGACTGACTGGAAATACAGCGTCTGTACGATCCGTCCCGCTGGTCTTCCTTAGTCGAATCTTTCCGTCGAGCTGTCTATTCGCTCAACGCTCTCCCCTCCGAACCGCTGCTCAATCTCAGTCTGTACGCTGGACTCGCCTCTCTGAAACTTCCTGCCTGTTTCAATCCCCATACGAAAAACGTCGACTGTCCTGTCTGTGATGGAGGCTCGGGCTCTGGTGGAGGGCTGGGCAAATTGGCAGAACAGGTTCCATTGAGTCACCACGCCAATTCCACGATCGTCTGCTGGATCACGGGCAAGATCATGGACGCGGACAACATGCCATTAGCGTTTCCGGACTCGGGATATGTTTATTCGAAAGATGTGCGTGTTGCTCGCGATTGCTACTTTTTCTGTACTTATGGCTTTTTTCAGGCCATGGAAGAAATGGCTCTCAAGAACAACGGCGTAGTCACATGTCCGCGAAGCAAATCGACGTGCCAATATTCGGATTTGCGCAAGGTCTTCATCTCTTGAAGTTCCAAGGTTCTCTGGACAAATGTATCACATTGTATCAATAGCTCCTTGGATTTCGTTCGAAGCATTTGAGTCCAGTATGTACTGGAAATATGTACGATGATTGCTTTGCATGCCCGGAAATACGGAGGCAGCTGGACCGCGGCGACAAATCTAGCGCGCGTCATGTTGCCACGATCTCGGCTTTCAAGCCTCCAGGCCGCGTCTAGCCACAAAGGATGCCTTCCCTCTCCCGCATATTTCTCAGCGCTGTTGTCCTTCTCGGCGCCATTGTAGCCGTTTACATCCTGCCCGCATCTTCGCCCAACGGCACCTCCTCACCCGTGATGGCAGCATATCCGACCGACCCATACGCTGCACGGCAGTACAACATGGTGAACAGTGCGTATTCCACCGCGGAGGCCTCAGCGAGTGAACTGGATTGATTCTCTTCGGGGGTAGCGCACGACACGTTCAAGGTCGCGTACAAGCAGATCATTCCTCTGCTCGATAAACCGCCTCTTGACGACCTCGATAATTTCTTGGGATACTGTCGCGCTTGGGCCGTCCGTCCCCTTCCAGTCTCTAACGACTGACATCCAAATAGACCGTCTCTTGTCGCTAGGCATGCATCGTCGAGCATCACGATTCGGAGGAAGACTCTCTCTTCCCCTTCCTTAATGGCAAGTCCGACTTTGGCAAGGAAATCGAACAGCACGTCTTCATCGCCAAGGCACTCACTGAGATCCTGGGCTTCATCGACCAGGCGCGGGCCGACCCCAGCAACTTCGATGCCGCGAAGCTGAAAGGAATGATGGAGACGCTCGACGGACCTCTGGTGCGTGTCACGTTGATCACGCTGTATCACCGGCAGCTAAGCATATACTTGGGATACCAGTTCGAACACCTGGATGAGGAGGTTGAAGACCTCGCACCCGAGAAGCTTAAGGCTGCCGGATTCACGCCGGAGGAGCTGAGCAAGGCAGGAAAGGATCTCATGGTCTACATCCGCGCCCACTCTGACAAATACGTGACTTTGCCTTTCATGCGAACTCACACACCGCCCGAGCTGAAGGAGATCTGGCCACCGTTCCCGTGGATCGTTAAGCGCCTCGTCGTTCCCTGGATGCTCTATCCCCAGAATGCGGGATACTGGAAATATGCGCCTTATTCTGTTTCGTGATACCTGTTTGACATAAATATGTTCTATCAATCTGAGCCGTATACGATAGATTTTTGTCTACGCGAGGATGAACGAGGTCTCGGTCAATCTTAGTCTATTAGGGCTCATCCTGTTCCGCATGATCGTGTGGGATGGATCTGGACTCAATCAAGATGCTTTTGACGTGCTCCTCGAGTAACATCCCTAAAACTCGGTGAACAGGCCAACACCAAAGTGGAATCATGTCCGCATACCTAATGCCAGCAAGGCGGATCCATCCATGCTTTTGTACATATCTTTCTCTGGCCGGGTTTCTTCCAACGGGCCGTCGTCCCCGTCCTCGCTGCCGGAAATTTCATCATCGTCATCTTCTTCATCTTCCTCTTCTTCTCTTCCGGTTCCTCTTCCTCCTCTCGAGGTTCCTGACCGCTAGCCGTCGCTCGGACCGTGGATCCCGCCATACGACGCTTCTTCAAAGATTGTCGATAGCTACGAGAGGCGTTGTACAGCTGCCCCCGCTTGGAGTAATACTCGCAGGTATAGTGGTGAACACTTTTCAAGAGATCCTGGATCGGTGCAAGATGAGTCGCCTTTACCAGAACACGGACAGATCATAATTACAGAAGAAGGCAGCGGATCGAGATAGCCTCCGCGGTCTTCAGAGCTGAGCGACAGGACAGGGATAGTCCCCAGAAAGCCGGGATCGTGGTTGTATTTACGGCGTTTCTTCAGTCGCTGGGGGGCTTCTGTCAGGTTGCCTAGAGTCTCTTCAGCAGAAGCGTTTTTGTCATCGATGCTGATCTCCTCATGACCACTGTCCCGATAGTCTGAGTCGAGTGATCGCAGCTTTGGAATCCGCGTGGTGTCCTGATAAATCCGATTTCCTCTGGGGTCGACAATCTGGCTTAGCTCAGAAGGCAGATGGGAGGCCGATTTTGATTTTCGAGAAGCGAGACTCGAGGCATCGTATACCGTATAGCGGCTCATGGATGGATGGGTATAACACTGTCCTAAACAGCACCACACAACGCCTCGACACTCAGTCGCTTGTTTAGGAAACTCCTTGTGGGATATTCTCAGATACAGCGGTATGAATTGCAGAGTGTACGAATAGAGTGTGGGTATAGCGATGCCAGGTATACAAGGGGAAATAGTGGAAATCAAGGGAAGCTGAGGAGTAGAGTCTTCATAGCCTCCTCCCAAGAGCAATCAGGAAGGCCTTTGCCTCCACAGGACTCGAGCAACAGGGTAGGAATCCCAGACAGCTTATTGTTCATGTAAGTCACAAGAGCGCCAGATGTCATCGTCGCACGGCCGCGAATGCGCTTGGAAGGAAGACAGGAGTTGACGCGCTCGAGCGACTGGCGGAAGGGTGCCGAGTGAGGATTGATGGCAGCTTGCAACGAAGAGCGGGTGGTGTTGAAGGAAATGTCGCGGAAAATATGATAGAAGTGTACGATGGAGCCAGGTGTCCCGCACACGACTGGACAATCAGGATTCGGGCAGCCTTTAGGGTCGACTCCGTTGACTTGACATTTGCCATGGAAGAAACCAGGGAAGATGCCCGCCTCCAGCGCGCCGTAAGATGAGTTGCTGAATTCTTGAAAGATAGGAGCGAGTATTTCAGCCTTCTGCTTTGGGGGACAGGCGAGTCCGAGATCGCTGTCGATCTTTTGGGACTGCAGAGCGTCGAAGTTCGAGAAGTACAGACTGAGCGAGTTTCACTAACCAAGTGGGACATCGTAGACAGCACAGGCCCGCCTTTATAATTCACATCCATAGCTTTGGTCACCGCTATGATGCATTCCCCTTCGCACGCTGAAACTTGGCAAGAGGCGGAGAGAATGGCGAGAATGGCGAGTGGAGCGAAGTACATCTTGAATTGGATTGCCGAGATATCAAAGAGTGCAGGTGGCGAGACTCTGTCGTTTTGAACGAGTGTGTGTCGGTGGCAAACCAGTAAGGAGGAGCTTGAAAGGTGAGGTAAGATAGCCAAGCCAAAGTCCGGTAAATACGGCCTAAATCTAAATCACCGCGAAAATATCAGTCGGCCCCGTGTCCCCCTCCGCTCACCGCTGTGTCGTACTCGACTAGAAATGCACCATATTAGGAAGGGCCTGCGCAGCGGCTGCAGGCATTTGACTCACTTGCGCTCATAGCCTTGACGAGCAAATCACAGGCCTACCTCAATCTCCACACGAAGGACATAAGATTGAACCGCGGATTACACAATAGGCGCGTCAGGGGACAGTCCGTGTGGTGCTTTGCGAGCGACTACGAGGATTCAAGAATGAATCGGAATATACTACATCGGCTAGATAACTAAGGGGAGGTCGGGGATATACAAGGAAGATAGGCTGCAAAACGTCCATTTACTTGCTTTCTTCTTCTTGGGTCTCCGCCACGGCGACTTTCTCGACAGGGAAGGTGTACTGAGGGGGAGCAACGAGGAGATCTTCAGCGTCGAATTCGATGACGGTGTACTCATCCTCTTCCGAGCGGGATCCCTTGACCAGGCGGTAAGAAACAATCATGAGGACCCAGACCATGCGCAGGAGGACACCGATGCCACAGCCTAAGAGATGTGAGAAGGAGAGAATAAGAGAGAAGGTGTGTTACGCACCAAGGACAAAGGCAACCGCACGACCCTCCCAAGGTCCGAGCGACATGAGTGCAAAGTGCACCCGGATGAGGAATGAGGGCTCCTCATCTTTGTGAGCGTGGGCATGAGGGATCGGCTTCCCGTTCACAGGCGCGGGAACGGGAACGAGGGCAATCCTGTCAGGCTGGGAGCCCGAAGGGATGAACAAAGGAAGAGGAGGCAAAGCTACGTGCTCGAGTTGTGGCTCCTTATTCAGCTTGTGGATATGATGGTGATAGTGAGGACGGACGGCCTTATCGCCGGGCGGCGACGAGAGCCCCAGCGCGAGACGGAAGGCCTCAGCCATGCTCTTAGCTTTCTGGCGGAATCGGCTGGCAGCACAGGGAGCATGCTTGACGACTGCAGCGCCATTCTGGACGTGAGCGGAGGGGTGGTGAATGGTCGGGACGTCGGATACAGAGCCGCTGTTGACGGTTTCTATGCTGCTGGAAACGACAACGACACGGAGAGGGTTAGCGCTGGCGGCTAAATTGGTGGGAAACAAGAATCGACTATCAGTCCCATATTCATTGCCTGCATGTAGGGAGCGACTGACCGAGCGCAGCGCTAACGACGGCAAGGGGAAGAAGGGCAAATTTCATAATGGAAACTGAGGATCGGGTTTGTTTGAGGGGTTAACGAGTGTAGTGGGCACGCACAAGGTGGTGGGGGTTGGGATCTGAGAGACTAGGGACTGCGCTTTATGACATGATGGCATGCCGCATTGACACGCGGTTTCCCGCGATCCGAGTCACGTTCAAGGTCCACTACCGATCAGGTTCAAGATCGAGCCGCTGATTAAATTAGCGGTTGTCGAGAAGAGCAATGAAAAGGCGATCGTAAAAATGCGGTCCGGGGAAAGCCTCAGAGTAAGTTCTGGACGGATAGTGTGCACCGTCATTGCACACGGATCAGAAATACACAGCAAAGCCGACGCTGTCCTTCCAATTTCGGCAATCACGTGCTTCGAACCCTCATCGGACATCTTTGTGCCCTGAGGACTTGGAAACGAGATCAGATGAAAATTCAGCCGTGGCGGAACAGGTCTCTTCGCGGTAAGGTTCAGGCTCTCTTCACACCAATGAAATCTTCTAACATGTCTTCAGTCAAGGTTATGACTGAAACTGCCTCTCAACATTGCACTGCTAGTCTCACAGCAACATACTGCTTCCATCTGTTGAGATCTGTTGGCTCAGCAGCGGGCCGCTCAGTGTCATTTCAAGATCATCAGAAGTAGTGATACGCGAATGAGGCATAGATGATAGCGCTCGCTTGACGCGCAGATCGCTCTCGCCTCTTTCTCTTTCTCCCCGGTCTCTCTGCCCCCTTCACGAACGCGAGGACTGAGCCATGTCATTGGGTGCGTATTCAGGAAGTTATCGCGCCCGCCATTAACGATCGAGCGGCAGTCCGCGGCGTGGGAACATCGCTATGCCTATTCGTACTGCTCTTCTTACACGCGCTTAGTGCACACGCCCGACCGACTGAAACGACATTCTCGAGACCCTTGGCCGTTCAACGCAGGGCTGCTGCTGGACCAGCACTCACGTCGTCGACCTGGATCTGGTCATCATCCACATCCACATCCACATCAACCACTGCGCCGACCGCATTCCTAAAAACGCTCGCTTCGCCTAACGGCCAGACTGCGATTAGCGCGGTCATCAGTCTCGCTGCGGTCAACAACTTCACGCTGTGGGTGAACGGCCAGCCCATTGGACAACAGGCGTCCATCTGGACTGAAGCGAGTGTGTTGAGGGTAGCTCTCAACACGAGTCTCAACGTGTTTTCTGTGCTGGTCGAAGACGAGGATGCGACCTCGAGCGTGCCCCAGGGATTCGTCGCGGCGCTTTCCGTGACATTCAGTGATGGATCGTCCTCGACGATAGTTTCTGATTCGACGTGGCTTGCATCAAGCAACCCGCCGACGGGATTCCCTTCCTCCTCGGATCTGACCGGGTTCTCGCCTGCTCAGTCGCTAGCGCTGTTTGGGAGTGGGGCATGGGGGAGCAGCGTCAGTGTGCCTTCGCCGACATCTTCCAGTTCCATCTCGCTACAAGGCAGCACCTGGCTATGGTCGACGGCGAATGCCAGTACAAATGCGCCCCCTGGGACCATTGGTCTGCGCAAGAGGTTTTCGGTTCCGGCTGGGAAGACGGCTCGATCTGCGATAGCGCTCATGTCGTGTGACAACTGGTTTTCGCTTTACTTCAATGGAGCGTTCATTGCTGCGCCCCCGATTGACCCAAATACGGTTGGGGAGACATACCAGGCATGGCAGTTCGCGCAGCAGGTGGCCATTCCCATCTCTGGCTCCGACGTTGTCTTCGAGGTGCTCGCGCAGAACTTTCTCAGCAACGGCCCCAGCGGCGGGACGTCTTCCGCTGGTTTCATCGGAACGATTCTGGTCACCTACGCTGATGGGTCGAGTGATACCATACATTCTGACGGCACTTGGCTTGCTGCGGCGGCCAATGTGACTGCGGCAGGCTTCACGGGGATGCAGGACAGTGCGTTAAGCTCTGCCATAGCGCAAGGACTGTATGGAATAGCTCCCTGGGGCCAGCAGGTGGGCACTGCGGACGTTTTGGCAGCCGCCAACGTGCCCTCTGTTGTTGCAGTTTCGCCCGTCTCCACTGTGCCACCCACCCATCGCTCGGGCGGAGCAGCCATTGGGGCCGGAGCAGCTATCGGCGCAGTGGCTCTGATCTCCATCATTGTCGGAATATTCATCATGCGCCAGCGACGACATCGAACAAATCTGGCACGTTTGTCGAAGCACGCACTGTCCGCCGCCGCCGAATTCGATCCCTTCCCGCTGACCGTCCAGCCTCAGCCACCGCAGCAGCAACATCCCATCCAAATGCTCAACGTGTCCTCCTCGTCCGAGCCGTTGATCCCCAATCGGCCGGGCGTGCCGATATCGCATGCTGATTCGTCGCACTTGGACGGATCGTCGCACCAGACTCCTGATTCGCAAGAGGTCGAACTCGGCCCTCCTCCAAGTTACTCGTATACTAGCGCGTCAGAGAGTGCCATTTCTGCAGCTGCGGCCAACAACGCCAAATCCAGCGGGGCGTTATGGCCGAACGAGGCGAGTAGTCAGGGGCCATCTGCACCGGCCAGTGCAGCGGGATCGATCCCTAATCCGTGGGGCGCATCATCGAGTGTCGGCGGTTCCTCAGGCAGGTGATTTGAGACTGGACAATTGTACATACCCTAGTAATCTCTTTGGGAAGTCACTTAATCAAGTAATGTATGTGTAAACGAGTCGGGCCGACCTGATTCGCGCCACGACCACGAGTATTCCGTGCCACTCCTGTGAGAAGTGGGCACCCGATTCTTTCATGCGTTTGCAAAGTGCCGTCCGACTGTATGCCGCGTTCGTGTGGCGCTCTCTCTCTTTCGATTCGCGTGTCATTGCAGATCTCCGGTCCACCGAATGTCAGCTCCCCGATGGGCGGTCGCACGAGTACATCTGCAAGATATCCCCGCCCGATTCTCACGGCATCATCCGTAGAATGGCTCCCGGATGCCAGTCAGACCTCGTGAACGAGATGTTCAATGCATCCAATGAGTTCCTCCTGGATAACTGAAGAGCGACGTTCTCGATGATGGACCCTGCCGACAGTCTCGCGCGCCCGTCTGCTCTCGCTGGCAGGCAGGCCTCGGACATTCTGACCTGCCCACGGGGTGGCAGATGTGCCATTGGTCCGGTTGATCGCGCGATATTCTGTCCTTCAACGCTGTTCTCACTGCCGTACAGGTCACCTGTCATGCGCAAGGACGGAAAGGCATGCACTCTGGAATCCATCGTTTGAGTGTATGGTGAATGGCTGCTCGATCTGTGCGAAGAATGAATACTTCACAGACAGATGAAGCGATCTGTGTTTGGCAAATGCTGCGGCAGATGAACCATTTCCGGTGTCGGTGGGTGCTCGCTGCGTGTGTGCGCAGTAGAATGAGTCCAGAACGTTCATGCTGATGAATAGTGCGGTAATTAGTACAGTGTAGCGCTTGAATCCGACGATACATGATGATATGTTCACCCTACCAAAACTTGCCAAAGACACTCCCTCGTGCCGCCGGACTAAGCAACATCCCTACACCCTCTTGAATCGCAACACTCACTGGACGCATCGGAGCAGCATCGAACACGTGAGGGGCCGGCTGCAGCAAGGGCGCCGCAGTCAGCCGAGGATGCTCCAACTCTCTCTCGTAGATCGAAGGCTGCCTCGGCTCTGAACCCAGCTCTGAGAACTGCGGTTCGTCAAACCCGCGACGGGCGACACGCAGGCGAGACAGGACCTGCTCATAGAAAGCGATCTCTCCGTCGAGATGCTCCTTGGCCAGATCCGAGAAATCGTCGTTCTTCTGCGCATGATATGTCTCCATTTCGGCCATGGTGGTGTTCAGCACCGTTTCGCAGCGAGCGACCATTTCTGCGTCCCCGCCGGTTTCTTGTGCCTCGGAATATCTTGAGAGGGTGGAGCGATGGGTGGTCACAACTCCCTGCAGAACGTTGGCTTGCAGTCATCAGAATTCCACACAAGACTTGCCTGATACAAAGAGGAGGGATGCGCCACTCCTTTGAGAGCTTCGTGCGTTACAAGTTGCGTTCTTCTCGCCTGTGAATCCTATGTCTAGAGCACAGTTCGAGAAGGAAGACTGCGGCTCACATGGTCGTCATACAAGTCTGCCACATTCTGCAGAGCCTCCGATGTCTTTTGCATTGCCTTGGTGAGTCTCAGGCAATCTGTGCATCCTTCTCTCCAGCACCACGCCCCTTCTTCGTTCAGCAGCCCTTTGCTTTTAGTATTGTAGTCCTCCTCCTCCTCGCTTGTGCCCGTAGTCGGTGCTGATGCAAGAGGCTTTGATGTGATAAGGGAGAAAAGAGAGTACGAAAGAAGTCGTTCCGCTTGAGACATCTCTGGCCGGCAGTGAGCAACAAGCTGAACCTGCAGAAGACACGACAAACCGATGCGAGCCTCCCGAACACGACCAAAGATGTTCCGCAGGCCCTGCACGCCTTTCCCCACCGCTCGTGTGTGGGTATCGAAGCGGTCCACCGCCTCCGATGCTTCGTCGGCATCAACATTGAATTCAGGATGGAACACCCGAGCGTAGAATGTCGGGCCCGCGGCTGGCATGGCCAGGTGCTGTGGGACCAGTCGTTTCCACTCCTGTAAATCCGACCGTTTAGACCGCCTCTCAAAGCAACCAGTAGACTGACCGTATCGCTTTCACAACCAAGGAAGAAGGTGACGACTTCCGCGTACCGCGCAACTGGGTGTCGCACGAGCCGGCAGATGTATCGCTCGAGATCTGCCCTGCGCGCCTCAACGAATTCCTCACTGAAGCGCCCAGCATACTGCTTCTCGGGCAGCGGAGGAAGTGCAATCCCGGGCAACCGTCTTGTCAAGGCCGTATGCAGGATCACGAAGTGAGAGAATCGGCGATGTACCGTGATCCGCGTTGGCGACGCCGGCGGTTCGTCGTGGTCACCATCGGCTGGAGCAGTACGGAAGAGGGACGTAACATTGTAGATCGTGAACGAGCCTGACAGAGTCGAGGTGCGCTTGGAAGGTGAGTGCACGAGCACCCGAAACGGAGGCAGTTTCGCTTTCCACGCGTGCCCAACGTCTACAAAGTGCCGGTCTGCCTCCCCCAGACCAAGGAGATTGAGACGATTCCGCTCTTCATCCTCCTCGTCTCCCAGATCCGAGTCATTGCTGTCCGTCTTCTGGTGGGCTGCAGGCGCCACCATGTCGGGCACACTGCTTCCCTTCAGGACCCACTCCTCCGCCCCGCTCGTCACGAACGTCGAGAACCGGTTCAGGCTCTTGCCCCCAAGCAGACTCTGCCGGAAGTTCGGGAACGCGGCGCGCCATTCGCCTGTGTGCTGGGGCACTATCGCCGGGCTTTCGGCCATCGTCCGGGACGTGATCGTCCTGTTAGAGGCATCACGCTTGTGCCCGCTTCCGAGCCCGCCTCCGGTGCCGTGCACGAAGCCCGAGGCAGCAACTTGCGGTGTGGCCATGAAGTCGGAAGTGAACTACACGGACGTAAGCCGAGGAATGCAGCAGAGTAAATAGCAGGCCGCACGGTGTAGTACGATCTCGGGAGCAGCCCGACCTCTCCAGCGACATTTCGCACGAGACTCCATCCGTCGGCCAGATCTTCTCTGACGACATCGAGCGTCTCCCCTGCTTCGACACTGAGCTCTCGAAACTCCGCCTTTCCTTCAAAATCATACAACGCCCGTGCAGATTTGAGCGGTTCGGCGTCGTCGTCTTGTACATCGGCATCCGGCTCGTCTGGTTCCTCGTCTGAGAGCGAACCGGATTGCTCAAGATGCTCAGTCCAGGCAGCCGATGAATTGATACCCGCGTCGAAATCTGACCGGGGTCGAGCACCTGGCCCGAAGATTCGCGGGGGTTTTGAGGATGTCGCAGAGGATGCCATGCAAGATGAAGGGGACTGTTACAAATGTATGCAAGGAAGAATCGTTGATCAGTGAAGTGAAGCTTCGTAACAGATGGATGGATAGGGGCTGAGATCACGTGAAGAAGTAACTCTCGGAGAGGGTCTACAACATTTTTGCCTCTATTTCACAAGGTACAGTAGATTAGTGTATGTATAATTTATACGATACTCTACTACTCGCAGTCAGGGAAACCCAGGCTTCCCCAGCCAGTCCAGTCTGGGTGGCAAGCACGGAAGTGAGCAGTCTTGTCAATGGCCTGCAGTTCAGCGACCTCTTCCGCGGTCAGATCAACGATTGTCTTGTTCGCTGGACACAAAGGAAGGTTATCTCAAGTGTGCATTATCAGACGACAAGATTGACGAACCGAGAATACGCTCGTTGGAGACAGACTTGGGGAGGACGGTGACCCCTGGCCTGTTGGCCTGGAGGGATACGAGAATGTTGGCGGAAGTAACACTGTGCTTCTCCGCAAGTTTGTTGACCACCTCGTTCGTGAGAAGAGGAGAGTTGTCGGAGCCAAGGGGAGAGTAGGCTGTCACTGCGATGCCTTTGGAGAGGCAGAAGTCGACAATGTCTTGTTGAGGGCACGACCTGCCAGCATCAGATGGTCAACGATCATGGACCCATAGTGATGAAGCTGTGGAAACCCACGGGTGCAGCTCAATCTGGTTCACGGCAGGAATGACCTCCGCAACCTCGAGCAGACGCTCCATGAACTTGACGGAAAAGTTGGAGACGCCGATCGCCTTGAGCTTGTCGGGGTGCGCCTTGTACAATTTCTCCATGGACTTCCATGCATCGAGCCAGTCCTTGCTCTTGTCAGCCAAAGCAGGGGTGCCCTTTGTCATGGGAGCCGGCCAGTGCATCAGCCAGAGATCAAGGTAGTCCGTCCCAAGATTCTTGAGCGAGGACTCGAGAGCTTCCGGTGCTTCCGCCTGGTCTGGCAAAGCTCTTAACAGCATACCCTCGCTGGCAGATACAACCACGCACCAGGGTTGTCCAACTTGGTCGTCAGGAAGAACGAGCTGCGCGGGACACCCGACGCGGCGATGCCCTTGCCGACCTCAGTCTCGTTCTTGTAGGCCGCAGCAGTGTCGATGGATTTGTATCCATTCCGGAGGGCGAACTCAACGGCGTGCTCGACCTGTCCAGGTTGGCTCTTCCACGTTCCTAGAATAAGTGGGTTGAAAATACATCTCAATCAGCTGAGCGCCGCTTCGGATGATGGTCAGTGAGACGCACCAAGGCCAACCGTGGGCATCTCAGCGCCGGTGTTCAATTTGACAGAGGTGCTAGCTGGCATCTGGAGTCGATTGTGGGGTAAAGTTTCGAGAGATTATCGGCCAAGCCTTCTGGGACCTCCTGTTTTATAGTTGAGCCCATCGATAATCGTCACTGTTTCCGGCCTACTGGGGACGATCAACCGGCGGTCCTTTGCGGTCCGAAGACACAAGATGTCATGGGACCTTGGGACTCCCGAGTACTCGCAGCCGCGGTATCTCCGCACACTAGAGATAGCCCTGCGAAAGGCTTCAGTACGGGCAATGGAGCCAGTACTATACACTCACCACCATAGTGTGGGCAGTCTGGGAGCGTTCGTTTCGATCTGCAGCCCAGTGAAAGGCGTCTGAGGCAAACATCCTATCAAGGTTTGTCTGGAACAAGTCCGCGGAATTGCGGACCGACATCCGGTCCAGGTACAGATACAACACAGAGCCAGTATGTACCCTACGAACGAAATACTAATGAGTGAGTTAAGGATATGGATGTGTACAGTAGTCTACATTACGGCCAAACAAATCGAGGAGGGATGGTTCCTAATGATGCGAGAGAATGCTGACGGCAATGTTGGTGGTAATACAAGTGTGGGATGGGTCATTCAGCAGGCCAGAATCCAGGCAAAGCCAACTGGGATCAGAGCGAGAGCTCGGCAGGAGACGTGACATCACGCAGCATTTCGTCCCAGTTTTCTTCGTCCCAAGTATCGTCATTTTCATCGTCGTCCTCAATGAAGAAGTGAGGAGACCGAACAGGTCGGCAGGGAGGAGGCACTTGTCCTCCTTTCGTGGCGTCCAATCTCATCAACTCGATCAGCACCTCCCAGCGCTTGTACCAGGACGTCTCCCATCGTGGGCGCGGCTGCTCATGAGGCTTGCCCTGCTGGGCCAACATCGCCGAACTTGATGGCGGTGTTGAAGACATAGGGATCTTGTCGCCGTCAAGATCAATCTCCACCAGCGACCCGATGCTGTCCTCGCCATCGACCAGGGTATGGTCTGAGTCGTCGCTGAATCCAGCCGACGACATAGATTCAGCCATAGACTCGCCCTCGCTGTCGTCACTGTCATCCGCAGTCTCGAACGGGGAGGACAGTCGCCTCTGGTGGCTCGCCAAGACGTGCACATCATACATCCACAGCGTCTTCGCCATCGTCCACGCTGGCAGATTCACAAAACACCGATCCATGTGCGCACAGTACGGGTCTCGCAGCGCAGACAGCTCGCCGCGTCGTGGGTGGATCGTCATGGGCGGCACCGAAGGGACCATCAGCGTCGGCAGGCGCACTGAACGAGGAGGAACCCTGGCCCTGGGATCGAGCACCGAGATCCCACGGTCGCATAACCGGGTAAGGTGCCGCGCCCATTGGTCTTCGCGTAGCGACCAGAGGTATTTGAGATGGAGAAGTGAATGTCGCGATCGACCGTGGTGACCATATGCGTGCCGTAGTGGCCGCATTTGTATGGACCGTTCATCTTCATTGGGGGAAAGAGGCGAGGGCAAGCAGGAGAATTCGGATCTTCTGAGAGGAGCTGGAGGCTGTGGTGTGAACGCCGACGGTTCGCAGTCGGGGATAGTGATGGGCGGCAGAGGCTCCAACGGAGGCAATGACGGGGCTAGACTGAGAGCAGGAGCACATTGCTCAATGGTCACGTCGGAAAGAGCAGATGAAGCCTCAGCGAGTATTTCCAACTCATATTCGATTTGGTCCAAGGAGTCGTCTGATTCGACGTCGTACTCCGTCGAGTACACGTCCATTTCGACGAGTGAAGATGTGGGTGAGACAGAAGTCAGCGACGGCAGTGCAGGGAGCGTGAGAGGGTCAATGTCGTCGTCATCGTATTCGCCCTCTCTGTACATCTGCTCTTCAGGCGACGTCGGTGCACTCAGCGCGGTGATGTCCATGTCGACTTCGGCCTCGCAGGGACCACCAGAGAGGATTCCAATTCTTTTGAATATACCCTTCGTCCACTGGAACGAGCCGGACCGTGGGCGCGAGTGAGGCTGCTCCTCAGTCGCGGTGTCTTTCGATGTCTCGCCGTTGAAACCGAGCCGACTATTCGGACGGGGCGGGAGGTCGTTTTCGTCGTAAGTCGTATCATGATGCTGCTCGTCCGCGATATCAGCTTCGAGCTGCGTGTCCGGGTCAGCGGAAGCGTAGGTTGATGAACATGAATGAAGCAGGGAAGGCGTAGACATGACTTCACGTCGCGAGCCACCTGGACTGATATGAGCCAAACTTGACACGAGCGGGATGAAGACGCGTACTTTGTTCAGGAACGGGAGCAAAGTAAGGATGCGAAGCAAACGGCGCGGTGGCGAGCAAGAGAAAAGCACGACGCACCGTGCGCTCTTACAACACGCTTCCCACGTGACTCGCGAGTCCGATCACATTCCTTTTTTAGAAATTGTACATCTGCGGGCGCGTTCGTCTTCTGTTCTTGCTATACTGTGAGATTGCTTGTGCTACATTAAAGACGATTTAATTGAGACAGATGCTACACTTTTCCGCGCCAGCGTATCTCGAGCAGACGGAGAGCTGGATACACGACAGTAGTGACCACAAAAGCAAGTTCAAAGCCAATGTCCCCGGTCACCCGCGCAATTGGACCGGTATACCAAACCTGGGCCATGGCCGGAATGGCGACTCCGATCCCGCAAGCTCCAGCGAGAAGAGCGGCAATACCACTGGGGAGCTCGCTGGGCCGATTCCACTCAGACACATCATAGCGCGATAGATCTCCTTTGCGGAAAATGAAGTGTTCCTGGAGTATTATGACGATGAAGACGCTGGCCCAGTAGCCGATCAACCCAAGGAAGTTGCTCAAAGTCGAGTAGAAACTGTGGGCCCCGACAATCGAGAGTGGGATGACTCTGACGATGCGATGAGTTTCGAGCGAAATGAGCAGGCCAGATCCACGCACATGGCCGTGATCAGCACCGAGAATACATAACGTGGCACAGACATGAGCGCTGGGACGAGGGTCTGGATATTCAGCGAGATGCAGTAGAATCTACGAGCACAGATCAGCCGATACTCTCACCGACAGAGAAAATGGTGCTTACGTCGCAGCAACATTGCCCATGACAGATAGGGCAAGCAAGACAGTCAGGAATTTCCCGAATCCTCCCGCGGGACTCAATACAGCATCGAGCATCCCACCGACATTATCCGCCTCGTATCCTGCCTCCCATGCAGGAACATTCACGACACAGGCGCCGATCAAAGCGCCCAGACTTTGCAGTGCAACAGTCGGCAGCAAAAGGCCAAAATAGGAATACATGAATACAAGTTTCCTGAATTCGACGTCAGGCACGGAAATGAGAATTCGAGAAGAACATACTTGGGTGCCTCCGGTGGCATATAACAGCTGAAATCCGAGGAGAGGGGAGACCATGTTAATACAAAACCCGCGATAACAGCGGCAAAGGACAATATCGTCTGCACGGTGGCTGGTTCAGCTTCAGGTATGTCTTTGAAGTGTTTCCCGCCGATGCCCACGACGATCAGAAAGATGATGACGACAGGGATCCAGGCGAAACGCTCGTATCGGTGCAGGATCTTCCATCCACAAAACGACAGCAGAAGCGATACGGCGGCAATAATGACGATTCCGACGCTGAAAACGGAGAGCTGCAGGACGTGTCACGAAACGCAGAATGCAGTCCGCACCTCCAGCTGAGATTGCCGTTTGCTACGGCAGCCAGCGTCTGCCCACCGAGAATGCAATCCAATATGCAGAAACCCGTCATGTTGATGAGATTGAGGAGCACTGGGGCCATCACGCCAAAGTATCTGGGAGCAAAGAGATGAGAGAAGTGTTTTTCACCCGGTGACGACATACCCAAAACTGAATCGCGCTTGGACCATCTGCCGTAGCCCCAAGCGTGGTCCCCAGGTCGAGCTGACGTTACATCAGTCATTCATATGAGCGGCATTCCAGGAAAGAACAAACAGATAGCCTGCTGGTAAACAACAGAGGAGATTGAAGAACAAGATTACAAGGCATGAGTCTCGTAGACTAAGCCCGTACGCGATAGGACCGAGAGATCCTGTCGAGAACCTGGAGTGTTCTTCAGATCGAGCAATCTTGCACCTCGCTCTGCTTACGGTAGCAGATTGGTACTAGCCGAAAACCAAATGAAGAAGATCTTCGAGTACTGGGTGTCTGTCCGGTCCTGGGGAGCAGTGAGGAGGGTCGCGGATGATTGTGCGAGCAGCGTCACCTCAAGGGTAACCGGTTTTATTCCTGAGAGTCCTCAGATCTACAAGAAGCGAACGAATTCAGGCACCGGACGACATACCTCGAGCTTCCACACCCCAAAGAAGCAATCGATTCTGCCAGCTTAGGCTGCTGGACGTCGTCGAAGACCCTTCCTGAGCGAGTTTGCACTGTTTCTCGTCTTCGTCCAACATGGCGGTACGGTGCGTCGGAAAGATGTGAGAAATCGAGTCAAACAATTTTTATAACATGGAGAAGGAAAGACGGAACAGGAATCGGACCACTCCGATGATCAATGATCGACGATAAGATGCTGAATCGAACCCTATCTAATCGATACCGCGATCGTACACCGAGTATCCCCTATGTGCTGAAATAGCTCTGGCCTTGTCCGCCAGTTCAATAGCCCTCATTGCAAACACACCTTGGGAAAATATTAGGAAGAATGAGAAGGGGGCCAGCAATGCTATCATGGTTAAATCAATCGCGCTGCTCTAGTAGCTCCGTGCCCACATCTCGGCGGTATCTTTGACTTAAAAGTAGCAGACCCAGTCGTGTTCAGAGGTGACCTGACCTCATCCAACACCATCTAGAAATGTATATCGACGCAGATCACCACTGCGCTTTGACCGATTTACCAGGTAGGTAGGTGATGTCGGACCTCCGGGCCGGCCGCCGCCTCCTTCTTCTCACTCTCTTCACCTCTTGCGACTCAAATGCCTCGGGCAGCCCTCGGCTGCAACTCATGCTTTCTATTTCGCAATGGGGCAGAAGATCCGATTACAGGGGAAGGCTCTGGACTATACAGACCAACCTACTTTCCGCCGTAGTGACGCTCAACCGGCACTCGTTCGCTCGACGGCGCCAATCTGTCCGACACTTCATTTCGCGCCAATGGTTCCATTGAACTACCTTCCTCATCTTGATGGATGGGGCATCGACTTGTGGGAGTCTGTTTCACCCAGTTAGGCTACGGGGACTCTATAAAATGTTGAAGATGTGCGGGGGCATCGCGTCCCACTCATTCTGTTCTCCCTGGGATGACCACCGAAACAGCAACTCAGCTTGATCTCCCTGCGGAGTTGGTCCTTCTCATCTTGCGCGGCTTGGGGGTCGCTGATGTATTGAATGTGTCGCGAGTAAGTGGGGCAAGGAGCCTTTGTCCAGCCCTTCTCCTTGCGCTCTACATACCTCAAGGTACTGATCTTTTCCCCCAGAGCTCATCAGCCCTTCGGTCTCTTATACTATCAAATCCTAGCGCCTGGGTGCACGCTTGCGACGCATACACGCTGCCTCTCCCCGCAGGCGAATCCCCGCGCTCCGTCCCTGCGTCGCTGCTCCCATATTTTGCAGCGCGCGCCGTGTCCATCTCTGCCCTTTTTTGCTCATCCCGATCAACCGCTCCATCTCCTCTGACTATTCTGCATCCCCGCGGCGCAGGGGAGACGCCCGTGCTCGCGAGCACATGCATCTATTCTCAGCTAGGCACCCTGCCCCCCAACGTCCTCACCGTTCTCCCGGGCGGCCGGACGCTGTTGGTCGGACACATCGGTCCGGGGCGTCCCATGCAACTGGGCGTCTATGGTATCGGTGCGCGCGGCAAGCCAGAGGGCCAATGGCAGTACCTCCTCGTGGATCCGGTGTCCACGCGGTTCGACCCGCCGCAAAAGGGCGGAGATCACGCCGTCGATTGGGCTTCCATACCCGGAGACGCCGACGGCGTGAGGATCGCGGTATTGCAAAATCGCTATGATGAGAAGAGGGATCTACGCTGGTGAGATCGCGCTATACGCCCGTTCGTTTGCTTTCGATCTGACAAGCGCTGGAGCTGTGCCGAAGTGTTCCGGCTCGATTTTACTCCAGGCAAAGCCGCCCCACAAGTCCAACGCTCGCACAGCATCGAGCTGCCCTTCTGCGCCGAGGGTATATGCGTGCGCGGCTCCCTTGTGATGGGGTACTCGGCAAACGGGCTAGCGCTGATCGATCTGGACACGATGCGCCGAATTTGTTGGATTGTGGGCGCGAACAGTGAGCACCAGCGCGGGTCTTGGCCCTCCGAAACGATCGCAGCGACGCTCGATCTCTGCACTCGCCGAATAGTTCTCGCCATCAACTCGGGAGCAGTGTGCTGCACGAGAACGGTCTCCTCTCTTCCCATCCCTGATCCCCGCGACGCATGCTGGGGCTCAGACTGGAATTTCTGCGCTCTCGACCTATCGACGCACTGTGACGAAACCACGAGCTGCACGTTGCCAGCGACACCTCTCACGCGGCCCATTGCGCAGACTGGTGCCACGCACCGACTGTTCCACAACGACGAAGGCGAGGTGCAGCTGCTAACGACCTCCCAGGATCGCAGACACGCGTTTGTCTCGGCTCCGAAGTCGGGTGCTCAGAGCAGCACGTGCATGATCACCCAGGACGTGGTGTCCTGTTCGCGCTCGTCATTCCATCATCTGAGTATCATCGCCACGTCTGCTAGTCCCTCCTCACTCGTGGATGTGTACTTCCCTGGCAGAGATGTCCGCCTCAAGCTCAACCTTTGCTCTGCCGATGTCAGTGTCCCGGAAGGAAGAAACCTCGTGGTAGTGGACGACATTTATGGATTGGCCGTTGTTTGTGCGCGACAGAGGCTGTTTGTATTCCAATATTAGCGACCTCCTGTGCTTGTATCTCTGAATTCAGGTGGTATGTGTGTAGAATGTCCGTTCTAGTTCCATGCTCTACTGCTCTGCACGCCCCGCCATGGCATACAGCGTTTCCTTGTCGCCGCTTTCATCGACAAGGGCCCGCAGCTTGCCGTGCGGGTTTTGTAAGAGGACTTTCGGAGAATCAAATTCGACCTGGGCGCTGCGTCAATACCGAGAGCGAGAGCACTCCTTTGTTGACTCACGATGTTGCCCTCGTCCAGCACCATGATCTTATCCGAGTCCAGGATCGTGTGCAACCGATGTGCGACGGTGATGACTGTCACATCGCTTTTGAGCTCGTTCCGCAGCGAGGCCTGGATGATCCCATCCGTCTTGAAGTCGATCGCAGACGTCGCCTCGTCCAGGATGAGCAGCTTGCTCTCCCGGACCATCGCCCGCGCAAGAGCAAGGATCTGGCGCTGCCCAACGGAGAGGTTGGCACCGCCACTAGAGATGGGACTGTCGAGCGTCAGCCGGCCATCGTCCATGTCGTCTTGCAGCGAGAACAATCCCGCCGAGCGCAGTGCAGCGTTGAGCGTAGCGTCGTCGTGTTGCCCGAAGGGGTCCAAATTATATCGCAGACTACCTGAAAGTAATTCCGGCTGGCATGACATGACATCAACAACAACGCCTCTCCCAAAACAAGAGAGAGCAAACGCACCATCTGCGGGATGATGGTGATATTCGAACGCAGCGCCTCGAGATTGATGCCCGACGTCGCCATCCCATCGTACACGACATTGCCCCCCGTGAAGATGCACCGCAGCAAAGCCAGCGTCAGCGAGCTCTTCCCGGATCCAGTGCGGCCCACAATTCCGACACGCTCTCCGGCCTTGATGTCGAACGAGATGTCCTTCAACACCTTCGGTCCATCCGGAGAGTACCGGGCCGACAACTTCTCGACCGCGAGTTCTCCGCTGCTGGGCCAATGTGCCGGCGGCTTGCCCGATTCGGTGGCCTTGGGCTCTTGCTCGATTTCGATGTATTGTTGGATACGCTCCAGACTGTTTCCTTGGATCTGCACCTCATTGGTCAAGCGGACCCAGAAGAGGATCCGACCGCTGAATGCCGCGGCCATGTTCAAGCTAAAGCCCACATTGTTCGAACGTTCCTGGCAGCTGTGAGCAAGAGGGATTCCACTACAGCGTAAAACCGGGCTACCTTTTGGTGGTAAACCAGGTAGAGCGCCAAGATAGCACTGAGCATGTTGCCGACCACAGCGAGTCGGATGCCGACCCAACGATCCAGGTTATTGAGCGTCAACTGGGCCCGGGTGTAGACGTTGATCCGGTTCAGCGACTCATTCACGAATCGTCCCTGAGCATCGTAAGCACGAATCGAGGTCAGGCCGTTGATAGCAGCTCCAAAGCTGGACAAACACCATCAGCATGGAAGCAGTGGCCATTTGAAGAGCTAAACCCACTGCGCAAGAACGGGTGCCTTCGCATTGCTGCTTTCCCGTTTGACTGAAAGCTGGGCCTTGATGAACAGCTGACCGACCAATCCACCGATAATCGCGGCTCCGATGCCCGGGATCGTAAACAGCGGGGTCAGCAAAACGACCGCGCTGAACGACACGATCATCGACAGCGTGACCTGCCAGAACCCAGCAAAGACATTGAGAATGTCAGAATCGACGGCAGCGATATCCGCGGTAAACCGGGCGATGACACGAGAAGCGGGTGTCTTGTCGAGCCATCGCAGCGTGGTCCCGAGGATAGAGTCCATCAGCTGCAGATCATCATCAACCATCAGCACGGACTACTAGGGAACAACATGGCGCTTACTTGACGGTGAATCGTTCTGGAAGCTCGCAGGCATGCGAATGCGAAAACAACATCCGCGATGGAGTGTGTGATCACATCCACAGCCAAGATGGAAGAATAAACACCAAGATGGCTGGATGTGATTCAGCAGAGCGACTGGAAGGCCAATAGCACGTGCGACTCACTGAGCCACCGAAACGGTACCCGTAGGACTGGTTTCATACAAGGACGCAAAGTAGCCGAGGTACCACGTCTGGAAGGCCTGCATAATGTGCGACGCGGAAAACAGCCCGAAGAAAGCGATGTAGAAGCCCACGCCGCCCAGTCCAGCAAGGTACAATCCAAGAGCGGAGAACTTGACTTTGCCCAGCTGTACTTCCTCGGCCAGAATCAGCTTCCCATCCGACTTGGCTTTCGACGGCTGATCTTCGACAGGAGCAGGATCGACCACTTCTTCAAGCGCCTGCAGCTCTTGGTTCGCTTCAGCGGCAACCGCAACGTCGTGTTCGATGACCTCCGCAATCGAGCCTTGGCTGGAGATGCGTCCGTTCGACCCAATCGAGACTGTGAAGTCAGCAATGGGAGAAGTCAGCGCAACATTGTGCGTCTGCCAAGCGTCATGAACGTATGAAATGAACTGATATCAATGCCACTTACAACAAGAATAACAGTCCGACCGCGGACCAGAGACCCCGCGAAACACTTTTCCACAATGTGTTTGGAGGTGTGAACGTCCAGAGCCGCAAGGACATCGTCCAGGAGCAGAATTTCAGCCTTGGAGTAGATGGCTCGAGCAAGCGTGCAGCGGGCTTTCTGACCACCGCTTAGAGTCAATCCTGTGTGCGTGTGTAATCATCGGCACGTGCCAACAGGTCAAGGCCCATCGTACCTTTCTCTCCGACTTCACTCTGATCGCCAGCCTCGAAAAGCTCCAGGTCGCGCTCCAGAGCGCACTGATAGAGCACCTGCTTATAGCGCTCTTCGTCGTACTCTGCGCCGAACAGAATGTTGTTGCGGATAGTATCGTTGAGCACCCAGGATTCTTGAGCGGCGTAAGCGACGCCTCCTGCGCGAGGTAGGTTGTACCAAGAGTTGGCCGTCGAGGGCATGAAGTGCATTTCGCCCAACAGAGCCATCAACATACTACATAGAACGCGGTCAGAGAGAACAGAGAGGAACTGCAGGTGACTCACGATGTCTTCCCTGAGCCAGTCGGTCCAAGCTGGATGATGATCAGCTTGAGGGTCTGCTGGATTAGTGACGACTTACGATCAGATTGAAGCATCCTCGCCTGAAAATGAGTTCGTCGTCGATCTGCAGTCTGAATCTTTGCCGAGACGGGGTCAAAGTCCCATCATTCTCCTGGTCATTCGACCAGGCGAAAGTAGCCGCACGGAATCCAAGCTCAGTCGTGTCTGCAGCACCGGCGAGGATCTCCTCAGCCTCAACACTGGCATGATCTCCAGCGAAGGCATCCAAAAGCTCTGTCTGGGAACAGGCGTAAAGTCAGTGTCGGAGCAGCTGGGCGCAAGCTGTCGAACGCACATCGTGCAGATAGTCGTTGATTCGGTCGATAGACACCTTGGCATCAATGAACTGGATCAGCCGGTAGTTGACCATATGCAATTGTTGACGCAAGATATCGAACACGGGCATGGTGCTGAAAACAATAGATGGCCGGAGCTCCTGTTTCATCACGACCGTCTGTCACACGTGAGTAAGCAATCAAGCAGGGAGTCATGTTCGTACACTGAAAGATCAGATCAGTATGGAGCACAGAAGCAGTGGGAAGGCCATACTAGGTGACGTAAGTAGCCAGCATGGTGATAATGGGAATAACATTGCTAAAGAATAATGAGCCCAGCTATTAGCGGCGAAAAGGGCAGACACTGACTTGACGGTATTCGCAACCCACTCGAAAATTTCACGCTTCCAGATCCAAACAAGCTCGTCCTCGCGCTTGACATTGACGCGTTCAAGCATCTTTGATTCCCAGCCAAAGAGTTTGATCATCCGCAGAACGTTCATGGCTGATGGACTATCAGCTGAATTCATTCAACGAGGACTTGTCGACACGTACTTTCAGTGATCGTATTGATACGAGCATCCGCAGCGCGGATCCGATTCTTCTGGATATTTTGGAGGAAGCGGCCAACATAACCCGATGCAGGGAACAGCAAAACCATGACAAACATGCCCACGAAAGAGCTGCGGTCGAGTGAGCTGCCAAGCCACGCACCAAGAGAGACACACACCTCCATCCAAGGACAACGTAGAGGAAGATAATAGCAAACACCACACTCGTCGGCATGTAGAAGAACAAAAGCAGAAAATCGGACATCCGGGTGAGGTTGCGCAGATCCGTTGTGACGAGGTTGCTAATCTTTCCAGTGTCGACGCTGGTCACAGCGGGGCGAGACGCAGCTTTCTTTGCATCCTTGGAGGTCGTGCTGGCATCCCCTTGGGCAGTGGTGCTGCTCGCAACCGACTCGGCGCCGTCCTGGTTGAGCGTCTCGTCGGTCGAAGCTGCATCATCATTCGTCGTATCCTTCGGCCCAGAGTCGGTGTGAGCCTTGACCCGGATCCGGAGAGCGTGCTCGAAGATGAGCTCTGTCAGGAGTCCTTCGACTTGCACCAAGATGCGGTTCTGGGAGCGAGGTCAGTGGACAGATCACGGGGACTGTAGGCAGGTGACAGACAGAAATCCGGTAGTAAGACTGAATGGCTATTGTCCCGGTCATCGGTCCCAAAGCAAGCCATGCGATCCATACGAAAGGCTTGAATGAGGACTCTCCTTGTCCCTTCTCAAGATATCTAGCCGTTGTTGCATCAGTCGAAGGGAAGGAAAGGCATTGATCAAAAAGTTGCTCACGAGAGAACCCGGTTGATGCCAATGGGAGACGCAAACGAACAGCAGACATAGACCACAAGCAACAGCGTCAGCGTAGAATATTCCGATCTATGCAAGGTCAGCACATCCAGGAACGATCAGCGGTATTTGCTGACCGAAAGGTCTTGATGATCCCCCAAAAGATGTGATGATTGCTAGCGCCTGAGAATGTGTCGATGTTCTTCCCATTCAATGCTTTATTTAGCCGGTAGCAACATGACAATGAAGACCCAACGTACCGGAAAGCCCCGTCGCTTCAGAACTTCTGACCGGCTGCTGTCCGCTAAGGGAGGGAACTTGTCCAGGGGAAGATGCGGTAACTTGAACGCTTCCAGGATGACCGGATCCACGAAGTTGAACATCAAAAGGGACCAAAGCGACGCGGTTTGTTCGGGGCTCGGTTGAGTCATCGGAGCCTGTGTGTATGAATAAGAATCAATGTCTCGACCGGAGGGCAGCCGGTGGCGAAGGGTGCGCCGTTGACCACAACCATAGTGAGAAATAGGACGTACGTCGGGGTCAGTAGGAATATACGCTCTCGGTGTGAGCACAGGGATGACAATCGCAGCAAACGAAAGGATTATCAGCTTCGCTGTCAAAATAGAGCCCTCAGCGGCATCCAAGACAGGCCACGAGATCGTGGCTTGAGGGAGCATATCGCGATAGAATAAAGCGGCGAAGGCAGCGAGGAACATGACGTTCAAGTGTGCGCGTGCCGTGGCACCATATCTGGTCGTAACAGCGATGGACGGGAAAGACAGAAGGGTGGTGTAGATCTGGGCAGACGAAGTTACAGTCAATGCAGACTGGGGAAGGGACACCGACTCACGTAGAACACGGCATACCCAACTTGGAATTGCCTCGCTACTCCCTGCAGCACAACTGCCGACGCGGCGGACAACGCGACCAAAGTCGACGACGCGAGCAGACGAAGAACATTATGGATGAGGACAACCGGTCCGCCGTATTTGTCGACGTCCTGCCAGGACTTTTCAGGGGCGTTAGGGCTTTTGAGCCGGCGAAGATATTGCACGGATAGGAGAAGGAGAGAGCCCAAGGCAGCGTAGAGGGGAAAGATTAGTGGATCGGTCCAGAACCTGTAAGATGTGCGGTCAAAATCAGAGGTGCAAACCAGCACATTACGCGACATGTACGTACGAGGCGGGAAGACTGGAAATGCGCGTCGCGCCGGCCAGAACAACTTGCCAATCTGGCGCTGACTGGGACCAAGTGGAAGAAAAGTCCCTCATGGTACCTGGAGGGACCAAGATACAGTGGAGCGCATCGATCTCAAGTTTACAGTGTACTTATAGATGATACCTTGCCGCGGCTCGCTTTCCATGTGGGTTGGTAGCGATCACTGTTTGAGTCATCCGTTCCCCCATCGAGCGAATCTGTCTGATTGGCGGCCCTGACTCAAGATATGATTTTCCCAACCAACCGGAGTCCTGGCACACACGACGGATTCCGTATCAGGGAGCTCCAGAAGCTGAAGCTCAGAAACCTAGAAGGTCGATCATGCACACAAGACGAATTTACGGATCCAAGTTTCGTCGCCAGTACTCAAATCCGGCATGGAAAGTATCAATGCCTCACTGATGGGGACACTCCGGGCCGGCAACCGTGTAATCTTATAGAGACACCGGGACGCTGAAAGATCCTAGAATAGGTCGAGCGCGCATGTTCTTGAAAGGAGGCGGATATGGCTCTGTGACTCAGCCTAATCATTTCGAGACTCTCTGCTTTCTTCAAGCAAACTCATAAAATGGGCCTTCGCGACAGAATGGTTCACTCGTTGGTGGTCAGAAATGCACGCTGAAGCTCGGGTTGAACAGTGGAGATATTATACAGATGTGGTTTATGCGATGTAATAAATCATATAACGATATGAGGGTGGCCTGTTCATCAGAAGGAAAACAAGTTGTCCCAAGATGATGGAACAGGGAGCAGGTAGTTCATGTCCAGCGGCCCGTGGAATTCGAATCCGGACACCGGAAAGTCGAAAGGCGCATACTCCGGGGAGATCATCTTCGACGAATCCAAGGAGAAATCCAGGTTGCCCATCCCCAGCCCGCCATAACAGTCCCCGAAAAACATCTCCGACGAATCCAGCGAGTAATCGAGCGTCGGCGGCTCACATGAAGTGACACCCACACAGTACGCGTCCGACGCAGCCTCGCCCGCGATCCTATCCAGTGATGGATCCATCACAGCCGCGAACAGCTCATCTTGAGCCCGCTGCCCAAACAAGTCCACCGGCTCCGGTGTTTGGGGAAGTGAACTTGGACTCGGGGATGACGATGCCGAGCTCGACAACGAGACACCCGATCTCGGCGAGAAGGAGAAGAAGGAGGATCCAGCCATCTCTCCTGCCGCAATGTGCTTGTGCTTGTGACGCGACAAGGCAGACGGATCCGCGTACTCCTTGTCGCATGTCGCCAGAGAGCATTTGTACGGCTTGGTCTGTGTGCTAAAGATGCAGATAACCAAGTCAGCATCTCACGATCACGAAACCAACACGACCACTGACTGCTGAGAGATGTAGTGCGTCTCGAGGTTCGATTTCTGCAGAGACTTGTGACTGCACCCCGGAAACGTGCAGTACTTCATGTACTTGTCCCGCTCTTGCGCAGGCAGATGCTTCGCAACAAAGTGCCGCTCCAGATCGCTCGGCCGCCTGAAGCTCTTGATGCACTCGGTGCACTGATGCTTGCCATCGCCGCCGTTCTGTGCCGCCGATTCGTCAGCTGTCGTGTGTGGAATCCTGGCACCAAGTGAACTCACCACAGGCGACGTGCGGGCACGTGAGATGATGCTGGTCGTGGCCACTCGAGGCATGATAATAGCAAGAAGGCGGGCTTGAGTGGGCGGGGAGAGTCGCTCGGGAATGCGGAATGCACAGATGAGGCGCGTCCTTCTCTCCACGCGCGCGGCCCATCTCTTATACCGTCCCCATAGCCGAGAAAAGTCCAAAATCTGTGTCCCAGCCAATCCATCAAAGACGGGTCTTGCAAGTTGCCTTCAAGGGAGAGAGCGATTGGGCCACTCGACGTCAAGGAGAATTGCTTGAAATGGAAAGTGATGGTGAGTGGCTCAAGTGGCAAGAGGCGAGCTGTGTTCGATCCTAACTTTGCAAAAGTTGAGGTTGCTCTCTTAGTCCCTTCCACCACTTCCAGGCAGCAGAGAAGACATAGCGATGCACATGTTAGCTGAGACTTCTCTTCAAAACGTCTATTGAAGCAATAAGGTGTGCCGCATTAGGAACCAGCATGCCTTAGTCAGCTTTTGATGTGACACAATCACGCCCGATTCCCGCCCACATCCCGCCGACTGGCGGCATGTTTTGTCAAATCTACTCACATACAGGGCTTGGGAAGCTATGAAGGCAGATTGCTATGTGCGTAGATTTTTCGATTTATGCTCCTATCTCGTGTCATCTTCCAAGTAATGTAAAATTCTCCAATCATTGTCTAGAGTGTTAAAATGGCATTTGCGCTCAGATGTGTTGGGGCACGCCTAAGATTTGAGCAGCTTATGTAAGCATGCACGTGACATCCACGTGATCATTCCCCTTGCATATCCTTTACATTTTGTCGACAAAAAAGCGATGGTGGGCACAAAACAACGCTACAAGCAACTGAAAAAGACCCTTACCTCAAGCATGGATGAGATGCGAGCAAATGTGCTCAAGTGTCTTGATGAAGTTCCACTGGAACAGATTTGCCGGTGAGTGGCGTTGCCAGTATTTGATCAGTATATCAACAGAGTTTCAGGTTCTCAATTCGCTCGGCTCGCTACATCCATGCGTACACGGAGGGTTTGACCGGTAGTCAAGCCGCCTGGGCAAATCACAGATACCATGGTCATCGGACACTCCCACCGGACATGATGGCCGAGGCCAAGAAAGCAATTCCGAGCCCGTAGTATCTCAGATATAACATATCTATCAATCTATGTACATTACAGACTGAAAAAGTTTTCGTGTCCGCAAGTCGAAGATTTGAGCACCGTGACAGTGACGTGACGGTGACAGTCACATCAGCTTACTAAGGCATGCTGGTTCCTAATGCGGCACACCTTAGCTCTTGAGCGGTTGCTGGATGGCGGTCAGGTGCAACTGATCAATTACGGTAATCAATTTCCAAATGTTGTCGATCAGTGGCGATGCATCAACACAAGTACGTAACGTACGGGGAAACAACTGAAATATAACAGACTGGATAACATTCGCAGCTTGAATCCGTCATCGTCTCTCATGACAGATGAACTTGAGCAGTTTCGAGCGAATAGATGCGAAATCTCTCTGGCACTGTCGCCTATTTTGTGAATCAGAGGGTTGAGCATTCCACATTCATCACTAATACAAATTCCCTATAGCCCAAGATTGGATCGTGTGTACTGGATACATGGCCTCTATGTGGAGAAGAGAGCCTGGTTCTGCATGGTCTGAGTGAACATCTGGAAGGCAGCCTCGCCAACAGCCAGCTTCGAGTTTATGTTCTGCAAAGACATCAGTCGCAGTTCCTCCCCGATGCGATCAGACGAAACCGTACCTGATAAGCAGGGACCTCGTGTCCGGCACCGCTGACACGGACATAAGAGAACGTGGGGGTCGTCTTGAAGAGACCTGCGTTCTTCCCGTTGACGGTGTAAGTCTTGAAGGACGCGTTGTTGAATGCGGTGCTGAAGCTGGTCTTCATCGCTGCCAGCATGTCCTCCACACCCTGGTAGTTGACGATGAAATCGGCATCTCCGTTGTAGAGCACGACCCGAACACCCGAGTCGGCGACAGACTCGAGGTTGGGAAGCTGGGATCGCATCCAGTCGCCGGTGTTGGCGAAGTTGAAGTACACATTGTCGTTCGTCATCTGCCAGGTGGACTCGGCGCCGACAGCAGTCTGTACGGAGTTGAGGTAAGACGTGATGTCGGGGGGATAGGGGTCGTTGGTCCCAGAGGGAACGTAGTAAACCTATGCAGTGCGATGAGTACTAGCAAAGAAACAGAGCAGGTGGATGCATACATCGTGGTTTCCAATCAAGGCACTGAGGATGTTGTTGTTGCAGTAGCTCTGAGCATTCGAGCAGACCGTATCAGAACCTCCAGCGTTGCATCTCGTGATCTGCGACTTGCACGATGTCAAAGCAGTGGTGGCTTGTCTGATCGTAGAGGTGGACACCATCTGTCCATATGGGTTGGACGTCGCATAGGAGATGTACCCGGGGTATTGCGAGAGACCGTCAGTCAGCCCATTCCCAATGCCGAGAGTGGTCAGCTTGATGGTGATTCCAGAGATAGTGCCCTTGGCAATGGCTGCATTCTGGGATAGGATGTAGGAGGCGAACGCAGGTCCGTAATGGCCGCCGTATCTGCGAGAGTGCCATTTTAGCGTTCATTGGCGCGCGAAATGGGTTCTCGTCACGCACGATTCAGTCCAGATAGCGAAGCCATTCGCCACTAGGTGGGAGAAACGAGAGTCCTTCAGGAAGATCTGCATGAAGGTCCACAAGTCCGCCGCAGCCTCAGCGCTCGTTCCGACTGTCTCCGTGCCGTGCGAGAAGCCAGTTCCGACGGGTTGATCGATGTACAACATGTTGACGTTCGTGTTCCATGAATAAGGGTTGTTGCTAACGGTCCGGCTGTTGTTAGCTATTCTGCACGGTCCGTTTTCTTGCAGCAGACCGATCATAGAGGAGCTACCCGGCTGCAATGTGTGTCATCAGCGGTTGCTGTGGTACCGATAAGCAAGAAAACGCACGCCTCCGTTGATCCAGATGGCGAGTGGGGCATTCGAAGCATTGTTCCGCGCGTCAAAGTACCAAAAGAAGATGCTCTCCTGAGCGGTGAGATCTCCGTATCCGGAGGCTTGGTACACGCCCTTGGTCGTCTCTGGTGGGAGACCACAGTCAACCCCCGCCGCCAAACACGCCATGACGAGACTGACCACAGATGCCCGAGTTCTCGACTGTCCGCAGGGTTCCCGGTTTGGTGGCGAACGACACCACTTTCGAGTCCGCTTTCAGGGTCTTGTTGCCCACGCCGCCGATGACGCCGTTGACGACAGGGACCTGGCCGGTAGCCAGCACACCCGACGCGAAGCTGAGAGCCGCAGCGGCGATAGAAAGACGCATCGCAGCGGGAGGGATTGAGAAGAGCTTTAGTTACTTGCTACTGGGGAGCAGCTCAGAATTTATATGCGAAGGAAAGAAGGCATGTGCTCCATGCTTCGGAAGAGAATAAAGCATGGCGTTCTGTGTGTCCCATACGACAAGCTCTGCGATGCGATTCCACCCGTTTGACGAAGCACGGTGTCATCAGAAAGGAAGGCGGAGTAAAGCATGGGTGCCGAGTTCAAATCAAAATTTGCACGCGCCAATGATTGAGTTTTCTGGCTCCCGTAAGATAACGAAGGTCTTGTGAGCGTTTTCAAGATCCGGGAGCATGGCAGGGTGCAGTGGCTTGCAGTGGTCTCTGCGGTCCTTGAGAAGCTACTCGTGCACTATGCAGTATATGCATACTACATGCTTAGTAGCCATGCGCATGCACTGTGAGGTTGATATCAGTGGCGATGTGATTATCATAGAGGTGCTGATGATCGGCGGCTCATGTTCCGATTGTCCTAGGGAGGGCAACACAATTGGGACCAAGATTGAGGAAGATCCGCTCAACATCCTTTTAGGAGGTACGGCTGAAACTACTGTAGAGGTGAAAGCGACCCCAAAATTACAGGCTGATTAACGTTTCGCGCGGATCTTGAGCGCAAGTCTCCGCCTTGCCTATAATTCAATTCGGATATGGCCCCTTGTACCGGGTGATGCGAAAACGGTGATCGTTAGGTCAAGTCCTTGTCTTACAGAATCGAGTATTACATTGAAAGTTTCAATTACATCTGCGAGCTCTACTCCGCACCGGTGAGGGCGATGGCAATCCTGTACTCCCAGTATCTACACGGCAATCAGCGATAGCTCGGTGTTGGAAGGATGCTCACTTTTTCCGAATCGGGTCGTGAACGTCTGCAAGAGATCGCCAGAGCTAGTAAAACGTTTCAACACTGATGGATGGCAACAAACTGCAAGGCACTCACAGCAATTGCCTCATCAATCTTACCTTCCTCCTCCCGAACATCTGCCAGGAATTCAACCGCAGCAACACAGGGCAGCTGGGCATCCTTTCCAGGTGGAGGATTCTCCAAGTCCACCAAATCTTTTACGTCGGGCGACAAAGGAACCGAATAAGGAAGGACAAAAGTCGCTACGCTTTTGAGCGGCCGTTTAGTGTATTCAAGCACGCCGCGGAGGTAATTCCAAGCTGACGCGTTGTTCGGCGCAAGCGAAATGTTTTGCTTCACGAATCTGTCGTTCAGTGAGATCGAGATGGGTATGGAGGATCGAAAACGGGCACGAACATCAGCTCTCTCCGCAGGACTCGCTCCCGATCTTCATCGCCCTCACGAACGCCCGACTGGAAGACCACAAAGAAGCGATGATGCCACGCTGAGTTATTCCGCACATCGTTGTTTAGCATGGCATCGACGAAATCGAGCTCGCCTGCCCACAAGGCATCATCTCCACGGGAAGCAAGCAGCCATTGTCGATGCGCCCATGTATGATAGTTCTTCTCGTCTTGACGAAGAATTTGTGCAATATAGGTGAGCTCCGCTGGGATGTAGATCTGTCCTTGAGGAAGCTGGAGGAGCAGCCGCCGATGGTGCCAGACCTGGTACGTCTTAAGGAACTTGTCTGCAAGTTCGTCCATGAGGGTCATTTCATCCGCGATGGGCAGTTTGAGAGCCGTGAAGGTCTCGTATCGATATTGCCTACGGATAATGGATAAGCGCCATCGCGATCCAATGAAGCATGAAGCAAGGCACCATGCAGAGTAATGCGCGGGATTCAATCGAATAACATGCTCTGTGAGCGCCATCACGCGTTCAGAGCGTTCATCAGCCTGAAGGACTGCGCGCAGGTAGTTGGTAGCGTCCTTGTCTGCCCTGGCGTTTCAGCAGTGCGGATTTGCTTTCGTTCATACTGACATTCGTCCGAGTACAATATAGGGGCGAGGGGGTTGGCTTTCTCAAACTGCTCCAGTGGTACGACATCGTCCCACTCGGGACGCTGAGAATATAGCGTGGGGGACGAGTCCATGACGGTCAATGAAAGAGATGCAGACCCGTTCGATCGTTCCGTGTTTATTGTGTCTGATGTGATCTCAAATTTAATCAATGGTATGTATCGTATTGTTACAAAAGAAAGGGAAGCTAAGCAGCGGTAGTAGTAGCAGGAGGATTCAAGGCGGTGTAGTCCTGAGATAGATGAGCATAAGACAACAAAAAGCAGCGACAAAATTGCACACCTCCATCTCGGCATCCAGATCGGCCGCTGACTTTTGCGGTCTCTCGCCCTTGGCTTTTCCACCTCGGCCACGACGGCCACCCCGACCACGGGCAGGGGCACCACCACTATTGATTCAAAGTTAGGATCGACACACAGATTGAGAGCTAGACACGGACCGCGGTGTCGCCGTTTGAGTCTGGGCTTGAGCTGCTGGGGCTACGCGTGACGCCAGCGGGGCCGGTGGCACGCGCGATGGGTCCATGACGATTTCGATCTTCATGGGTCGTCCTAATAGTGCAAGGGTGGAGCGGAGAAAGAAGCAGAGTTAATCAGCCGTCGGTTCATTGGACGCGCAAAATGGGAAAGGAACGAAAGAAGTATGACACGAAAGTTGGTGGTTACCCGTCGTCGCTGTGCCCTGTCGTCTTGTGTGTCCAGCTGCAACTGATTAGGGGAGTGCTCTCGGTATCACTCGACCTCGGTTTGAGAGCCCAAACCACTTCAATCCAGAGACTCTCGCCACCCTCCACCATGCTCTAGTCAGCACCGTCACGGGTTCGAAGCGATTCCCACAGCGCATGGTGATCAACCCTGCACTCGAGAGGGATCCTCCGGGTGCACTGCCTACGGTTTCCCCACGGAGCGAGGAGAAAACCGATCATGAGCGTGACATCGAGTCCGTTAGCGCGGTCGGGTGATCAAGCCAACAACAACGGCTCTTGCCCGTCTATCTTCTGGCACCGTTTCGACGCAGTAGCCAAACATCAACTCCTCAACGCTCTGCACGCCTTTCAAGTTCATTCCCCAAATCCGGACAACTGACCCATCAGCAAGCCGCAGAGAGTCGCCGACTATGTTGCTGTAGACAGGACAGGGAGCGACGACGAGAACCCTAGGAAGACGACGCGTCGAAAGAGGGGACGAATCGGAGACGAAGATGGGACGATGAAAGGTGAAAGGCTACTAACTGCCATCGATGAGTCGGTTATTGTATTCCTTGAAGGCACGGTTGCCGTCGCCTTTCTTGATGAACTGAACGGTAGCGACTCCTTTGGACCGGCCGTTGGCATCATAGTGGAGGGTGACTTCCCGCAGAGCACCAATGGTTGTGTGGAAAAGTTCCTGCAACTTGATCAGTCTCTGAAAAGAACTGGAGAGGCGTAAGAAATCACCTTGACTTGAGATTCATTCACGTCGGGGGGAAGATTCGACACAATGATCTTCTCAGAGGGAGTGGTAGTGGCCGCCGCAGCAGCAGCTGGTGCGGGACCCTTGGCCTTGGCCGGTGCAGTAGCAGCCTTGCGAGCTTTCGCAGCCGGACTGAGGCCCGTGTTTCCGAGAACTTGAGCGCGAGCCTTGCCGCGGTTGGAGCCACGACGGTCGCCTTTGGGACGAGAGGCGATCATCTGCAGTTCACAGTCAATGCCCCGAGCATTGAAGTTAGGACACAAGACATACATCATCAAGAGACATTTCCATGTTGCTAGACATGACTTGAAGGAAAGAGACCGGGTTGTTTGAGGGGAAAGTGCTTGTTGAAGTTGGTGGGCGTGGAGAAGAAACCACACGCGCGACCAACAACAAGCGCAAACAAGTAGCATTTGGCGTTTCGCTTCCGCCGCTTGACTTCGTTTTCCTCTACTTGTTCTGCTCAAGATGGGTGGTCGTGGAAGAGGTGGTTGGGGGCGTGGTCGCGGTGCAGTAGCTCCTCCAATGGGGCTGACGCATGCGGACATGCAAAACTTATCTCGTGAAGCGACTGCGATGTATCCTGTGCGACAATAAAAACGCTGTACTGCACTGTTCTCAAGCTCAACATCATGCTCCGCGTAGCCTATGATTCCGCCTATTCTCACGGAACCCACCGACGACGAGAAGCAAATTGCGCGATTCCAGCATGGCTTTGCTGAGCGTTTGCGTCGGTCCAAGTATTATGTTGTTGAGACAGTGAAGACGAATGGTCGGTCGCTTCGTTCTCACAGTACAACTCATCATTTCTTACAGATCTACCACGCTACAGCGATAAATATCGACCGTCAGTGACTAGTCAACCGAAAATGAAGAGAGAGGACCTCCATGCACCGTACTTCCCTCCGGAGATCTTCGAGGACTACTTCAATCCGAAGCGAAAACGAAAGGGTGAAGCATATCCGTATATGCACTGAAGTGTCACTAACAGCTAGGCTAGTCAAGACGAAAGGCGATCCCACAAAGAAACGGATGAACATTGACGATATCGACGAGGACGAAGACGAGAAGGTGTGTTGTAAGGACCCTCAAGCTAATGCGGATCGCTTCATCCACATCTAGGGCGACGGGTCCGATCAGTCGAATGCCGGCTCCCAGGTACCTTCAGATTACGACGGCGACGAAGATTACGGCGACAATGATTACGCCCAAAACTATTTCGACAATGGCGAAGCAGACGATTTTGATAATCTCGACGGGGGAGGTGGTGATGACGGAGGGGCAGGCGAGTGACCGACTTGACGGTATGCTATTTCCAGGCTAACTCCTCATAGGGGATTACGAATAAGGCGTTCCGTCGGGGTCATGTAGAATGTCGAGTCACGCCTCGATTCTCAATCAATGTAAGCTAGCGGACTCAGACCACAAACTCATTGTCGTAGGTGGGAAAATCCCTTCCCAGTCCTCTGCGAATATGTGATAATGCTGCTCTTGACGAGCCCGCCAGCTTCTAAGCCACAAACCTACTCAGAGATGAATTACATGTAGCAATCCCGTACTGTATGTATTCAAGTAACCTGAGATTCTTTCATCGATATCCACCAGTCCGATTTTACTTCATCGTTCAGTGAGGCGCTGGATCAATCAGACCTTCTCACGATCTGGATCTTGCTCCTGACATACCAACTGCTTCAAAAGGCACGCTGTGACGATGGTAGCACCCCTGCCCCCATATCCGCCAGCCGCTGTTCAGAAAGCGCTCTCCCCGGCGCAGCTTTCAACAATCCGACACAATATCCTCGCCGCAGTGTCGGCCACCACCGCTCTCCCCGCCTCCAAACGCGACACCCCAGCCACACGCACTTTCATTGAAACCTACGCAAAAGAACAGGCGCGTGCCGCCCTCGATGGGCTTATATGGGAGGCTCCGATCTCTTCTGACGACCGGCTGATTCGTAAGCGTGTTTTGGCGCTGGCTGCAACCCTCCCGGAGAGTCTTGACCTGCGAACGCTCATCGACCTGGCCATCATATACTCACGTTCCAATCGTACAGCCATGTGCGATATACTTGATCGAGGGCTTAGAAAGATTTCGCTGAGTGTGGAGAGCGAGCTGTTGCCTGCGCTCACTTCGTTGCTGGTGGTGTCCGAGGGCCTTTACGTGCTGCGCAAGACAGCCTATTGTGTGGAGGCTTTCCTGCGGGTGTGCCCAAAGGATGTGCTCCGATTCTTTCGACGATCGAAAGAGTTCGTGGTCTCGCTGGCTACTGCATATGATGCAGGATTGTCCTCCCTTGCCCATTCGTATGGAGGACTTGATATGTCAGATACAAGGGAGATGGACGAGGTGTTTTGTCTTCGCTGCCTTCATGAGGACATAGGGCTGAGGTTAACATTGATCTAGTGGGAGCGCATCTGGATTGCGACCAAGGTCTCGCTCGTGGACGCTTTCCACATCATTCTTCGATCTCAACTCGACGACATGGCTGCATCCGAGGGTGCTGTTCTCGCCCTAGAAGCGGATCGAACCTTCAACATCATATTCGCATTGCTCGAGCTTCCATCTGGCTCTCAGTCTCAGTCAACGACACCGTTTCTCGATCAGTCCTTGTTGGCCGACTACCAGCAGACTTACAATCTATCCAAGACGCTTGCCGCAGCATTGCGGAACGCAGCAGAAAAAGACGTTAGGCTGGATCTGCTGGAGTCTACGTTGCAGTCATATGGCGATCCGGGACAGGGCAATGCCGGTGCTCTGAAGCTTATCTTGCGCTCATCTGGTGTTCCTCCTGGTGTCGACAATCTCGGTAAAAGTCGCTCCGAAGGGAAAGGGAAAGGGAAAGCACCAGCACCAGCACCTGTGCTCCCCGAGGAAGATCCGCAGCTGCAGAGGAACATCGCGCAGGTTTTGGACATTTTGCCCGAACAATCTCCCGACTATGTGCGAGCTCTCTTGCTCCACTCTTCCTACTCCGAGCCCGAGAAAGTCATCGACGCTTTGTTTGAGGGCACGGCACCACCGATGGACCAGCTTACACGCCGTGAAGATGACGATTTGGCAACCTATGTTCGCAGCAACGTTTTTGACGAAGAAGAAATGGATGCCGATCGTTTGCGCGTCGGAAAGAAAACTGAGTGAAGCGTCTTCCATGCACTGGGGTGGTTGAACTGACATGGCCTCCAGAGATGAGACTAATGTCTTGCGCGACCGCTCTTTTATCGACCGGATGAAAGCCGAAATCCTCCGGCGTGCAGAGGAAATATCCGACGAGGAAGACGAAGACGAAGAACCAGCGACGCAAGTTGCCAAGGGCAAAAAGAAAGAAGTAGACGACGGTGAAGAGCTCGATTCCCATTCTGCGCAGGTCAAAGTCGGAGGAGACGGCGAAGAGAGTGGCGATGAGGACGACGCACAAGACAGCGACGACGAACGTCCGACCGAAAAACTCGCGCCAGAAACGGTCTGCGAACTGGCGTACATCCGCGATCCCAAGCTTTTCGATCGCGACGCTGCCACTCGCCGGAGCAAGGCACGCGCGGATCTACAGAAACAGACGGGCTGGTCTCATGAGCAGCTCGAGGGCTGGAGGACCATGCTCGAACGGGATGTATGTTGTCTTCATCTTGTGCACCTGCCGCTGAACTTACAATGGTGGCCCCAGCCGAAGAAAGATAAGATCCTCGCTAAACATGAGTTTGCGGGCAATCAAAATCGCATTCCAGAGGCGATGCTGCAGCCACAATCCTCCAGAAACTCACATTCCGGCGGTAGAGGTCGAGGTCGAGGTGCTCCAGGTCGAGGCTCGGCGCCAAATGCTGATGGGTCAGCACGGGAACGGGCTTGGAAAGATAAGAACAAGGCATCCCGTGGAAATCACAACCGGAAGCGAGGCCATGATAAGAAAATGGCAAGGGCTGGACCAGCATTATGAATGCCCTCCCGACATTAGAATTAACTGATCCACATTCAAGGAATAATCTAGCGACAATGACTAGTGTATCCTGCCCTACCATGTTGGCCACGCCACGTGCAAAGGCACGTGATCGCGTATATGATCTCTTTCCATCTCCGATCGTCCAGTCTTACCAATCTCCGTCTTCTTGCGTTTTGATGGTTTCAGTTTGGAAACTCATGGAAAGCTCCACTCTGAACCCGAGGGAAGTAAGGTCTCTGTGCCCAGATCTCGTCCTCATCTTTCCTGTCGTGCTTGGTTCGACGCTAACTGTCCACTGCACCCAGCACTCATGGTGACGACTGCTCAGTGGCAAGTTCTTAAGTGTCAGAGTTAAGACCTGATTGTCTCACGGATGCCTTTTGTCCAACGAGCCACTTGAGCCACTCACCATCACTTTCTATTTCAAGCAATTCTGCTTGACGTCGAGTGGCCCAATCGCTCTCTCCCTCGAAGGCAACTTGCAAGACCGGTCTTTGATGGATTGGCTGGGACACAGATTTTGGACTTTTCTCGGCTATGGGGACGGTATAAGAGATGGGACGCGCGCGTGGAGAGAAGGACGCGCCTCATCTGTGCATTCCGCATTCCCGAGCCACTCTCCCCGCCCACTGAAGCCCGCCTTCTTGCTATTATCATGCCTCGAGTGGCCACGACCAGCATCATCTCACGTGCCCGCACGTCGCCTGTGGTGAGTTCACTTGGTGCCAGGATTCCACACACGACAGCTGACGAATCGGCCTCACAGAACGGCTGCGGTGGCAAGCACCAGTGCACGGAGTGCATCAAGAGCTTCAGGCGGTCGAGCGATCTGGAGCGGCACTTTATTGCGAAGCATCTGCCTGCGCAAGAGCGGGACAAGTACATGAAGTACTGCACGTTTCCGGGGTGCAGTCACAAGTCTCTGCAGAAATCGAACCTCGAGACGCACTACATCTCTCAGCAGTCAGTGGTCGTGTTGATTCCGCGATCGTGAGATGCTGACTTGGTTATCTGCATCTTTAGCACGCAGACCAAGCCGTACAAATGCTCTCTGGCGACGTGCGACAAGGAGTACGCGGATCCGTCTGCCTTGTCGCGTCACAAGCACAAGCACATCGCGGCAGGAGAGATGGCTGGATCCTCCTTCTCCTCCTTCTCGCCGAGATCGGGTTTCTCGTCGTCGAGCTCGGCATCGCCATCCCCGAGTCCAAGTTCACTCGCACAAACGCCAGAGCCGGTGGACTTGTTTGGGCAGCGGACTCAAGATGAGCTGTTCGCGGCTGTGATGGATCCATCACTGGATCGGATCGCGGGCGAGGCTGCGTTGGACGCGTACTGTGTGGGCGTCACTTCATGTGAGCCGCCGACGCTCGATTACACGCTGGATCCGTCGGAGATGTTTTTCGGGGACTGTTACGGCGGGCTGGGGATGGGCAACCTGGATTTCTCCTTGGATTCGTCGAAGATGATCTCCCCGGAGTATGCGCCTTTCGACTTTCCGGTGTCCGGATTCGAGTTCCACGAGCTGCTGGACATGGACTACCTGCTCCCTGTGCCATCATCTTGGGATAACTTGTTTTCATTCTGATAGACGGACCACCTCTTCTACTTATCATTATCTGTATCTATTTACCTTGGGCTTGACGTGCCAGTGCTACAACGTCCGGCATTCTGTATAACGAACCTAGCGTACTAGAGATTCTCCGCAAACAACACCAACCGACTACGTCGTAGCGACCTTACTATCGACTTGGCTGGACAGCTTTGCAAAACGTTCAAGGGGCATAGCGTGTGGGAAACGAACATTGACACAGACGCCTGAATATCATGCACAGTGGATAGAAGTACAAAATGGGACGAATAAATAGAGCCGGGAGATACATAGGGAGACATCCCGTCACTTTGTTGTGGTGGCAGACGAGAACTTGGTGACCGACTTGGTCTGCAACGACAGTCAGGCAAAGCGCAGCGCTATCTGGGATCAGACGTACACCCTCAGAAATGGCGTGCTTGGCGAGTTCACCAGGCAGAATCAACCGAACCGACGTCTGGATCTCGCGCGACGAGATCGTCGACTTCTTCGAGTATTGCGCCAGTTCTGTTGTCGTTGAGACCCATCCAGCGAACACACCGATGCAGACCACTCACTGGACGCCTCAGAAGCAATGCGCTCAAAGATGTCGTTGACAAACGAGTTCAAGATCGACATCGCCTTGTTCGAGATACCCGTATCGGGATGCACTTGTCTCAACACTGTGGCGAGACGCGTCGTCAGCGAGCGAGCCATCAGCAGCAGCGACCATGGCACGCACCCTTGTAGATGTAGGACGAGTAGGTCTCCTTTCTGACCTTCTTGCGCTTCTTCTTCTCGCCATCGCCGGGCGCGGCAGACTTCGTCTTCTTGCCTGCCTTCTTGTCTGTCGTCTTGGACGGAGCCTTGGAGGCAGTAGCAGGGGCCTTGGAGGCAGTAGAGGCAGGGGCTTTGCCAGCAGTAGAAACGGGTTTGGGAGCCATTGCAGATGTAGGTAGAAACGGTTGGATGACTGAGGTTAAGATTTGAAGGGCGAGCGTGGGCGCGCCGTCGATATATACTGACGCGTGACGTTGTTCCTGTTTGGCTACTTTCAACAAACGCGTCCGTTCCCACGAACGCGTTTGTTGATTGATCGGTCTCGGCTACCTTAAAAGCAGCACATAACTCCTTCCCCTACCGCAACTTCCCAAAGTCCCCCACTCATCTTTCATCTCCTCCCACCCAGTCCCTATACACACAATGTCTGGCAAAGTCAGTGGCAAATCCAAGTCCGGCAAGGCGGCTGGCGCCAGCAGCGATTCCAAAGCTCAGTCGCGTTCCTCGAAAGCCGGCCTCCAATTCCCTGTCGGTCGTATCCACCGTCTCCTCAAGAAGGGCAACTACGCTCAGCGTGTCGGTGCTGGTGCTCCTGGTACGTGCTCGAGCACATCTCGTGTCGTTTTGGCCAACGCGTGTTGCAGTGTATCTCGCCGCGGTCCTCGAATACCTTGCTGCGGAGATTCTTGAGCTCGCTGGCAACGCCGCTCGCGACAACAAGAAGCACCGTATTGTTCCTCGTCACCTTCAGCTTGCCATCCGGAACGATGAAGAGTTGGGCAAGGTTTGTCGAACTTGTGCACGCTGGTTGTAGAGGCTGATTCGTTGGCAGTTGCTCGGTTCCGTCGTCATCTCCCAGGGAGGTGTTGTTCCCCATATCGACCCTTCCTTGCTTCCCACAGCAACGAAAAGTTCGTGTATTCTTCTCATCCGTCACTTGCCGCTGACATTCCCTCCAGAGGGCAAGGCTCAGGCCGAAGACTAAGACTTGTACCGTTTCCTCAGCATCACTATTGCGTCTGTATTTATCATCCACTTGTATTCTCTTATCGATTTATGATAATCGACCGCATTTCGATCCGATCTACCATCCATCCCTATCTCGACAGGAGAAATCAGGCGTACGCTTGCTCGTTGAAGCCCGGCAAGATGACCGCAGTACCATGGTCCTCCTTCTGGTTTTGCGCCGTTGTTCGTTGCCACTTCTGCTTCGCAAACGTCCAATCTGCTCGCGATCAGCACGGACATGAGTAGCATTGACACGCTCCTGACTTGCCTTCCATCGTGGGCACAGGGTTGCCGGTCTTTTCGAAGCCGTTCTGCGTGTAGCCGGCCTCCTTCAAAACCGGGGACTCTTGTATCGTGGCCAGCTTTACATCATTGTGCGGGCGAGAGAAGTACAGCAGACCCAGGCGGTCGACATGTTGTTGATCCTTTGGCGGAATGGTTACGCGATGGATGGTGCTTCGGACATACCCGCCCGTCAGGAACTGTAACGCGTCACAAGCGTTCACGGTTAATGTCGCATCCTGCGGTTTGACCCATTTCCACTCGTCGTGCACGGGATCGCGGATCTGCAGGGCCGCCACAGGCTGGCGGAAGAGCAGTGTGAAGGAGCCGAGGTCGGTGTGACCATAGACCCAATTCGTCAGTCTGGCATTGACTTCGGGTGGATACTTTTGGTATCTCATGTAGCGAAGGTGGTCCTGAATCATCGCGGTGAGCACGACAATAAACGATCTGCGCGGAACTGACTTCGCTCTTGACAGGATATTGGTGGAGCTTGGTGAAGTAGTCCTCAGGCAACTCCAAAGCTATGGCGAGCAGAACAAATAGCGGGTCTAGCACCTCGGTGTGGAGTGCCTGTCCGTCGTTGAGTCGCCATGCGTCAGCACTTCATCAGACGCACTCGGGAAAACTCTTCAATCTCCTCCAATCTCTGGGCCACGACTTGTGGGTGTTTGTGCTCGAAATAACCGTTGAACTCTACGCAGTCCATTTCATTCGGTGATCTCGGTCATTCTGCGATCAGAAACGTACTGGGGATGTTATAGATTTCGACCTGGTCCTTGATCGTGCGCTCGGGATCGATGAAACGACGTCCAGCGGGGACATATCCGTTGAACTTGCCCTGGTCTAGACGCCGTCAGCGTCGCTGCTCACATCCAGACGACCCGCAGACTCACCCAAGCCTTCCGGCACATATTGCAACCTCTCCTCGACAGGCAGCTCGTAGAATGATTTGCCGATTGCGAACTGACGGTTCACACGTTCCTGCGAGATCCCAAAGTTCTTGACATAGAAGAAGCCTTTCTCGCGGAGTGCGCGGATGAGGATATCTGCTTGTGCCTTTTTGCCCTCTGGAGTAGACAGCTGGCTCAAGTCAACGGTTGGGAGCTCAGCCCAATCCAGCGATTCCTGGGAAATGACGTCAGGGGGGACGTTCCGGGCAGTTGCTATGTGAGCGCACCTTTGTCTCCGCAACATAGTTGTAAGAGCCGAGTTCTGGGACGGGGACAGGCATGTTTGACAGATATTGCGGAATCGTGTCTGTCATACATTCTTATATAGCCCTGGCTTGGTAATTCCCGGTGCACGCCATTGCGCAAGGTTCGATTCGGATTTGTGAGAAAGCCCTCATCTGGCTTCTTCATGGCGCTATCGTTCCTTGTACCGGGATCCTGTGACCTGGAGCGGTTGATGGAGCAGCTCCCTAATACCATTCAATAAATATGGCGTCTTTTGGGAGCTGGATGACGTTTGAGTGAAAATGTTATAGACGCATTCTGATATAATGGCTACTGCAAGTTCACATCTCGAACGAGCTCTCCCCAGGTGTCTAGATAAGAGGTCATGAGCCGACATTTCTTTCGCACATCGTCTTCAGCGTCTGGACCCAGAACAAGGTATGTCGGCCACGGCTTCCCCTTGGCTCTGCCTTGGCCCTTGACCACATCGACGAGCGCCGACATCCCTTTATCTGGATCCCCGCTTTGCGAACCGTTGAGAGCAGCATATGATTGGTAGTTCTTTTCTCTTGATTCGTTGTACGCCGGGATCGGATTGCTCATATCGTGATTCTGGTCGACGCGAACGACATCCGTCCTGAAAGAGCCTGGCTCGACCAGTAACATCCGGATGTGAAATGGCTCCAGCTCCACAGAAAGCGTGCCGGTCAAAGCTCTGACTGCCGCTTTGGAGCTCGCGTATGCGCCTGAGAACGGTCAACCAGTGTTCCGTTGATATCAGGATCGATGGATCAGCATTACCTAGACCCTGCAGTCGAATGAGCGATCAATCAATCAGGGCACGACTCGACTTACAGTGACCTCCGGTCTCCAAGCGGATCGACTGCCAACGATGACAATTGTCCCTCCACCTTGAGCTCGAAGATGTGGCAAACACGCATTGGTCACGTCCATGAGACCAAACACGTTTGCCTCATACTGCCTCCGCATCAGCGTTGATCTAGAGGCGATCAGAGGGTGAGATGATGGGATGCGGGTGCTCGCACCCTCCCTCCTCCAAGAAGCCAGTGATAAGGGTGCCAGCGTTGTTGACCAGCACGTCTATTCTGCCCCAGAGAGCGACTGCATCACGGAATGTCGATCTAACCAACCGTCAGTCTCCGAGGCGGAACAGCGAATCAGCGCACTCACTCCAGCGCGTCGAATCCAGCTGTTACATCCAGCTTCAGAACCTTGAGGTTCTCGCTCGTCCCCTCCAAGTCCATCACCCCATCCAAAGACCGCGAGGTGGCGATGACACGGTCGCCCCGTGCGAGCACTTGGCCCACCAGGCTACGTCCCAAACCAGACGAAGTCCCTAATGCTGTCATCATCGAGTGTCCCTGCAAGAAAGGCCAGCAGTACCTGTGATGAGCCAGACTAGAGGCGCAGAGGCGCCCTCTCCAGAGCGATCCGGGACAGCTTCCGGCCAGAGCATGTTTGAAAGAAACTGAGTAGACATTGCTTTTCGGGAGATCGCGGCAGAATGGGTACTTGAGAGCCCAGCCACGGACGGTCGTCGTTTTCTAGTCGGTAGCTGACAAACCCATATGCGGTACCATCACAGCGCGGGAGGAAATGGAGACGTCAAGCATTTTTTCCAAGCCGCGGAGCACGAGAACCAAGACTGCACACGAATCGGAGGCGTCAGCAAGAAATTACAGCCAGCAGCATGTCAACGAATGACACGGCGCACCCCGTCTTCGAAATCCTTTTCATGCGAGTGACAGATAGCGATCATATCGAGTGCATTACAGATCTTATTTGCGCTACACCGATCAACTTGGGAACACATGCGATGACCAAACGACTCGCCTGAGTTCTCTTGCGGAGATTCACCAGTCGACAACAGATTTTAAACATCGCAATGTGTGGTCAGCATTACCGATGAGCCCTGGGAGTCATAGAGACTGTCTCAGTCGCCGCCAGTAATTGATTCCCGCGCTGTAATGTTAAGATCCAGTCGTCGAAGCGTTTGGGTCGGTACGTTTTCTTCGGTTAACAAAATATGTCTGGTCTCGCCTGGTCTGGTCTGGTCTCGTCTCGTCTCGTACGGTCCGGCCTACATAGCGAGCGGAACGATCCTTCGAGGAGTACTTGCGTGCGATCATCCTCTTGATAGCCTGGTGGAGCCAGGAAGACCGCTTGGAAGCCCACAGTCGCACGCAGCCGTTTATCCGAGTTCGTCGTAACCATGCATGCAACATGTATGATTTGCGTCTGGCGGAGAGTTCCGTACCGATGTGGCGCCAGTATGTTCTTTCGTGAGTGGTGGAGATAACCTAGACTACAATCAAGCGCAAGAGAGGGTCTCCCTTCGAGTGTGCGCTCCTCCTTGGCGAAAGTACGATCCCGTCGGTCCCGACAATGGTCCGAAATTCGGTTGCGGAACCGTTCAATGTGGATTTGTTCTGGACAACATTGGAAGAGTGAAAAGCCCGGAGTGTAGATCCCTTCGAACTTATTTCGTACAGCCAGCCAGTGACGCAACGAGTATTTTTGTCGCCAGTGTTGGCGTCTGATCGACTTGCTTCTAAGTTGCGTGGCATAATCCACATGTCTTCCGATACGCGATACCTATGCGGGATGAATCGGTTCGAACAGAAGGAACTTGCTGTATGTAATGGTCAGTCACGCGTCACAATCGGCGACCGCCGACGGAGAAGGAGAATCGACTGTGTCACAAGTCACGCCTCCCCGACGAAATGAGCTTACTTCACAATTGTCTCCAATTGAGACCCACGTTGGACGAAAGTTTCCCTTGATTTACACGTCATGGGGTCGCCAATATCGGGCACCTGGGTTGCGCGGACGCGAAGCCTCGGTGTCCCAGTTTAGAGTTTCAAAAATTGTCAAAAACTGCCTGTGATAGAAGAGAAAAACTAAATAAATCACCCTAAACCACCTCGCTAAGAAGTCAGTCACCCCGCTCACACAAATCGATGCGCCTGATGCGCCATCAACAACGCTCAGTTACCCAAATTGGTCCGCAAAGGAGGTCACAACTCGGAGCATCTGAGATGCAAATTCATGCATGCTGAATTGGGAATTATTATCTGAGCTACCCCCGGCCAAAGCTCGAAATTTCGCAAGGTGCTGTTTCTCGCTTGACCTGGGTTGCCTTAAACAGCACGCCGATCGGATTCCACATCCGAAAGTCCGGCATGCAAGTTCCAAAATTTCGTCAGCGAAGCAGAGGGAAACAAGCCATCTCCTTCCATGCTCTGATTACACCTGTCACGTCGTCCACATCTTACCGAGGTACCTGGCAGACACAGGCCCAAACCATTAGGAGCCAGAGTCGGACCTTCATGGGACAGACAGCGTGATATGTACTTTCTACGAATGAATTCTCGGGCGTCATTCTTGTGGGGACAATCTGGCCCCCAACGCTGCCCGAGGAATGATTATCGGAACGGGAATCAAAGGCCTATGCTCCTTCTTAACATTCATCCGGTACCCGACGTTGCCAGTGCCTGTATGCCGTTGTCTCATCGCTTCCTGCGCGCCCTGTCCGCCGCATGCCGCGTGTGACTGGGTGACTTTCCGTAAGCGTTTTCGCATAAATCAAGGCTACATAAACGCACTTGCCGAGATGCCGGGGTGTCGATCGGGACCCCGGCGTGTCAACCTCTCGCTTAAGCCCTTTCCTAGACTACGAATAGATAGCTATCTGTGTAAGGCCTCCCGACCCCCTACACAGACACAAAACAGCTTCAAAAACCGAAAGAGGAAGGTGTCCATCACACCTTTGACGTCAGGCCCGTGCTAAGTCCGCTGGGTTCCCGTCATCACTCCTCCGCACTCAACCTCTGAGAGCTCCATTAGCCTGCGCTGAAACTCGGTATCGCCCTCGTCGTCATCCTCACTGGGACCGTTGTTGTCGAGGTCGTCGTACATGCCGTAGTCGTTGTTATCGTCGTGGTGCATGAAGAGTTCAAATGACGTGATCAGTCATTCAGTTCTGAGAGCCGCAATAGACAGATGTCAACTTGTAAAGGCCGAGAAATGATAAAATGTGTTGCGGATAAAGCTTTTGACATAAACATATCCCATAACGGTAAGCGAGATCATTTGGCACCGTGATATGGGATATGTATATGCATCTATGTTACGGAAAGTCACCCACTGTCGAATCGCACGACTCCCCTGCACCCCAAGCGGCCGCCTGCTGGTTGCCAATGACATCCCTTCTGCCCTCTAGCCCGTCGGATCTTACACAGTGATCCACGTGTTGTCTCAGTCTCGCTATGCGGCATCTTGGGTGGAATCCAGGAAGCGATATGCGATCGATTGCAAGTCTTGGAATCATCTTTCGCGTCGCTTCCCCTCGCCATGGAAGTCGATCAGCACCCGGGCAGGCTCAACTCTGCAGTAAAGAATTAAAGAGTATCGAATGTGCTTTACTGCGGCGAAGGTGATGAAGCCTGGCTTCGACGGCCAAAAATGCCATACTCCATCGGAACCAGGACTGAATCTGAAGAGGTCTCGACGGGCATCGAGCCAAGAAAACGGTGGGGGTAGAGAGAGACCAGGCGAAGAAGGAGGGACGGAGGATCTCAGTGGACTGAGATGCATTCTAGTGGACAGATCCCTCAACTGAAATCGCCCGTCGAGACGGTGAGCGTGCTGCTTCCCTCGGCGGATGGCGCGAGCAATTACAAGCGTGTAGAGGAGGACTTGGCCGACCCGGAATGTCTTGTTAACCAAGGGACCCGCTTTCACGAGAACGTGCGCGCGTTGACCGTCGGTCCAGCTCTGCGCGCATATATATCAGCCGTCGGGTCAATTGAATTGTCCCCAGTACGCACCAGAATCATTACTGGAGTCCAGATCTCTTTTAGCGGGATGCCAGCAAGCGTGCCGCGGACCGGAAGATGAGCGTATACGCAATGCTGGAATCGCATCAGCGATGCAGTGGGACATGAATAACTGGAAGATTTACCGCTGTCTTATTTCGGGCTTTGCATCACTCAGGGTTCAATGCATGGTCGATCTCCTCCGTGATAGCACAGATCTCGCCCAGAAACTGGGTGAAGTGCTGGACGAGCTCGACGCCTTCTCATTCGAAACCCGCACCCAATATGCACGACCCCAGCCGCCAGTCTGGACACTGCGATCAGTAATCTATAGTATATGCAGTGCACGTGAACGACTGACCGCGCGTCGGATATAAATCAAGGAGAGGACCATCGCCATCTGCCAGCCCGTCCATCTTGGATTGTGCTGGTCATCGATGAATCGGCGGACCTTGACGATCTGACTGGCCTGTTCCGCTCGGAAGTCAGTCACTGACACAAACAAAGCCGCGACCGACAGAACTTGTAAACAACACGATCACTCTCGTCCAAGTTGACAGCGCGAGATCCGAGCGGCGGCAGAGTCTGCGATAGAACCGTAAGTTGCAGGTGAGGAGGTCGGGGACGCAGAACGGCCCGCCGCCGATGTCTCCCAAGTAGGCACTGCGATCGCGGAGGGACATGGCAGCATAGGGGACAGTGTCCACCAATGGCAGCCGAGCACCGTGCGCACGCCTTTCGCGCATTCCTGGAGGATGCCGTTGAGCCTCAAAGGGAGCAGGATCTCGGATGGGATATCCCGGCGGCGGGGACTCGATCGAGCGAGTTCCGACGTTGTGTTTCGGATGCAACGAAAGCCATGCGAGCAGGGATGGTGAGAGCGAAGGAAGGGGGCGGGACGAAAGAAGCGCAAAACCGGCGCGAAAACGACGAGTGACTGGTGGGTCATACTCATGTTGATATGCCTTTTATCAGCAGGATTATCATGGCCATATCGCACAAACAAAGCGTGATCTGCGGTGTCGGATGTGCAAAGGTGAACGGTAAAGAACAAAACGAGGACAAGGGCAGATGATCAGAATCTGAGAAGACACAAACAAATGTAGCATTCGCGTCATGGAACCGCGCTTTTCTAGTCTGATGCAGCCTGATAGGTCCTGGTAACACAGATGGGACCCACAGAATGTTGCTTGACCGTATGTGCTCCATGCCAATTTCTCCGGGGTCTCTTCCCGCCGATCATTTCTGAAAACCCAGAACCATCCTGCATTGTAAGCGATTATCTTCGCACGAAATGTATAAAGAAGCTGGGCCATCCGCAAAGAGGACAAGAGCGGGGGGCGCAGTTCTAGAGTACGCGGTGTAGAAAGTCGGTGCAATTCCCTTTCCATATATGTATCCCCATGTGGATGTCAGGCTGACCTGTGGGTCCTTGCGTACTAGCGTGAAGATGCAAGGACAGTGACCGCCGCAATTGAAATGTCGACCACATCCACGGGGATTGCCACGCATGCCGACATACTCCAGCGGACGCAATGGGAAGCGAAAGTCTCTAGAATTGAGTCTGTCAGTTTGACTTTCTAAGAGGTGATCGACAAAGAGAATTCTGCATCGAAGCGGCTATCAGAGGTGTGCAGGATAGAGCGTAAGCGAACACGGGTAGGGTTCCATCAAATTTAGCCAGAGTTTAACAAGAATACCGAACCAGGCATATCGGACATATCCCTCAGGGCCGGAAGGGTTATGAATAAGGAAACGATATTGGCTCTGGTTAGTGGCATTTTTCTAGAACGAACAACTGAGAGATGTTCTGGAGCACGATACGGGCAGCTGGTGAGCGTATACAGAGTGACGCACATTATTTCATAGGTCAGAACGATAGTTTACAAGATTGAGTACTGATTCCACTCAGAGGCAGGTACAACTCTTTGACATGGAACCTCGCAGCTTCAGGCCCAGTCCCAGCCAAGTTTCAGCAGGCCCAGATTCTGGGCATGAGTCTCCATGCATGGTGTATCTGGTTTTATGTGACCAAACTCCTCCATGGCAGGCGACGGAATGCTGCGCGCACCGTCTGAGCATTCTAGCTATCATCGATATGAAGATCCCCGGATCTGCAGGCGACTCGGCAGAGACATCCTGAGATCATCTTACGCACTCAAGCCATTCAGCAGAGAAATCTACCGGGAACTTAAACCGTTAGTCCTGACGACGATAATGATGCAGATAGTGTACACAATGTACGTGATAGATACAAGAGGCAGGGGAGGAGTTCATTTCGTGGTGGTGGCAGACGAGAACTTGGTGACCGACTTGGTCTGTAACCGACAATTAGATCAAAGCGCAGCACTATTCGGGATCACACGTACACCCTCAGAGATAGCGTGCTTGGCCAGTTCACCAGGCAGAATCAGCCGAACCGACGTCTGGATCTCACGCGAAGAGATCGTCGACTTCTTCGAGTATTGCGCCAGTTCTGTTGTCATTGTTGAGGCACATCGAGCGAGTACGGCGACGCAGACCACTTACTGGACGCCTCAGAAGCAATGCGCTCAAAGATGTCGTTGACAAACGAGTTCAAAATCGACATCGCCTTGTTCGAGATACCCGTGTCGGGGTGCACTTGTCTCAACACTGTGGCGAGACGCGTCGTCAGCGAGCGAACCATCAGCAGCAGCGACCATGCCACGCACCCTTGTAGATGTAGGACGAGTAGGTCTCCTTTCTGACCTTCTTGCGCTTCTTCTTCTCGCCATCGCCGGGCGCGGCAGACTTCGTCTTCTTGCCTGCCTTCTTGTCTGTCGTCTTGGACGGAGCCTTGGAGGCAGTGGCCGGGGCCTTGGAGGCTGTAGAGGCAGGGGCTTTGCCAGCAGTAGACACGGGTTTGGGAGCCATAGAGGTAGAGGTAGGCGGAGGTGGTGGTGGTCTGAGAGAGAGTAAGATATGTCACACTTGGTCACTTTCACGCTCTGGTAAACAAACGCGTCGCGCTGATGTTGTTCTTTGTTTACACCGTTCGCATAAATACACAGTCAGTCACGACATCCACTCCTTGTTCCTCAACCCCCACCATCCCTGCCTGAACTTCATCCTCCTTTCTCGCCCACCTCTATCCTCTCACCAATGTCTGGCAAAGTCAGTGGCAAATCCAAGTCCGGCAAGGCGGCTGGCGCCAGCAGCGATTCCAAAGCCCAGTCGCGTTCCTCGAAAGCCGGCCTCCAATTCCCAGTCGGTCGTATCCACCGTCTCCTCAAGAAGGGCAACTACGCTCAGCGTGTCGGTGCTGGTGCTCCTGGTACGTGCTCGAGCACATCTTGCGTTGTTTTGGCCAACGCGTGTTGCAGTGTACCTCGCCGCGGTCCTTGAATACCTTGCTGCGGAGATTCTTGAGCTCGCTGGCAACGCTGCTCGCGACAACAAGAAGCACCGTATTGTTCCTCGTCACCTTCAGCTTGCCATCCGGAACGATGAAGAGTTGGGCAAGGTTTGTCGAACTTGTGCACGCTGGTTGTAGAGGCTGATTCGTTGGCAGTTGCTCGGTTCCGTCGTCATCTCCCAGGGAGGTGTTGTTCCCCATATCGACCCTTCTCTATTGCCCACGGCCACAAAAAGTGAGTGTCGATTTGGCTTTGACATTACACCGAATAACAATACTTTTTCTTCCAGAGGGCAAGGGCGTAGCAAGCCAGGAACTTTGAGCTTGCGTCATGTTCCATTTTGTTTCAGTGTATCAATGTATCATCAAATTATCATTATAACTACATGCAATACCAGCCTAGGTCCTCAGTCAACAATCCACTTTTGAATTGTTATCAGCATGTTCAAACAAACAGGTCATCACAGACTCGCAGGGGCTTCGCCGCCATTCCTGCCTCCACTACATATCCCCCATCGCCCATCCTTGCACATGTGGCTTAGGCGTACAAAGTCTTTGTCTGTCTTTGCCCATTTACGCCTCTCTCGACAGCCCTCCCTAATATGCAAACACCTCCTTGTTACCGAGAGTCGTTCTCAGCTGTAATCCTCGGATCAGCATCGACTTCCTTTTTGCGTGCCATGGAACGTCCACTAGGCCAAGTGCTGTTGAGATCAAGTGCTGTTGAGCCCGATTCGTGGCATCTAGGCTGGCAACGACCTCGTGTTAGCCTGAGATCTAGCGGCCATTCTAAGCCATGTACGGTGGATCCCAATGGTATTTCGCTAATCCGTAGGCGCTCTCCTCCGTGCTCTTCATTGTCTGATAGATTGAACCAGTGATTCCACCAGGTATATTGACGAAGGATCAGTAGCAACGATTGTTGACGATAGGGCAGCCACGACCGTGGGGTACCAGCCGGTTATGTGACTCCAAATGGTTCACCATGGGAGCAGAGCCAGCACAGCCCATGGCCTCAAGCGTCGCCACTCAGGATGGGATGGGCACCTAGAGGTTATCCATACACTCCATACACTGATCCTATGGTGCGGGAGGATCTGTACCCGACTCCAATGGACTTCGTGAGACCCGAAATTACACCCCAACAGTGTGAGCGCGGTTCCTCCATACCTGTTACTCCCCTTACTTACTCAGAAAGATCAACACGCGCTCAGGCTGGCGTCGGCACCACCCGCACCCGCACCCGCACCTTCTACTCCTTCGTGGGGTGTTCAACATCCGCCGTTATATCATCGTTCGCACTCGCCGTGGATTGCTCCAGCCACCTCGTCGATGAACGAGCCTGTCGTGATTTCAAGATCCTATCCGTATCACGCCAAAAATCTGTCACCCATACCTCCCGACTGGCGGGATGATTTTGGTAAGGATGAGATGAAAGGGTGGCTGAAGCGACGAGCATGTGCGTTCAAGTTTGAACAGTATGTTGTTGAAGGTCGCGACTAATTCTGAGCGCAGCAAGAAGCAGGCTGGATCAACATCTGGAGCCCAGCGAGCTAAATTATATGATCAACATGACTCCTTCCAACAAGTTCAAGCATGGGTTGGTCGCACTCGATTTGCGTGACAGCGGCAACCCTCCTGCTGTTGACTTCTTGCAACATGGCCTATCCACCGAGTTCGCTATGCAGCAACTGGCCACAACCTTCCCTGTGAACCATCTTCGATTCTACCATGTCAAACTTCCATGGTACATCGACGTCTGGGCCCAGCAGAGCCATGGTATTACCATCAACGATGTCCTCTCCCAGCTCATGCGGCACCTACACCAATGCGTCAGGCTGGAAGACTTCTATAACTCTGCTTTGGATTCGAACAAACGGGAGGAC